AAGTGAAAAGTATAAAAGTGTTTCGTGTCTATATTCGTTTAGTTAGTTAATTATTAAAGATATTTTGAAGAACAAAATGTTCAATGTTTTAAATTTCCGGGTTAATGACATCACCATATTTAATAAATAATTACGTAGGTCAGAAAAGTTCCCTCATTGGCTGCTTGTAAAAGTATGTGAGCTACATTTTTAAAACATTCTTTTGCATTTGGATTACTTGAAAAAGTTGTCAAAAGGAATCTTGCAATACGAAAATGATGAAAATCCATCGAAGCAATTGATCCTTATACACATTTTCAAATGATTCATCTTCCCAAATTGCTAAGCTTGACTCAAATACAAACTTTTGAAATGTTTTATCAGGTTCTCTCTTTGATATCAGTTGAATGGCCTTAAGAAAACATTGCTTATCATCACAATTTTATGATATTTCATTAATTTCGTCAAAGCCACAAAAAAGTTGTCATGATTTTTATTAAAAATTAAGAGCTCCAAACTTTTTATTGTTATGATCAAGAATCTGGAATCTGGAAAAAATCAAGAAAAACTGAGATTTTGTCTGTAAAGCCGATTTAAAATAAAAACAACAAATTGTTATGATCCTTCAATTAGTAATCATATGACTACATTCTTTTCACTTAGAAATACTTCGATAAATAGGAATGAATCAGAATCTACAAAATAATCTGTAATTGTGAAAAATGAACTGAGATCACGAAACCAAACGATTACAAAAGAATCTTCTTTTATTTAAGTAGGTACCTAACTTTATTTTTATGTCATGTAATATTTTTTTCATTTGATGTCTTCCAACAATTCTTAGCTACTTGAATAGCAAGTTCAACCATTGTCAGATCATTTGGAAAATGTTGAGAAATGCAGTTGTTGTCATTTAAATTAATAACTTTAGCAGAATCAAAATCGCTGATTATTTTTGGATTTATAGCTTCCAAATGATTGTGATCAGCATGAAATTCTTCGATAACATTTATAACAGTGAAAAGTTCATTCTCTAATTTTTTAAGGTTGTTATAACTTAAAATAAGCACCTTAAGATTAAGCAATGTATCGAAAGCAAAAGAAGAAATATTTGAAATTAAATTTTGTCTCAAATTTAATTCTTCTAATTCATTTAATCCAACAAACGTTTTCTCGTAAATGCTTTCGATAAAATTAGAAGATAAATCCAAAACTTTTAGTTTACTTAAGTCTATAAAGTTTTCACTTTCGATTTCCGATATTGCGTTCCTGGACAAATTTAAGACAGTTAACTGATTCATACCTTCAAAAGCATTTTTGTTGATTGCAATCAATCCAATGTGAACTGCTGATAATTCCGATACATTTGGGACAATTTGAGCGATTTGTGATGGTAAAACTTGAAGTTGAAGATTAGAAAGAATTTTTCCAGACACTTCATTAGTCTCAATTTCAAAGACGGAAAATTTTAAAATTGTGTTTTTTGAGTTCCTGAAAAATATTTATTAAAGTTTGTATTTCGAGAACGCGTTCGAACGTTAAGCTTGTATTTAAAAGGCCAAATAACCTACATATGAGTCTTTAAATTACCTGAATGTTTCATCTGAGACTTTGAATTCCTTTAATTTTTCCTTCAACCCTTTGCTGTATTTTTCAATTGAAATTAATTTTTTAGCAACTTTTAGTTCACTTTTAACTTTACTGGTCGAGATTTGATACTCATCATTCTGATCAGTCATAAGTTTTAGTTTTGCTTTATATTTTGCTTCTTGAAGTTTAATTTCATTTTCTAGATTACGGATTGTTTGTTCCAGTTTGCTAATTTTCTTTTCTTGAACGTGTAGTGTATGTGAATTGTTTGCAAGTTTTATGCGCATTAAATGAAAATTGTAAGTTTTTGAAATGATATTACCACAATTTTTAGATTCTACAATAGAATTGGTTGTTGAAAAGAAATTTGATTCTGTGCTTGATGCGTCTGATAACGTTGATTCAGTGGATAGACTTGTATCTGATTCTCCCTTTTGATTGACTGAAGAACTAGTAGATGAATGCAACGTCGTTTCAAAATATTTTACTGCATTGTCAACGGTTGGAATTAATGTTGAAGATGACTCACTAATAGAAATGCTATCGAACTTCTGATGAATGTAGTCATCAAAGGATGCTGAAATAATTGTTGACTCAACTTCTTTTGCTTCAGATGTTGTAAAAAGAAACAAAAATGTAATTCCAGGAATTAAAATCCTAAAAATTAAATCTGAATTAAAACCTTGTTATAATTTTAAATCGAAATAAAAACCTCATCCTCGAATTCTGTTTTTTTTTTTGGAATAGAAATAAATATTCACAAACCAAATATAATTTACGACTTTATCATTCAAACGTTTTAAGAGAATGGAGTTAAAAAAAATTCTCTCAATTTAATAGAGCTATGAAAAGCCGGATATTTGATAAGCTTTTTGTTTAGCAGAAAAAAATTAATAACTAACATAGATTTCCCTAAAACTTGTTTTCTTTCGAAACATTTATTGAATAGTTTAAATTTAATCTTGAGCTAATCTTAGAAATTTTCATGATGCCACTTTTTCTTGCTGTGGTGATGGATCTTGTACGTTGCTTGGATAAGAGACATCAGGGTAAATATTTTCAATATACCATTTGAAGCTTTTACAGCGGAGATTTTGTCTAAGTTTCTTCTGTTCTGTTACATCGCCAAAATTTCTGTTTTGAAAATTGGTCGCCCGATGATAGAATCTTTGATATTCATCTAGCCAGACTTCTGAGAGTCGGTCAGTATTCCTACGAACTTCACCCCCTCCTTTAGGATACTAAAAATTAAATTTAAGTATAAAATCATTTTATTAATGTTTTTCATGATGAATAAACTTACAGTATATGGATGTTTCTTTCTAAACATGTGCGCAGCATGACTGCAAGGAATTTGATACAATTCACCACCACACATCCATACTTTAAACGAAAGCCTTCAATAGATATCTAGCTGTTAATTTTGAGACACATAAATATGAGAATATAGTCATACTCAAGATTTTCTGCACCCCAAATTTCATACTCCGGGTCGTACATTCCAAGCATTTCAAAAAATTCCTTCATTATAACGAAGAAAGCTCCAATCATTGTTGGTGTACGAATAGGTTCACAAGGATTATTCATTCTTTTCTTTTCCCATTCAGGAATGTTTTTCCATTTGTAAATCAAATTCCATTCAAAACCTAAATGGTCCTGCTATATTTAATAAATGAAATATTAATGAAAAGATAAATCTTCTTGCCTCCAACCATGTACGTTTCAGGGTTATCATTATATCTGTATTCAATTGTATGCGGATCCAATGCATCAAGAACTGGAATAGTTGAAGCATTAGGATTCTTTGCTAAAGGATCTAGTAATGGTTGAATCCATCCTGGTGTAACTTCGATGTGAGCATCCATAAATACTAAGGCAGGTCCTTTAAAAAATAAGAAAATCTTAAATTTTGCCTTTACCAACATTCTTTTAAGATTCACCTTGTGCATTGACGCAACCAATCATGCGAGCTTTGATAAGACCCACACGAGTCGGTGAACGAACAAGTTTAATCTTGGGATATTTCCCAATATAATCCTCTAGCGGTTTCTTCAGATAATCTTAAAATAATCATGTTTTTGTTTATGAGGGTAGGACATCAACGTTTCGAATATTTCTTTTACTTTGCAAGGTCACTTGATGACGAGCTTTATACTTATCTAATGTTGCTAATTATTAAAATATTTGTAAAAAATAAAAATTACCTCTAGTTGAACAGTCGTCAACGAGTAAAATTTCTCCAAGTAAATTCTTTGGAGTTCTTTTAAAAACCGCAAACACTGACCGCATGATTTGTGAAAAAGGTTCATTGTGGAACACCATTATGACTGATGTCACAGGTAAGTTATTGGAATAATTTACTTGATGACAATATTTTGGTCTTATATCAGGTAGCTCACGATCTAATGGAATGAGACTAGACACGAATTCGTTGATAGCAAAAATTTCATAACTTTTGTTGATTTTTTCTTGTATGTCGAGTGGAATTACTGGTGGAAGTATTACAGGTTTCCCCATATGACCAGGATTTACAAGGTTCAATCTCTTATGATAATTTAAAATGTCTTCACGAAGTTCTGGGACTAAATAAATATAATCGTCTTCTCTGATAATCGTGTGATCGATTTTGATGTGTGATGTGATATTTTTTTGCAATTTTCTAGGAATTTCGGCGAAATCGTCATCAAAATCATTGAAACTGGGTTGATTTTTTATTCTAATTTTAGGTGAAAGTCTTTTAGATTTCAATTCATCGATTTTCAGTTTACTTTCTTCATTAGATGATATTAAAATTGTGAATACTAAGAACCAAATGAACCCAGCTAACAATATAAACTTCAACACCGAACATCTTCTGAAAAATCTATTCATAACTTATAAAAACTATTTCAAACGATGCTTTCAAACCTAACACTTGCTTCCAACTGCTCGATATAGTAGACAGTAAAAAGTTGAAATTATCATTACGATAGCAAATAGGTAGTTTTAAACCTGTCACGATTATTATTGGTTGCACTTTTGCATTTCGTACTAAGTTCATATATCTAATTTCTATAACTAAACAACATATAATTTTAATGTTCTAGTTTTTATTTTGTTATATAAAAAGTCAAATGATACATTTAAAGACAAATTCACATCATTTCAGTCACTTTATTGAAACTTCTATACTCATAATAAGAACATCCAGTGAGTTCAAAAACGGTTCTATGCAAGAAAAAAGAAAAGTTGAATTCAACAATCAGGTCATATTAAAAATTTAAAATTTAGATATCTTATTAAGTTTATTGACTAAGATGAGTTTGGTATGAAATCTATCAAAACCTATTTATAAATGGTTATGTATCAAGTTTATCAAGGAAAGATTCTTGAGTATTTATTTTTAATACACTTCAAACTTAATTTAAAAGTGCTATCTCTTGTCGTTGAATTAACCTTTTACTCAAATTGTAATAAATTGGATTGGATCAATTTTTACTTCATTATGTGAAGTTACAAACTAAAACATCATAAATAATTTTTTGAAAACTTCATATAAAATAATAGCAAAAAAAAACTAAATGAAACCTTCACGATGTTCTATGTAAATTCTTTTTTACTAAATAGGTACATAGGTTATTATTTGAAAAAAGGTTTTGAAAAGATTTCGAATAAAATCCAATGGTAGGAATTTAAAACCCAAAATTCTTTATTCATACCTGTTTTCATCTGTAAAAGTATAAACTTTTGAATAAACTGCTACATTTTTTTTTTCTTCATCGCGAATTTTTACAGTTCTTAAGATTTTTTCAATAGGTTCCTGTAGGATCTAATTCAACAGTCATCTCGTAATATTTTTTAATTCTTTAATATGATTAGAGTTCAAAGAGAGCTGAAGTACAACTGAAACGGATTTTAAAAAGATTCTTCTCCGAAGAGGGAGCGCAAAAATGAGAAAGTTTAAAGAAGGTTTTTTAAGAGTAAGTATTCATTGACTGCTCGAATCAACTATTGTTATCCAGGAATAAATTTTGAACGCGACAATACAACGCGTGCAAATAATAATAATGTAGATAAATAAATCTGAACTAAGTTCGTCTCTGGTCGCAACAAACCTCCAAACAGTCATTTGAAATATTGTTGCATATGATAAACATGAGTGGGAATTATTGTTGTGACTTTTTAGATGATACAAAGTTACAATTTTCCATGCGACTCTCTACAATTGTCTTTCTTGTTTATCCTTCCATAAGATAAATAGTAGACAAAAACATGGATTCATATTCTCTTTATTTCCTAAAAAATGTGCACAAAGTTTCAATTCGACAATCATAATCTTCAATATATGAAACATACAGTTGGTACCTACGTAGTTTGTGAATAGATAAAATGTATTTCTTGAGTTGATTTTCATCTTTTCTGATGCCACTTGATATTACTTTGAATTTGCAAGTGTGCCGTTGTTGACACGTGACTTGTCATTATATTTCAAATGCCTTTAATCGAGCGAATGACAACTATGATCCATGACGAAGACACTTGTTAGTACACTTGTTGGCATGTTATGTAGTGGATTATTTACCAGAGTCGCGTACTCGTTTCTTCTAATCTCAAGGGAAACCATCAAAAACAATTAACAAAATGCACTTGAGCAATTTCAACCCTCTAGACGTGAAATAAATTGTTAAACTTTATTTAATCGAGTAAAAATCGAGGGGTTGAGTTGAGATGGATTGGAAACTATCAGGGTACAACATACAGCATTTTAAATGGTGCATAAAAATGTTCTACGAGAGAAACTTCAATATCATCTTCGTATAAATAAATGAAGACAAGATTTTTATGACACTATTGCGATGAATAAATAATACGACAAGTGGAACTGTAATAGTTGTTATGGTAGGGGAAGAATAATATAATATTAATTTTCAAATTTTTGCCTTTTTTTTGATGTTTTCTTTTTCAAGTGAAAACAATACACAACACAATGCACTGTGCCACAGCAGCGTGTGACTAGTCAAATCCCTCGAGGTTGTACAAGCACCAAAAGCAATGAATATTTTATTTATTTGATATCACGATTAGACGTAAAGAAATAAAGTGTAATTTTCCCACGACTGTAGTTTTGTTAAAACTTACATCAAGTGAACATTAATTTCTTAATAATTAAATACTTGGATCAGTTTTCTTTCTTATCTTAAACATTTTAAAGATCATAAAAATATTTTTCCTACTTGTATGATTTTGACATTTTCTTTTCACTCTCATCTTAATTGTTACAAACACAAGACTGAAGTATTCTCCAAGAAATTTCTTTACGAGTTCCTTCAATCTAGTACATCATTTAATGGTGAGCTTCAAACATATCCTTGCAAATCTCTTTATCCTTTTCCTTTATGTCACCGCCCCTTTAAAGAATACAGAACATAGTTTTTGTCTTCCTCTAACCAAAATTCCGCTTTGGAAATTTTCACCCAATTCAAATGCTTCAATATTCTAGCAAGAATTAAGCTGAACCCTGAAAGGAAAATTTAAAAGAGGGTTGATAGGATTTTGTCACATAAATATATTTAGAGTTAGCTGAAATTAATACATGTTCATTTGAATCATTGACGCACTATGCCTTTTGATTGCCAACCAGTACAGAGCTCTTAACTGTTCATTTTTATACTCTTCTTGCTGCATCCAATCTGCGTTTTGCTGCTGTTTGTCTCTCTATTCCATATAATTTCAGATGTTTTTTTTTCATGATTCTTTCTCTTTTTCAGCTCTTGCTGATCCGTATCGCGTTCAGACTGAAACACAACAAAAAAACAAACAATTGAGTTCACTTTGTTTATTGAATTAAGCTTATCATTTGATTTTTGATATTGTGAGCTATCGGTTTAACAAGAAAATTCAAAAATCACAGGTGGTTTTATTTCTTTTCTTTTTCTAAAAGAAATACTTGAGACGGAAAGAAAAATTGAAAAGTCGGTCAATTGCATACGAGTGAATACGGAATTAATTTATGTAATTTATATCATAATTGAATTATTAGTCACTTTAATCTGTGGGTGTTTAAGATGTTCTTGGTTCTATTACTAAATTCATATTTTTGATGTCTAAATATAATTAATTATTTGTAATAAGTTCTCAAAAACTGTGACGTTATAACTTAATTAACAATTTTTAAGCAAATAAGTGTTCGCTAAAAAAGTTTAAATTATAATAGTGATAACAAAATGGAACAATTTTGAGGAAAAAAACAAATTAAAAAGAATAAAAGGATAATTTTCTTGGTGAAATTTAAATTGGAAATTATGGATTATTCATATCTCAACCAAGCTGCTGCTTCATTTGACTCATCTTGTCTTCAAACAATGGACCCAAGCGGACTAAACATGCCTTGTTCATATGGCGATATAACTTCTTGTAATCAAATCTCTCAAGCTGCATATCGTTATACAGCAGCAGCTGCAACAATGGCAAGATCTTATAATCCTGTTGGTGCTTCTGTTGGACCTGGTAATGGCATGTCGGCGTTACATCATTCTGGAACGCCAGTTTCTCAATGTTCAGTTATGGGGGCAAGGCAGGATGTGCACAGAACTTCAATGTTTCCTTCATCGATGAATTTACAATGTAAGTTTCAGTTTTTTAATGTTAAAAGAAAATAACTATAGTTATGTTGAAATTTGTGGCCACAAATCAGTGGAAAATCCTTTAATCACATTTTGTTTCAAAATATTCATTCAGCGATTTATCTAATCGTTTCTTGCTCCCCACACACATAAATTTTTGATTGTAAATTTCTATTTCGTGTTTAGCAATAATTACTCAGCTTCTATATTTTAACATTTTCACAAGCCGAAGTTTTCTACACATCTGATTTCTAACCATTTGCTTATAAATTTATAATTGCCATATATTTGTATTCCACAAGATAATCAAACCACAAAATTTCAACACCTTCAAGTGTTAAATTATTAGTTTCATAAACTATTAAATTATAAATTGGTGAACAGAAAATAAGTGCGGCATTAAGTTTGTTATTTAAGAATTCGACTTTTGTTCTTTTTTTTTAAATAATATTGCGATGAATAATTTTCATGTAGGTACAATTAAAAATTTTTGAACTCAAAATTTCACTTGTAAAAATATTGTCTAAAATTTAAGATTACAAAATTTTTAAGTTCTTAGCTTTGTTCATCTTTCTTGAAAAGATATGATGAAAGCACGGGATGCAATAAAAAAAGAAATAAAAAGAATTCTGAGCATGTGTGAACAGGCATTGAATATTGCAAGCTCCCTTCATTCATTTTTTAGGCAGATTTTCATCTTTTCTTCCATCCTCGTTCATGCCTTTATCGGTTGTGTTTACTTAAGTCAAATGTCAGCACGTCTTCATCTTTATGTGAATCCTTTTGAAAATATAAAAAAAAAAGTATGATGAGATTTTTACGACAGGCTTGAAGTTAGATATTCTGAATTTCCTGAGAATGAATATAAACGTAAAATGGATTCCAGAATTCAATCGAATAAAAGAGCATATGAAGGTTGATGTTTTTAACACGTTTGTTTATATTTGTTGAATACACGTATGTAAACTTATTCACAAGATTTTAATATGCTGTGAGAAATCGCAGTAAAAATTGAAGTTGCGGATTGAATATAAAAGTATTATATTTAAGCATCTACTAGATTACGCTGATCTCAAAATTACAAATATTTCGACAAACTTCAACGATAATAAGAATAATTTAATCAACTTGAACTCTAAAGCTGTTTTTATGTCACTTGCAAATATCAAAATTAGCTTAATCTTCTAAGGTGCTTTTAAAAACTGAATACTTTTCTGAGAATACGCACACGAAAACTTACAAAAAAGAATATTTTTAATTAACTAATTTATATTATTCTTCTCTCCCGAATGATTGTGCATATTTATAAAGTAAATTAACTCATAAATTTTCTCCATCTTCTAGGAATTGAACAGATTTTTGTACGATTAGTTATTTTTTTCTTTCGATATTTGCCTCGAAAATGCTTGCGCAAAAAAGAATAAAAAAGGGCGAGAATTTACATTTTTTAACAGAAATGAAAAGGAAACAGCAAAATTTGTTTTCCCCAATTCATTTTCACTTTATTATGGCGGAGATGCGAGAATCGGCGCAGTGGGATGAATGAAACGTTACTTTAGATGAATTTTCCTACTAAATAGTATTTACAGAGTATTTATTTTTATGAAATTTATGAAGGAAAATATTAAATAGGTTTAGATGTTGAATTTAAAATTTATTTCATTCACAATTGAATGATTGGTAATTCTAATTTTTTTTATGTTTAATTAATTTTTTAGCTGGCCTTCCTTATAAAGTTTACAGTGGACATGACTCAGTGTTAAGTGAAAAGCGAAAGCAGCGTCGAATACGAACCACTTTCACATCAGCACAACTGAAAGAGCTTGAGCGAGCATTTCAGGAAACACATTATCCTGATATTTATACACGAGAGGAAATTGCCATGAAAATCGATTTAACAGAAGCGAGAGTTCAGGTAAGATTTCGTACAATAAATTTAGATATTTAGATCTATAACTTTTTATTATGTTCTGCGTACGGTAATAATCCAACACGGACAATAAATTTATACACCATAAGCCATTGAAATGTTCGCGACATTGAAAATATGGTAAAGATAAAAATATTTTTAATTGCTTATGTGGAGAAATTTTGTTGAAAAATATTGCGAATAGAGGTTTCCGTGGTTTTTGCTAGCGCTTTCCTAGTGAAAGGAAATTTTATAGCAGTGACCAGATGGAAGAAAAAAAAAATTTCTTCCCTTGCTCCGTATCGCGTTCCAATTTGAACTGATGCAGACTTCAGGGAATTTTATTTACACATCGTTATCATTTGAAAATGGAGTCTTCCATATACATAGAACAGAATCTAAAGATTTGAATAAATATCATACAGAATGAATTCAAAAATTAGCGTGAATGAAAATTTGTTCAATTTATGGCACTAGAAAATCTGAAACATAAAATCACTTTAAACTTATTTTTCCGCTTTCACACCAGCTCTTTTTTCTAAAATCTCAATTATTGCCCATAAAAGAGTATGCTTCTACATATCATATCGTAGGAATATCAGGTATTAATCTAGCGATTTTAAACCTATCTAATCAGTGATAAAATCTTATGGATAAATATAATCTTAGTAGATGATGTGACTTGCGAAAATAATGTAAAGTAAGGAAAATTTTGAAAAACCTTACTACTACTTGCTTACTAAAAATCAAACAAGCTCTCCTTACTTCTTCTTGAAGCTTTTATGAAATGCTTCCCTTCTCTTCTGTCACTTGCTCATGTGATTTAATTCATCAAAAGAGAAAAAAAGAGAGAAAGCGAGCCATTCTTTCTGTTGCTGCTTTTCCACCCCCAATAAAAGTTTCTATCTTACGTTTAACATTGCAATGCAAGAATATAAATGAGAGGAGTAAGGCGGAGGACGAAAAATGGGAAAATGGAAAAGCAGTAAATTTTTTTCTTCTCCTTTCCGTGTTTTCTTTCTTTCAGATGCACGACGTGCTGCTTGTTTTTCAGATTCTACTCCACTCATTCCCCTAACACCACTCTCATTTATATATCATATGCCAAATAACAAAAATCCAACTCTGTCAAAGGAAGCCGATACAATGGTTTCTTTACTCTTCTTTTTTTTTGGTATTTGAAGAAGATTCATTGTTTTATGTCGTAGATGATGATCAATTATTCATTTCGGTGGCAGTCAAACGCAGATGGAGCTTCATTCCATGTTTTTTTTCTTCTTCGATTGATTAATGGGAAAAAACACAATATTTTTATAGATAGAGTAAGTTACGAATGGACTGGTTAAAATTTCAGCAAGAATCAATGTGCTTCTTAAATAAAAAATTATTAATAATTGTATGTAAAATAATCGTGCTATAATAATATTATTTTGATAGTTAGAAAGCATTTTCAATAATCATTTTAATGTAATAAATTTTAGTAAAAAATAATTACGCATTGTTCAAAGCTGCTGAAAAATAGAGGCAGTTAATTTCAAGTTTCTTTTATTGGAGAATAATTTAAATCATAGAATAAAAAATATATTTTGGTTTATCTGAGTTTTTTTCAGTTCCTATTTATTATTTGTCTTTATCAATTAATATCTTTTCCAATTGCATCACTGACTGCACAATTCGAGAATATTTAAAAAAAAAAACAGGAATATCTCAAAAATTATCTGTAAAATATTATTATGCAAACGACATGTTTTTAAAATATTTTCTTCCTTCTGAAAAGCCTTCGAGAATCTAATATCATTAATATTGCTTGCAAGTCCTGGAAGAATAAAATCACTCGCCTGTTTCTGCATTTATACTTAGTTATATTGATTCCACTTTATTTAATAACTCACTCTTTCGGTTGCTGTCGAAACCTTGTGCGAAGAAACAAGAAATTTTAATTGAATAAATGAATAGAATAACAGTTTTCGTAACTTACAAGGCAATAAAACTAAACCTAAGGCAAAAGCCGACGAAAGGCAAAAAAAAGCAGCATGAATTGGCCCAAGTTCACTGAAGCGCAAAGAGAAAACTCATGATGGCAAATAAATACCAAATGTCACAATTTTATTATCTGAGGCGCTTTCAAATATTTTTTGTATCTAATCGTGACTTTTAACTCCTATTCATGATATTTAAAGTTAGGACTATAAATAGTTTAGGTTTTGAGGAGAAAAAAAAATCCAAATTAAATGGCATGAAGGAAATACTTAGCGATGCTTTCTTATAATCGAAAGTCCTAATTTCATGAAAACCCTCGTTAAACAATCTCTTCTAGATTGATATGTTTTTCACGGTGCGGACGCATTGAATAAATTGAAATAAAATAGACAAACAGCTAAGTCAATTGAACCCTATTTAATACTGTTTAGTGTCTGCTGTTCCCTTCTGTATGTTTAATTAAACAATAACAACAGAAGTGAAATTCGTCGCCCTAGAAGTTAAACATCGAAGAGTAAGGAAAAGTAAATAATGTCATAAGCATGTTTTACACACTTTTTTTACCAACCAGTCTCTCACAAATCAGAGAGTTCTGTTAATACTTACAGTAGAATATTAAATATTTAATGTTCTCTTTACGTTTTGTTTTTAAAATTAACATGTTTGATAAGATGTCGAATAATAAAAATAATTTATATTGAAATTAGTTATTTTGATAAAAGAGTTTCATATACGAGTTTACATTAATTACGGGGGCTGCTAATAAACTTGCAATTTAATTTATCAACTTACATTTTCAAGGAAATGTTAGACCAAATGTCGGTCTGTGGTCCGTTTTCGGTAAGCTTAAGAAGTCTGGGCTAGATCTCTGGTCCACATCTGGTCCGTTTCAAAGGTCCGCACCTGAGAAAAACAGGTTGTAATTTGATCCTCTGATTCCGAAACTGCAAAAAAGGTTAATTAGAAGGACAATTGAAGATGAGAGAAAAATACTTTTTCCATTTTTATCAAAAAATAATCATACGCAAAATACTTTATAACAAGAGTCGCATATAATCTGAAGTTTGAACCCTGATAGAGCATCCCTTTGCAATTGTTAAAGCTATTGTAATATTATTTGATTAAAGGGACGGATTTATGTATTTATGTTTATTTATTCTCCAGGCGAATTTTTACGGTATAAGTATATGACATAAATGAACCTTAAAAGGATTAGGTGTTGTTGAACGATTATTGAAAAAGCGTGAATTTTTAGTCTTTAAAAAGCTTAAAATTTATATAGATACATAGATAGATATTTAGACTCTTAGATTATTTCATATTCAGAATAAGAAACTTTTTCAAGACTCTTGAAGTCAGAATTCATACCAAAGGAAAAATATGATATGAATATATTATGTCACTTATGAATTAAAAAAAATTGAAATTTTATTGATATTTTCTTATTTTGTCTTCATAATTAACATCGAAAATTTAAATAATTAAAAATAATATTAATACATACATTATTATTCATATCTACATATTTACGAAGTTATAATTAGAGTTTTAGGTGATTTGAATAATAGTTCATATCCTCTAATTACAACCCAGTATTTAATTTAGATTTGTCATCAATCATTCAGGTGTAAATTAGGCAGAGATTAAGAAATCCTTCACATTCTACGAGAATCTTAATAGTAAACATTTCTTAACCTTGAATTATGTTCAAATTTCAAGATTAATCACAACGTTTAAGTAGAAATACAAAATAATTTATACAGATATAAATATTTTACTTAGTTATATTTTCTATTTATAAATAAACAATCACAAACAAAGTTAGCGAAAAATATATTTTTACTTCGTCCGATTCATGAGTTCTCACATTTTTATTTTTCTTGATTACCGCATGGAAAGTGGAAAAGGAATGAAATAAGTCGTAAAAATCATTTTACTATTTTTAACTCTGCGTCGTCATCGGTCGAAACGTTGAAAACATAAGAATCACAACGAGAATAAAATCAAAAATTTTGTTTAATTAATTTCTGTCAACCGTAACCGTTTCCATTGGTAATGACAAGCTTAAATATTTGAGTCTCTAAAAGCTGACATGAACTAATTTCACCTGAATGAAACTGTACTTTCTGAAAATTGAATTTTTTTCACCTTTTTTTTGGCATTGCATATTTCAATGCAACAATTTATAAATAGAACTCGCTTTTAGGCCATCAAACAAAAAACACCCCAAAGGTGTCAATCGACGTGCCACTCATAGCATTAATTAAATTCTCCCAATCAAATTTAATTATTCTAAAATCATTTCTCTCCATTTTCTATTATTTCACAGGTATGGTTTCAGAACCGTCGTGCCAAATTTCGAAAACAGGAAAGACTCGCTCAGCAAAAGGTCAGCAATTCCAACACTTCGAATGAGACAATTACACATGTTAAAAGCGAGAGTAAGTCTACAACTCCAAAGGAAAGTAAACCTCCAGGTTCGCCTCTGTCTAACATCTCTACAACACCCAATTCGAGTGCATCATCTCACCAGTCGAACAGTGATATAAAGCCAATCAATGGTAATTAAGAAAATTAAATTCAAACTCCCCGGCCATCCCTCTTTTTTTCTCTATTGAATCATCAGCCATTACCCTTTTCTCTCATTCCCACAAAAGGGGATACTTTCTTGTCTGTTCTACTTTGGAACACAAAACTAAATGAATTCTAATCCAATTAAAAAGATTCAAAATAATGATGATATCTAAAATGTACTTACATTACAAATAAGAAAAAATTGTTGGGAAATTCATTGATTTAATGGCATTTTCCTTCTACTCCTCCTTTCTTTTTCTCCTATATCCTTCCTTTTTTCTTTTGTCTTTGTCTGACGTTTCTTCACTCCTAAGCGTAATGCAATCGATTCACTTGATATCGTTCAAGATGAAACTCCGTTTTTCTATCTTATCTCAGGAAGAAAAGAGAGATAAATATGTAATTAAAATTTATGTTCGATTTCTTCGATACCGAAAAATATGTTTCTGATTTTTTTGTTTTGATCAGCATCTCAAGATTCTTATGTACGTATGTGTTTACATGGGCGAAGTGTAAATGAATAAATTGATTGCGACAAGAGCAGATGACCCCAATGAATCGCATTGTCTAAAGTTCTTTAGCTAAATAATTCACACCAGAACGTTTTGTTGCTTCAACATATATGACTTATGGATTATCTAACGAAATTTGAAGTTTCTTCTCTTTCATAAATCGGCAGTGCCCATAAATAATAAATGATTCAAAAGGGAAACCAATCTATAGAGTGGAAACTATTTGTTTATAAATAAATTCTATACGAGTTCATAAGAAAAAGAGAGACTCCCTTACAATATAATAAACAGAAGACTTAATAAAAAAAACAGCAAATATCACTTGCGGTAGTGAATATGAAAAAAAAAGTTCTTCAATTGGTATTTTAAGTATTTATTGCATTATACAAATCCAAAATATGTATGATGACAACCTTAAAAATCGACATCGCAACTCTGAATGCTAAAACAAATATTTTTGATTCATTTCAGGAAAACTTTCTGTAGATGCCGATGTCTTAAATCCTTCGAGCAACAATAATAACCACAAATGGCCAACATCTTGTGCGAGTCTTCTTCAAAACAGTATCAATTGCATAAACAGTTCTGCTGGCTCATCGACAAATAATACTAGTAGTAATAATAATAATAATAATAGCACTCAAACGAATAATAACAATAATAATAATTTGAAGCCATCAAATCATCTCACTAGTATGTCTTTAAATCACAATATGCAAGCCCATCATCATCACCATCACCATCATGCTCTATCGTCAGCACTTTCATCACCTTTCAGCTCTCTTATAGGAGCAGGTGGAAGCGGCTACTTACTTGATCCACTTGGAAATCTTCAAAAGTCTGCTGCTTCGAATCATTTGTTTTGAACACTATCAAGGATTAAAAATGCGTGAAGACGTTTTGTGAATTAAAATGAATGTTTTATCTTTAAGAAAATAGTATTAGAACCATGCTAGGAACCTTGAAAGACTTAATGATAGGAACGAAAAGTAATGTGATGATTAAAGTTCATTACTTATTTGTATGTATCCATACTTTGAAAGCTTCGTCCAATCCAAGAAAAAAAAAATTAATTATATTAATTGCGCAATTAGAAAAACTTTGATGTCATTCCGGAAGGACAATTAATGGTCCTTATTATTTGGCACTCACATCATAAAGTGAAATTAAAAAAGATAACTCAACGATAGAAGAGAATATAAAATGTGAACACAAAATGCCAATTAAAAAATGTGAAGAATCAGTCAAAATAATGATGAATTATAGTATACGGTCCTTTAATTTCATAGTATACGGGCTTCATGAAAAGCGCAAGTAATTCTTGAAGAGCTAATAAATCAAGTGAAAAAAGTTTCCAAAATTTTCCCATCTATGTACATTCCTTGTTTTAAATGAGTCATTAGATTTTTACAGAACAAACGTCAACATAGATGACAGTTTAAGACGGAAACTTTCTAAACTACAAAACGAAATATGAAAAGTGAATTTTTTTAATTTTATTTTTCATCTATTTTTCAATCTGCATGAATTTTTGTATACGAAGATGTAAAAAAATGTTGGGAAACTTTTTTTGGTCCAAATATAAACATGAAAGATGCCTGAAATAAAACTGTTGATACTGAAAGGAAAACCTGTATACATACAATTTTTAAATTTAGGAACAGTTGAATGGAATGAGTTTGAAACAAAATAAAGTTTAAAGGGATTTAAAGAGATATCTCTTTTCATTCCTTTAATTACAATTATTTCTTACTCTCTAAGTTTGTTTACAAAACGTTTCCTTCTCGATTTGCTTCAGAAATTATTTCTTCTGAAAATGATTTTTCATCCGCTCCCATAAATTTTCTTTCTCATTCCAACAACAAATCTTCCTTTCACAAATTTTGTCCTAAATAATATAAACAGTAAAAAGGAAAAACAAAGAAAAAGATGAAATCTAATTCCGAACCCAATGAGCGATTATTTGTATTAGACGAACAAAGAAAGAAAGAATGAAAGAAAACTTTGTAAAAATTAATGAAAACAAAAGTTTCCAAAAGAAAAATAAAATGATTGAAAAAAACGAGGCGGAAATTAATGTTCTAAAATTTTTAGGAATTAAATATTATATATTGATGAAACTAGCCGGTTTATTTTCAGAATTTTATGGAAAAATCAAAGATTTTTAGTTAAATTTGACGAAACTCCGTCTGACGCTTTTTTGTAAGCTTTAAGTCTACGTTACAGGCTGCATGCAAATTCTTGAATTTTTATTCCGTCTTAACAAAAACCTGTATATAAATATAATAAAATCTTATATACATCATATTCACTCTGAACTGAACTGAGAAAACTCCACCTACGCGCGTATAATATGCGCAGAGAAAAAGAGCTGACCATTTTCATACGCTCTCAGTTTTTGAATCATCAATGAAACAATCTAGGAGACTGTAGAAAGTTTCGAGGGAAGATCGGAAAAATGCATACTTTGAGTTACTCAGTTTTAGGGGAAACTGAGAAGAAAACATAAATTAAATAACTCTCTTCAAAACATTCTAGTACGCTTTTCATTTTCAATCTCAAAATGAAAAGTTTGTAATATCATTTTTATAAAAAAAAAATTAGAAAGTGAAGAAAGTATGATACAAATTGTGATGTTATGTTTGATCTAAATATTTAACGTTAACTAAGAAATTCTCAAAAACATGTTGATCGTTCACTCTTTCTTACTCTCTCGATATTGTGTAGGTGAGGTAAGGATGGCAGACTCATGATTCTCTGTTAAAAAAGGGTTTGCGTAATATGACAAGATTCGTATGCTTAAAATGAGCGTTTTATTTGAGAAGCTGAGTATATCTCATCGATCGTATTTGTAAGCGATTGAAGGGGAAATCTACGAATAAAATAGATTTGCTTATAAGTCAGTAACTTTTGTGGATCCTCCAACAGTTACTAATTCACCAGTCTAGAGTTTACTAGCGATAAAAAAAACTTTTTAAAAAAGTCTTGTGAAAATATTTCATTTAAAGTTCTTTAATATGTCCTTGGAACGTCAAGTCAGAAATAAGGTCAGTGTTTCCAAATTAAATTAAAGTGTATAAAATGGTAGAAAAACTAGTGCAATTAGAACAGAATTATTTTATGCAAAACGCTTTAAGTTACAAATAAGAAATTTTAATTTAACAGCTCGCTGGAAAGCGTAATGCTGAGCAAGAGGGTGAAGCCAAAGAATGGATTGAATCAGTTTTGGGCAGTAAATTCCCACCAGGTGAAGCTTACGAAGAAGCTCTCAAGGACGGAATTATTCTCTGCAAATTGATGAACAAACTCAAGCCTGGATCAGTTCCAAAGATCAATACCACTGGTGCTACTTTCAAAATGATGGAAAATATCAACATGTTCCAAAAAGCATTAAAAGATTACGGAGTTGCCGATCTTGATGTTTTCCAAACTGTTGACTTGTGGGAGGGTAAGGATATCTCTCAAGTCACAATGACACTCTTTGCCCTTGGACGTGAGGTAAGAATTTTAAATTTAACAACTGAAATACCAAATTTTGATTACTTTTTCGGATTTAGACTTACAGACACCCAGAATGGAATGGACCATACCTTGGGCCAAAACCATCTGAAGAAAATGTTCGTGAATTTGATGAAGAAACAATTGCTGCTGGAAAAGCCGTCATTGGTCTTCAAGCTGGAAGCAACAAAGGCGCCACTCAAGCCGGACAAAACATGGGAGCTGGACGTAAAATCATTCTTGGAAAGTAAATTTCTATTCCACCTTCAAAACTCGCGTCACTTTAACTTTGGTTTTACATTTTTTATTCTTCTATTAACTGTAAGTAAGTATGTTTCACGAAAATCCAAAAGTGGCCTAAAGGAAATTGTATTTTTACTCAATAAATCTGGTTATTTTCAATTGGAAGAAAATTTTATTTTCTCTATTTTTAACATTAAAACGTCACTCATGAAATTTCAGTATACATTCGTGAACATTTATGGTCAAATGATTTTTATTTTCTCTTGCAAATTTCGTCTAAGGGAGATTCCCGCTACGTTTTCCCTCAAAGTTTTTTGAACTATTATTTAAGTGGGATCTGGGATTTACCCAAAATACTAAGAAAACAAAGACACACATTAAGTAAGAACTAAAATCAAGTAACGTTAATGTTGGTGATGAACTGCTGCGATGGTGACCAGGTGAAACAAATAAAGTTATTTAATTCAAAATTTTACTACTGTAAATTATATTAAATTCATATTATTTAGTATCTGCATATTATTACTAGAATTACATTCATAAATTCAGCTGAAAAATTTAATGGCGATCTTCAAGAAATGCATTTATGAATAGGACATCTGGTTTCCAATGACTTATTGAGTTCTTTAAATATTTTTTCTTTTGTTGTGTTCAATTTTGTTTTTCTTACTCAGACATTTTTAAAGAAAATCATGAGCGGAGGTGTAAATAACACACAGATTTTCGCACAGCATTAAGCATACATACCTTCATCATTCGACTTAATTTCGTTTGTACTACTAACTTTAAAAAACACATGCACAAAGAAATTGTGTATCGACGTGTTTTTATATCGCAACTGGTCGTTTCTTCACATCTAAATCTCAAATTTTAGTTATAAGGAACTGGAGACGCTCAGCTACCACTTAGTTTGAAAATTTAGCTCAGTCTGGAGAGACAATTCTTGTCTAGCGGTCAAACTTCGTAACCTTTTTGCTTACCTTCATATATTTACTCTCAAAATTTAATTGAAAAATATGTCCTTGGAACGTCAAGTCAGAAATAAGGTCAGTTTTTTCCAAATTAAATTAAAGTGTATAAATTGGTAGAAAAACTAGTGCAATTAGAACAGAATTATTTTATGCAAAACGCTTTAAGTTACAAATAAGAAATTTTAATTTAACAGCTCGCTGGAAAGCGTAATGCTGAGCAAGAGGGTGAAGCCAAAGAATGGATTGAATCAGTTTTGGGCAGTAAATTCCCACCAGGTGAAGCTTACGAGGAGGCTCTCAAGGACGGAATTATTCTCTGCAAATTGATGAACAAACTCAAGCCTGGATCAGTTCCAAAGATCAATACCACTGGTGCTACTTTCAAAATGATGGAAAATATCAACATGTTCCAAAAAGCATTAAAAGATTACGGAGTTGCCGATCTTGATGTTTTCCAAACTGTTGACTTGTGGGAGGGTAAGGATATCTCTCAAGTCACAATGACACTCTTTGCCCTTGGACGTGAGGTAATAATTTAAATTACAGCGAAAACTCAATCAGACTGAAAATTATTTTCTCATTTAGACTTACAGACACCCAGAATGGAATGGACCATACCTTGGGCCAAAACCATCTGAAGAAAATGTTCGTGAATTTGATGAAGAAACAATTGCTGCTGGAAAAGCCGTCATTGGTCTTCAAGCTGGAAGCAACAAAGGCGCCACTCAAGCCGGACAAAACATGGGAGCTGGACGTAAAATCATCATTGGAAAGTAAATTTTCATTCAAGATTTTCTCGATTTTTCTTGAAGTTTACTTTTCTACGACTCAAAAATGCTCTTAAATTTATTTTTATATTCTCCCACGCAACTTTCATGCAACACGATCGTGAGTGAGAAGGTTACTTAATTCTGTTATGGTTTCATAAGTTTTGGCCAAATTAAAATAAATGATGGATTTTAATTTAAGATGAAAATGTGCTTTATTTTTTCAAAAAACTCAGGTGAAACCTCTGGGTAGAATAAATGTTTAACACCTTTTTCATGAATTCCTTTTGAAAGTATTTTTAGAAATTATCTCAACATATTCGCAGATCCACAATCACACTTCTAGAAAGAAATGTAATAAATGATTACTTTTTTTCAAATGTTTACATTATAGTAAGATGTGGTGATGATTAATTGGAATGTATTATTGCAGAATTTAAATAACAGAATCAAAAACAGAGAAATTTATTGGCATATACATAGATAGTTAATTTATGTCAACAAACATTCCATAATTTAGATTTTCAAATGAATGACTCTTGTCTTAAGTCTGAATTTGTCAAATATTTTGTTGATTTTTATTTTCAGCTACACACCTATTTTATAGTGAAGTGCGATTTCATATCAATTTGTCAATAATTAACATTGAATTTTCTTCATATAATTTGATGATAACTTCCGGTTGATAGAGGTTCGAATCTTCACTTCTTAAAACTTTTCTGAAAATAGAAACATTCAGATTCCTTCTGTGGTAAATAAAAGAAGTGGGAAAATATTCATATCTTGGGTGTATTCAAAATGGCTTACAAGTGGATGCCATTATCTTAACATACCGATTTTCGATAAAATAAAATATTTAGCCCCATTTGTCAGTTCTTATTAATTTCTAATTGTTGATGAATAGTTATTTGTCACAAATAATCTGATTATGTTTGAGCATAAGCTACTATTATTTGAAACAATCTGACACTGATGATTTAATTAGTTATTGTAAGATAAGATGGAGTCATTAAGAAGGAATTTTTACGTACATATTATTATTTGCAAAAAAAGATTGAAATAATCACAAAGTTTTCCTAACAAAAACTTGCTTTCTTTTATACATAGTTCAATTTATTGCAAGTGTTTTGTGATGTAATTGCACTTAAATTGATAATCTTACATTTTAAATGATCAGGGATAGTTATCTTTGACTGTGATTTTTTTATGGAAATATATAATCTTTAAGAGAAAAAAAATCAAGTATATCACTCTAATGTTTTGCAGTTTTATTATTGATATGTACGATCATGATCAACTAGAAATTCAAGTTTTTGAAAGGTTTCGTCATTTGGATCGATACATTTTCAATTATTATCCAAAGTTTTCTCCTTTGAGTCACGTAAGAAACAACCTTAATTTTTTTTTTTTGAAGGACCTGACGATGAATAACACGTAAAATATTATTCTATCTAATTAAAGGTTACATGATTCATTAAATTAATATTTTTTGTGAAAATGTTTCAGAATGTTTTATTCGGAATAATATTTTCTTATTTCTCTCATTTTCAGCCGCCCACGCATCATTTGATTTCTGTGTTGCTCATGCTTTCGATTTACATTTTATGACACATCTTTTAAAATGTGATATGTTTATTCTACTATTTTTTACTTAACTATGTGAACTATTTAAATTTTTTATTGTAACGGAGCGAGTGAAAATGTTCTTTTTAAGAATCAGATGAATCTTTTGGATTTGCCAAATATTAAATTTGATATGTATGTACGAATATTTAACTTTACTTCAAACAAAAACTTATGGTAACCGTGTGCTACAATTTTATTTATTTCTTTTCTTGTGAGGTGTTTATCATGTCATTACGGGCATTTATTTTTAGCATCACAAAAATAGAAAAGTTATATACATAGGTGTATGGAATATTGAGAGATATTACAATAACAATTAAGTCAATTCTATAATTTGAAATTTAAAAGGTATCATAATTAAATATGTAAATTTATTTAATGAATCAAAGAATCTTTAATGAAAGTAATAAGAAACTGATGATTATCATGCATACATTTTTTGATCGTTAACAGGAGACACGCATAAATAGAAATAAAAAATATCAGATCAAGCGAATGCATTCGCTAGAAATATTTTCACAAAAAAATTACATTCAAAGTTTTTTGCATTTTCATAAATTTATATTTATTTATCTATTTCCATCTTACAAGTTATTGAGAACAAAAAGTTGCCGGTTAACTATTTTTAAGGTTTATCCAATAGATATATGGTCTTTTCATTTTGTTTTTACCGATGATATTTCTGTTGTTTTTCATAATTTCCTCACATTTTCCCACTAAAACGAACATTTTACAGTTCGTTTGAAGAATGAGACACGTTGAGTTTCTCTTCTTCTCTATTGCTGCTGCCCCTTACAATAGTGCCGTGTGCATTTGACTACATAGACTACCCATCACACGGCCACCACCCGTTTCATTCAACGTCGAATAGCAGAAGAAAATTTAAGTCTTCCAGAGAAGTTTATCACGTTATTTAATCAATTTTTTTTGTGTTCTGGAAAATAAATTTAATAAGTAAGTGAAATTTATCTTCAATAAAGATGTGTTTGAGGGATCGTTCAAAGCAAATAAAAATGTCTGGTGGTAAAAATTATACTAAGTTCTGATTTTAATCAAATAATTTCTGAGCTGAATTCAACTCACCTTTCATGTGCAAACTCAGAAAACGAAATGAAAGGTTCAAAACCCGAAATCCCGAAGTGAAAAATTTCCGTCTACTTACACATTCAAAAAAGAAAAACGGTGTTTTCGCAAGCAGTTATAAGAAAGAAAATATAGAATCCTAAATATAGAATTTTGATGTTTGTGATGATCGAAGCTCAGGTGAAAAGTGTAATGGAGGGAGAAGAAAACTTAAAATGATTTTCAATAACCATAAATGGATATGTTTGCTTATTTTATTTCTTTTTATTAAAATCAATTATCAAATTATCCTATTTGTGTTTAATGACAAATAAGTTAAAGTTTTTCAAATATGTTTTCATCTTGATTTGTGCTTGCAGCCGGTGTCATGTTTTTTATTTAATCTTTAAATATGTACATAGTATATCTTATTTTTATCTAATGAAAAAGTTGTAAATAAAAGTTCTCATAGTCATTATAGAGAGGTTCTCTCTTTACAAGAAAAGAAAATAGCATTAGCGATTTAAATTTGCACTTAATTTCAATTAGTATCAATAGTTATGTGCTAAGCAGTGTAGATCGAGATTCAAGTTTTAATTCGCAGTAGTCCAGAAATAAAAGGTCAGAAATGCCCTTGATTACATTCATTGTGAATAATTGTAATGAAAAATTCTATTTCAAAACATTATGAATCGTTTTCACACACATAGACATTCATAAATTGAACGGAAAAATGTTATAAAACGGACTGAAAACTCGAGAAAAATTCTATTTTTAACTAGTGAAAAAACACTCGAAATGATCAAAAAAATGTTTTCGTCTAAAATTCAATAGGAAAGAAGAAAATGAAATCGTTGCGTAATGAAAGAATTTTATACAAGGCTAAAAATAAAAAGCACCATTAAAATCCAGTGGGATGGCTATCAAAAACATAATTACTGTTTTTGGATGCTGTCAACTCTATATTATTTTTGATATAACTTTATGCTTTTATGATTTTTTTTCATTGAACATGTTTTTATTCATCCATGGTTTATTTCCTTCCTTATCTTTACCCAACACTAGAAATTTAAAGAATTTCATTTAAACAAAAGATTTAAAAGTGTCGAAGAAAATGCCTTTCAAACCAGTTGATAACCCTAAATGCCCAAAATGCGGAAAATCTGTATACGCTGCTGAAGAACGTGTTGCTGGCGGACACAAATTCCACAAGGGATGTTTCAAATGCGGTAGGCTTATCCTGCATTTCAACTATCAGTTTTTATTTTATTACTTGAAATTTTCCCTCAAGGAATGTGCGGTAAATTCTTGGATTCAACCAACTGTGCTGAACATGAAGCTGAGTTGTATTGCAAAAACTGTCACGGAAGAAAGTATGGTCCAAAAGGATACGGATTCGGTGGTGGTGCTGGATGCATGTCCATGGATACTGGTGAACAATTTAAGGGAGATGCGTGAGTTGACAATTCTTTTTTTACCATTTATGCTTTAATTATTGTATCCACCCCACCCTTGAATAATTTACGATTATACTAAGATTTTTTCTCTCTGGAGGGACTTTCCTTGTCGAGATTTTTTGGACAATATTTTCATTCTGTAAATAATCTGAACATCTCATTTTTTCCCTATCATAGTCTATGATAAGCATTAAGAATATTTAAAAATAACATTTCGTGAAAAGATCGATTCACAATTTCTTTGCTTATGTACGAAAACTTAACTAAAATTAATAGGAAATGAAAAGTTTTCTAATGTCTCTCTGTCCGTTTTTAACCATTCCAATGAACTACATACATTTAAATTTCCAAATTGAATCTATTTCATCTGATCTCATTCAAAGTTTCTTTCTGATGCTAAGTAGATACTTACACAAATTTTTGTTGTTATGTTGCATTTGGCAAGAAAAAATTACATTCTTTACACAAAGTTTCATTCTTTTTAAATCACGATTTCGTCGGTACATCAAGCTGTTAAATAATATTTTTACAATGACTACAAATATAAGATGATTCGTAGAAAAATTGTTATAAAATTGTAAGAAATATTTCTATAAATAAAAATTTTAAGAAAAAAACGTGTAAAGTTTTCCAACATGTTGAAGAAATGCGGCAAGGCTTAGAGCAATAAATAGGTTAATTATATTTAAAACGGCATGCTGACACTTTCTGAAGTCTTGATGAAAATGGGTCAGTAAAGACACTCGAGATAAAAACATTTTGTCCGGGGGCGATTGATAAATATTATGAAATATTGCAACGTGTTTTGATTCTTGTAATTTGATTTTTTTTTATTCTTTCTTCTTGTTTTTAGCCAATAAATTTTTATGACACTTAAAAAGTTCGTCACTTCGTGACTTATCCACATATGCACACACATCAAAGCAGTTACACAAAATGCGATTTTCTTTGAAATAGACGCACATATTTTACAAAAAATTCTAAACTAAATGTTAATAAGAAAGCTGATTAGACAAAATATTCTTCTTTAAAAAATTAATTTAAATTCCTCCAATAGCTTCAATCGAAACAATAGAAAAATGACAAAGTCTTTCAGTTAAAATTTCATATTTATGTCTCATCAAAAGTTTTGTATTTACGTCTAAAACAATTGATTGGAATAAAGATCATTTGAATCAAAAGTTACTAGTTGTTGACTTGAGAGATTTTCAGAATTCAATACACAGGAGGAAATTAAAAAGTGGAAAATAGGAAATGAAATTCATGATCTTTTCTTGGGTAATGACTTTTAATTTTTTTTTCTTTTTCTTAATGGGCTTATTGACGAGTTTAATTCAATACTTAATTTCGTGATCTTTCAAACATGACTTAAGCAATTATTTTTCTTAAATTTTATACGCATGAATTGCAGAAGAATCTTGTTTGAGGGTCATTTTTCGGAGACTTACAATAATTAGCAATTAAAAGCATGCAAGCTTTTGTCGGAGTTTAAGGCTGCTATATGTTAAATTTATTTTTTATAACTATTTCTATTGTTCATTTAAATGGATTGATTGGTTTAAGTTGATGAACCCAAAATTTAATGATTTTTTATAAAAAGATCAATTTGACAATTATCATTCGATGGGTTCATAAACTTTGAACTCTTGGAAATCTTAAACCTTTCAATCTACTTAAATTTTTCAAGACCTCAGCATTGACGTGCATTGTAAATTTATGCCAGTAATGACGCGTCTATGACGGGGTTTCATTTTTCTTCATTTCATTTAAGCCAAAGTCATTTTTTTCTTTATACACTAATGTATCATTAGATAAACTTTAAGTGTGTTTATATGTTAATTTATTTCTTCTATTCACTTGGTTCTATCCTTTTATATTCTCTGATTTTTTTTCTCCAATTAATGGGATAAGGAAAGTGCCTCCAGATATCCTCGCGTTCTTTTTGAATCTTTTAGTTTTAATATGAAATTTTTACATACGTTCATACTTCAAATTAATAAATATTAAAATTGTTAATAAGAAAATCGCTTAATTATCTAAATTTTGGGGAAATTCATTTACCTTCTCCCATTGATTAATCACCAATACTTTAAATTCATTGATGAAAGAATAAATTTTAAATTGCTTCCTTTTTCTTTATTCTTCCATCAGTTGTAACATCAAAAGTTTCAAAATTTGATTATTTTTTCTTTCACGACTTTAGTTCTTAGATATTTTAAAACGTATTTAACTTTGATTAATCTTTAACTATTGTATGAAATATCTTTGTTTGAACTATATTAATAAATTAAATTATTTTAGTGAAGAAATTGCTGAAGTGAAGAGACGTGAACCACGACCATTCGCTAAAGCACCAGAAGGTGAAGGATGTCCCCGATGCGGAGGATATGTCTACGCTGCGGAACAAATGTTGGCACGTGGTCGTGTAAGTTTACAATAATTTATTTATTATGTCTTTCGATTATATCTTTTTGAAAAAAATTTGAATGAATCCCCTTCAGGGATATCATAGACGCTGCTTTAAATGTGTAGCATGCAATCGTACTTTAGATTCAGTTGTTCACTGCGATGGACCAGATAAACAAATATACTGCAAAGGTTAGAATAGATTTTGATTAGCATCGAGTATATAACAAAAAGATTTTTGTTCATTTGTCCAATTCCAATGTTATTAATTTGATTTAAATGTTAACTGTTTCAATCATTGTTCATTACTTTCCCCTTAGCCATGGCATAAAGGATGTTTCAAATGCAATGAATGCAACAAAGGTCTTGATTCACGAAACTGCTGCGAAGGATCTGATAAGGAAATTTATTGTTCGGTTTGTTACGGAAAGAAATTTGGCCCGAAAGGCTATGGTTATGGTCAAGGTGGTGGAGCACTTCATAGCGACGATTATGTCAATGGGTAACTTAACATTGTTTGAATATTTGTAGTTTAATATTCTAAGTTTATATGTACCATCACTATTTTAAAATGGTTGTTTTATGTAGCTTTAAGTTGTAGATATCAAGATTTTGCAGAGCAAAATCTCAGCAAGATTGTAAAATTCATTATGCGTGTTGTTTTCCTGTACATATCTCTAAGATTTCTTAATTTTCACATCAAACGTTTTCAATATTCATTTAGGATGTTATGCGATCAAATATGGTTCTCGTGGCTATGGTCACAATGGGATCTCTTCACTTGGTTTGATGTGCGATGCAAGAGACCTCGAATGGCAATGGTACATATGCTTGTCAATGCTTGATAGTTGATAAAAATTTATTCATAAATATCTAGAATACCTCATCCTCATAAGTGTATGAACTTTTTTTCTTAGTGAAACCCATGCACCGAAAACAACAGTAGTAGATACTGCTTCTATTAAAGCAACATCTGGTCAAGGTTGTCCACGTTGTGGTGGTGCAGTTTTTGCAGCTGAACAGATGCTTTCCAAAGGACGCGAATGGCATCGTAAATGTTACAAATGCAAAGATTGTAATAAGACTTTAGATTCTATCAATGCATGTGATGGTCCTGATAAAGATATTTATTGTAAAACCTGTTATGGTAAAAAATGGGGACCGCATGGATATGGTTTTGCAAGTGGTTCTGGTTTCTTACAAACTGACGGAATGAGGTAGCATTCGACAGACTAATAAAATATTTAAAAACGTTAAAACTAAAACTTACATATTCTCTTTTTATGTTTGTAGTGAAGATGATTTGAATGCAAATCGTCCATTCATTATTAACAGTACAACAACAATTAAAGCACCAGAAGGCCAAGGCTGTCCTAGATGTGGTGGTGCTGTTTTTGCAGCTGAACAACAGTTAGCCAAAGGAACAATGTGGCATAAAAAATGTTTCAATTGCAGCGAATGTCATCGTCCATTAGATTCAATGTTGGCTTGTGATGGACCAGATAAGGAAATTCATTGCCGTTCATGTTACGGTCGGTTGTTTGGACCAAAAGGTTTTGGATACGGACATACGCCTACACTCTCAACAAGTGGCGAATCTACAGTAAACTGGTAAACTTTCAAGATTAGTTTTTAATGAATTTTAGAAATTCATATTTTAAATATTCAGTCGTAGTGCTATTGGCGGAGTTCGCCCAACTGATGGCTCCGGATGTCCAAGATGCGGATTTATTGTTTATGAAGCAGAAAAGATGATCAGTAAGAGCAGCTCATGGCACAAACGTTGCTTCAATTGTTCAGAATGTCATCGATCTTTAGACTCAACGAATTTGTGCGATGGACCAGATGGCGAAATTTATTGGTAAATTTTAATTTTTTTATTGGAAAATTCCTTAACCTAAACTTTTCTATTTGTTTAGTCGTGGATGTTATGGACGACAATTTGGACCACGAGGTGTTGGTTTTGGATTAGGTGCTGGTGTCCTATCAACAGTTTAGAATATCAAATCACCTTAGAATTACTTTTTTCTATCAATTTTGTAATATCAACCAATTCGATGACTACTCTTAAACTCTTAAACAATTCTCGAAATTATCTTATAAATTATAACCCAATGTTGTTTATTCTATCATTTGTAAACAGAGAAATTCAATCTCAAATCAGTTTCTTTATTTTATTTTGTTATTACCATTTAAATGTCTTCTGCTTATCACGATAAATACTACACTTAAATAAGTTAACAAGTAGTAAATTTAAACGAGAAACATGAATTTAAAGCACTAACAATTTTTATTTTTTATTATAATTTACATAAGGAAGCAATTGCAACTATTGGACCTCCAGGTTTGTTCAATAGTTGAGTTCTGTGGTCGAAATCTTTGTGCTTTAGAACTTGTATGACGACGATCGAAAAAAAAAAACGTTTTATACTTCAGGATCGACTTTTTTTAGCTTTCATTGGACTTTGTATAAACTTAATTAAAAAAGCAATGTAATCAAATAAAAAATAATAAAAATAAAAGAAAATCTTCATTTCTAATTATATTTTTACTTTCGGAAAAAATTATAACAGAATGTTTTATAATTTAAGGCAATATTTAAATTAATGAGAAATATTTATACATAAATTATGATCGAATATTAAAAACTTAAATTAAAGAGAGAATGAGTGAATCTGATCATTGAACTTACAGCTCAACATAAATATTACAATTTTTCCCCACTAATGTTGTGTAAAATATTGTAGTAATCATGTTCGGGAAACCTTTCTAATTCAATGTAATCTGTGGCAGATGCCAACATATTATCTAAATTTTGTTTTATTTCGCTAAAATCTGGTCTTGCCTCTGGATCGGAATCCCAACAATAGTACATGTAATTATATATTTCTCTACTGGTATGTTCTGGTTTCTCAAGTCTGTATCCGTCTCGTACTTTTTTCATAACATCAGCTGCTCCCATACCTGGATAAGGCGTTGATCCAAGAGTTGCAATCTCCCACATTAAAATTCCAAAACTCCAGACATCACTTTTTACAGAAAAAATATTATCGTATAGAGACTCAATAGCCATCCACCTATATATATTAAAAAGAAGTTAATATACAAAAAAAAAATTAAATAAGTTCAATGACCTTATTGGCTGACGTCCTCCAGTTTTTCTTTCATAAACTCTTGAAGTTTCAATGTCACGCGCAAAGCCAAAATCGGCAATTTTACAAGTATAATCTTCAGTGATTAAAACATTTCGTGCTGCTAAATCTCTATGAATTATCTAAAAACCAATTTCACACTATTAAGGAGCATTCTTAAAAAGTTTTCTCAGTAAACTCACCCCACGAGATGATAGAAATTCCATTCCTCTTGCTACTTGATACATAAATGATATCAAATCTTGTGAAGTTAAAGTCTTTGATTTTCCCGTTGTGTTGTCGTAATTCTTTTCCATTCTTGAGTTTCGTAAGAAAGTTTGAAGTTTTCCAAGTGCGACGTATTCAATAATCACGAAAACAGGATCTTTTTCGGTGCAGCAAGCAAGTAGTCTGACAACGTTGACATGTGATTCAAGAGATTTCATGACTTGAAGTTCTGACATTAAGTCCTTCTTTTCACTTTCGATTGCATTTTCTTTTAAAGTTTTTACAGCAACTGTACTAACACCTTCTAAACCATCAATATCTGTTGCTTCACATCGCCAAACTTGGCCAAACGCTCCCTCACCAAGAATATTGAAAACTTTCAATCGATGTCGTGGGAATTCCCATCGATCATAGCCAGGTACTTTGGCATCGCCACTTGAATAAGAAAACGAACTGCTTGAATGAATACCATCACTACTCCATGGAGTATAACGGTTGTTATAAGCTTGGGGACCCATCCAATGCTGAAGCACCATTGAGTTCCGACTACTTTCATCAGATAATGTAATCACTTGAATGCTTTGGTTTGAATTTTTGGCTTTATCAACTTTGCTCTTCTTGAATGTGCGCCTGAATGGCTGGCAAATCTTCTTGCGAAAAATGATCACTCCAATAATCCCAGCAATGAGAAATATTAAAATAATAGCAACAAAGATAGGAATGATTGCTGGTGTCGTGATAAGTTGAACTGAATCTGATGGGCCTGCAGTCTGACCTGTTTCAGTTGTTACATTCAAGCCCGACTTTATAAAAGAATCATCAGAATCGTCGTCCTCTTCAATATATGTTTTATTTTGCGGAGATCCCACTTCATTATTATTTATTGGATGGCTTATATTTGGTTTTATTGATGAAATGAAGATTCCGCCATTTCCTCCATGAACTGGAGTTGGGAGTGATTCAAAATCTGGAAGTTTCGGAAATGAATTCTTCAGTGGAACAAAATTATCATTTCTATTATTTCCATTTATGCCCGTGATTGATACACGAACTTGATTTTTCACACTGTAACTTCCATCGTCAGCTCCTACTGATAAGATGAAAGGTCTTTGATTTGCCTTGAAAGGAAAAAAATAATGTCTTAGATATTGACTCGAAAATGTTTGATTTTCCTATGCAGAAAATGAGAAGACAATCTACTTACACGCCCTTCTAGAGATTTGTTAAGATATACATAGCCAGTATGTGGATGAATCCAAAAGGGATTTTCTTGATTAGGACTAAACGGGTCGACTAATTCTAATGAGTAACTAACTGTTTGATTATTCTCTCCTTGAACGTGAACAGTTTGAACGATGGTTCCGATCTTTGTTGATTCGGGAATGCTCCAATTGCGATCAACAGAAATCGTGGCAGGTTCAATACCTCTTGATTGCGTCGTCGTAAAAAGAAGAAGCAAAAGAAGTGAAATGTGTAACCGCATGACGAAATGTTTTTATTATTCGACTGGACGTGCTAAACTTCCAGACAAACTTTCTCTTTCACAATTTTAAAGTCTCTTGAATTTTTTCATGTTCTTGCTTATGTTCAAAATTTCCGCATCCACAAATGCCACAAATTTATTTATTAACTTTTACTATCACTAGTCACTTCCTTAAAAAAGCTTCCTCCTTGATATCTTTAATAGTACAGGAACGGATTTCAAAGTTAAACATTTAACATAAGAAATCAAATCACGGATGTGGAGAATCATGTGTATTGGTCATGTAACAACTGTTTCTGACGTCACTGAATATTCTCAGTATGTACATGTGTGTTAACACTAACACTACTATGATCATCACATATCCAAAGAAATGTTAACTTTTCTCTTAACTTTCCCTTCGCCAAATCAAGATGTTCGTCAGTTTCACCTTGAGATTTTCAATAATCGTCTATCGATAACTTCAATTTTTGCACTTGATGTTGAATATTTTTATCTGTAAATTTGCGCTCCAATTAATTTTTTGCACATAGCACATCTCTGCTTCAATAATTGTGAACGGTTGGTTAGTTTTTGTATCTTTTCAAATAGTTTCTTTTCTAAACGCAATAAATGGAGGAAAAATTTAGTAATTTCTCTTTTTGAATTTTACTTGTTTGCATTTTTCCCACTAAATTAAATTACAATGCACTTTCATAATAAAATATTTATATTTGAATAAATGAAGAGTTTTAAATATTCTAGTTCATAAAATTTTTAAATTAAAAGTTAGATTTATAAATTTCAAGGGAACTACTCTTGAAAAACGTCTCGTTACTAGAAAATATAAAGTCACACATAAAAGACTGTTGTGAGAATACAAAGAAATGATTCGAGCAGATTTATACAGTCAAATATTTGCTGATGCTTCTTGAGCTTTCAAAGCTTTTTTCAAACACAAAGCAAAAAGTATGCGTGAGAAACAAGTAGTTTTTCTGAGTATCTAAACAAAATTTATTTAATTAAGACGCTTTTGCAATGAAAAATTAATGATTTAAGTAAAGATTCAGGGATTTTGTTTCTTGAATAATTTCTTTTATGCATTATTAAAATTAATCGTTATTTTAATAAGAATTGTTCTCTGTAATTTTTCAAGGGGTAAATTATCGGAAAAAATGAGCCGACAGAAGCAGCATTGATGAAAAGAAGCACTACCTTGACAAATTCCAAGAAAAAGTAAACGAATTCTTAGAAAATGGCAATTTTTCTTGAAAAGCACTAGGTAGTGATTTTTGAAGCATCATTTGGAGGCAGCCGGCAGAAGCACTATGATGATTTACCCCTTGTAATTTTTTGTTTATTTTCTTTCTCAAATTTGTTGTTTTCTTCTCTCTTTCTCGACGTTTGAGTATCATTACAGCTAAGGTAGATAAGTTAACATTTTCTTGAGCATATACATGAAATAAAAACATTGCAGTCTCAAGTAGATATATTGAGATTTTTACTGATTAAAATGAATACAAAAAATGTGTTTCTGTATGGCATTCTCTTTATTCCGTTTCTTGAGATTTCTTCTTTCTTTCATCGCTTTCAGTATTATCGTTCAACTGCTCAAAACAGCACGTGTTTTAAACTCTTAATCTCGCGATTTGTGTTGGAAAACAATTTTATTAAGTATGAAAATCAAGTGGATAAATTATAAACAATCGAAAAAAAATTAATCAAATATCTAAATGTTAAAAAGTTGTGAGAAATAACTTAAAATTGACTAATGAAATAAGAACAAAAATGCAGTAAATTACCCAAAAAAAAACAGTTCTGCAAAAGTTATCATTAAGAGAGACCTGTATTTAACAGGTTTTTCCTCTTTGATTCTTCGATTAATAACTGTAATTTCGTTTGATTGAGATCCCGAAGAAACGTTTTCTGTCCTGTTTAATTTTACAATCCGAGGCAGATCGTTTTAATCAATCAAAAATTATTCAAGTGAGTTTTGTTTCGGATCATTTATAGAAAACGATTCTTTCTCTCTTTTTACATTCTTTTAATGGTTCGCTAAGAGTCATTTAGAACGTTTTTCGCGGTGCAATTTTATAGAGCAGCAGACAGTGGTGAACAAATAGAGAACACAAATAGTTTAACCGTAACTTAAAACAGTTTTATAAAGGAAAATGAGCAGTAATACGAATCTGGAACTATTATATGATGAAATTGACTCTAAAGATCTTTATTCCCTCTAAAAAGTAAGAAACTTTTGAAAGATCTTGTAAGATCAAAACTTTTTCTCTTAAACTCGAATAATGAGTCATGGCGTATTGAATTCTACTATTTATGTTTATTCATATGTAATCTTGATTTCGCTTTAATATATCGTGAGACGTTATTGATTATATTTTCTTACCAATAAATATCCAAATGATTTATAACAAAAGAATTAAAAAAAATGGAAAGAAAAAGCGAATCGCAGCACATCGCGAACAATATTTGATTGATTCGATCCAAAAATAAGATTAAGAAGGAGAAAGATGATTTTTATTGCTTTTGACTTATGATTTTCACTTGCTCGCGTGATTAAGTCGCTTATTCGATTATTCGGTGCTTGGCTTTAAATATTAAAAATTTCAAAACGCTGTTCTCTGTAATTATCTTCAGCTGAAGAAAGCAAAACGGTGTTAGACGATATTAAACTAAAAAGGTTCCAATTTAAATATTTTTAATCATAAAACTCATTCAAGCATGCAATGAAAGAAACAAATTTACATTTAATTTTATTGAATGTTTGATTGTTGATGGTTCAAAATTAAATTACCAAGTATATATTTATAAGCATGCAAATTTTTATACGATTTGTATTTATTACAAATATTTTAAGAATATTTGAAGGATTATGGATCATAATAAACTTGAAAAAAAGAAGAAATTAACAGCATCTTACGATATTCTCCTCCATGGAATTTCCTTATTTTTTTGTTACTTTGTGGTTAAAATAATTCAAAGGGAAAATTTGTGTGATCATTCTCAAGTACTTTCTCATTAAGCCTATTAGAATAAATTTTAAGATATTTATATTTTGGGTTTCTCAAAATTGCTAAACAAGAGAATAAAATATAATTTAAATGACTCCAGCAAAAAAAATTCAGAAAGTTTGACATAATGTTAAAAGAAGAAAGAAGAAGAAAGTTATTGCGACATTTATTAAACAAAAACACGACAGTTGATCACAGTAATTGTTGAGATTTGACAAGTTGTTTTTAAAGCTTATTAAAAATTTCAACGCTTCAACACAATTAATTGATTAAATAAGGTTATTATTTGATTAATATGCACTGATCGGCTGAGAAGTTCTTTTATTGAAAACCATTTTAATAGGCTTAACTTAGTTTTCTACTGCTGCAATTTAAGAAACAGATTTGTTAAGTCACATTTTCTGTTTATCCATCATTAAATCATGGTGATTAATTTCCTACCTATTTGTTGATTCTATAATTGTTTCAGTTTTAATATGTATAATTCCGAATTTCTTAAGTTTGCTTTTTGGTACTTAGAAATTTTATTGGGTATGAAATCGGAGGTCTTAAATGTTTGGTCATGTATCATAAGGATGATTTGATAAAAAAATTCCAAATCAATTTCTTCTTTCTGTTTTTAATGCTTTTCAATCAAAAAATCAAATCTTTGATAAGCGGCATTTTCCAAATTATTATTTTTTTTATAGATTTCAATGATATTTGATAATAATATTTCTTGTATTTCAGATATTAATTATGAAAATTATTAAGCGACAGGGATGCAACTTATTCCTTGAAATCACTTGTGGAAAAGAAATACTTTAAATGCTTGACTTCTACCAAATGATAACTGCAAAGACGTGCATTTTCAAAAAAAGAAATTAGAAAGTGAATAAATAAAAAAAATATGCAGCAAACAAAGAAAGAACTTATGTCAGTTAACGAATGCTAAATTGGAAAAATGACAGTGAAGTTATGATTATTCTGAATAATAAAAAAATATTCACGTGGGGATGGACTCATCAAGTAACATTTAATATAGTAATTTGGTTTATTGAAAATTATCCTACGAGAAAATGGAAACACAGTTTGAGACAAGAAAATATCTTTGCTTTCTTATTTTTGCATACATGATATTATGGAACACCGTCATTTCCCATGATGAAGCAATGTCCTCTTCGCCAAAATTTGGGGATCGAATTGGTAAATTGAAACGAATTTATCAGTTCAATAATACAGGATCAGCTAAAACTCCCACAACTGCTACATCTTTGATAAAACAAAAATTTGATGTTCAAAATGAAATTCATCGAAGTGATAACTACTTAGAAACTGACGAAGAAGGAACTAAAAGTTATTTCATTTTAAAAGGAATAAAAGAAAATTCAATTGATACAGAAAATTTCCCAAGTGGTAGCAAATCATCAAATGTTCAAATAAATTCATCATCATCATCTTTAGTTCAAGCTCGACTCGAAATGTTAACTGATTTTTTTGACATTCCACCATCACCAATGCCATCTGTATTTTCCACACCATCTCGTCCAATGAGCATATCAAAGACAGGCGTTGTGTTGGCTACTAAAAACTACATAAATCCCACCACAAATACAACTTACAAAGGTCAACTCCTTTTAAACGAAACAGGACTCCGTCAACAAGCATGGGTGATTCCCATAATAGTATTGGCATGTATGTCAATGTTCCTGATGGCAGCTTTTGAAGTATTTGTCCTTGTTAAGACACGCCGAACATCGCCAAACAGACGTCATTTATTCTTAGGCCAAATGCTTTTGCTTGGCCTATTTTCTTGCACAGGATTATCAGCTTTATTGACAGCACGCCCGTCAACGTTATCATGTGCAACTATTCGGTTTGGAACAGGCGTCAGCTTTGCGATAGTATTTTCATCACTTTTAGTTAAGTGCATTTTTCTCATAAGTCTAAATGGAGGAATATATTTGCCAGCACCATATCAAGCATTACTATTGCTGTTTGCAGTACTGATTCAATTGACAGTTGGTATTCAATGGCTCATTACAGCATCCCCAGGAATCACAATTATCAAAGAAGTAACACAACAAAATAGATTAATATTCACATCAGATAATTTTAATGCCGTGAAAGATGGATGGCAACTTTGCCGAACATCATTCACAGATATGAGAATCTCATTACTTTACATTGATTTTCTCATTATCGTTGTTGCCATTCTCGCGATTAAATCGCGTGGAATCAGAGACAATTATCGCGAAGCAACTTTTATTGGATTAGCAATATCGTTAGTGATTCCAATTTGGTTGGGATGGACACTTGTTGGTTTCGCGGTTCATGAACGTCATAAAGACGCGTGTTTGGCATTTGGTCTCCTTGCAACGCCTTCCATAATATTTCTGGTAATGTTTATGCCTAAGGGAAGACAACTTGCAGCAATGGGCCGAGAAGATATTTATAACGAAGATAGAGATGAAAGATACAGTACATCTTCGAGAACTGGCTCAGGATATTCACCATCATTCTTTCATTTCAAACCTATAAAGTATGGGATGATGAATGGAAAAGGTGGAAATAGTATTGAAACAAATAACAAACATCAACAAGCCGTAAGCTCTTTAGGAGGTGGTGAGTCTGTTAAACATTTATTAATTTCATAAATATTAAGTTCAAATCACCATATGAACGTTATTTCAGATTATGCACTCGCTGCTCCCATGTCCTTTTATACACCAACACATACCACATCGCCTATGTATTATTACACGCAACACAAGTTTCCTCCACCTCAATATGCAGGTTAATTTTAGTGTACATGTAGATAATTTACTACATATTTGAGTGGACCAAAATCATTTTTGTGTCAAGTTTATTAGTTAAAATTTTATATAAACTTAATTTCAAGTAATCAGGTATATAGATACAATCTATAGAAAGTGTGGATTGCAATTAATGTAGTTAATTTTCATGGATTTTATTAAATTTCTTCTCTCTATATTAAAAATTTGGACGTACTAATCAGAATAAAAATTTCATCAAATTTATAAACTAATTTTTATTTTCATTCGTTTTCATAGGACTTTTCGTGGAAGATGACACAAATGCTTACACAACACTTGAGCAAACAATGAGTAGCAATCCCAACGTTTATTTTCAAAGGCCACATGTTCATCCTGGAATGATCTATTAAAAAGTTAACATAGATTTTATTGCTTAAGAATGGTAGGTTATAAGAAGAAATTGTATAGAAAATTGAAATATTTAAATTTTGCTGTATTTATCATTAAGAAATGAAATAAATGAAACTAAGACTTTCGCTATGGAAATCTGAGGATTACCTATCTAATTCTAAAAACTTTTTCTTCGCGAAATTCCCCTACCAGGATCACACGCCATCTACATGCAGAAATACTAAATACTCGGAGAATTGTTTATAAAAAGCGAGCTATCCACACAGGACTTCGGACTGCAAAACTCATTTTATTCTTCTTACCGCTTAATTGTAATCATCCAAGATAATTCAACAATAATGTTAACATTATGATTGTTTCTGAAAAGATACAACTTCCTTTACAGCCCACATAGTGTTGTAGTAAATAATCATAAAAAATCTACAATCATTTCATAAAAAGGTGGAAGCGTCCCAAAGTTTTTTTTATCTACATACAAACAACACGAAGAAAATCATTTTGATAAAATAATTTTTAAGCTTTAAATTATGAGTGAATTGGTGGAAGACTTTTTGGCACGTGAAAAAGACGGTCTTTCTGGACTAGAAAAAGAGATTCCCTCAGCATTCCAAGGTAACTTCTTGTCAAACTACGCATTTCACTTTATTGATTGTCAATTGGAAGAATAAATTTATACGATTTCATTTGGTAGATAGAGATACTTACATCTTTTATATTTTTCTCTTTTTCTTTAGAAAATGGTGACATAAGTGCAAATAATTACTGTGAAGATGATCAAGACGAATCATATGGTAGGTATATTGATTATATTTACATATTTGATAAAAATATAAAATAGATAAATAGATTATAGTTAATAATAAAATAAGTTCATCGTGACATTGTGACGTCATTACATTGTAATTTTAGTTGAGATTTCCCTGATCCGTTTTTTTTAAACGCATAATGCATAATTTAAGTATGGTAATGAAAAGCGTATTAAATACAAAGAGATTATTGCAAACATAATTTTAAATAATCGCCTAATACCTATTAAAATTGTCACAAGATATAAATTTTTTAAAATTTTCAATAGTTAAACCTCAATCAGCTGATGTACCTGAGAAGATTCGAAAATGGAGAGAAGAACAACAAACTCGATTACACGATAAAGACATTGCCGAAGAGAAGGCGAAGAACATACTTAGAAAACAAGCAGAAAAAGAACTCGAGGATTGGTACAAAAGACATGAAGAGACTATAACGAAAACTAAAACGCTCAATAGGTATACATGAAAGTAAAAATTTCACGAATCGAGCTAATGAAATTAGTTATTTATAATTAACCGATTTCATTCGAAATATCATCATCTGTTAGATTTTCTTTTATAATTATCTAAGCTATAGATGACTTGAAAAATAAATTAAACTTTCGATTTCTTTTCCAAATTTCTTTAAATTGCTGCCATAAGAGAATCAGCTAAGTAAGCAAACATTTTAATGCTTTCAATAATATTCTTAATGACATATTTCAATTCTCTTTTTTCTTGAATATATTCATTGTTCATTTTCATATTAATTTTAGAAATGCTGAAAAAGAAAATATTGCTGAAGCTGATGAGATAGAGCCTGGAACTGAATGGGAAAGAATCGCCAAGTTATGCGACTTCAGTCAATCTACAAAAGGTAGTAAATCTGTCAAAGATAATAGTCGTATGCGAAGTATTATTCTGCAGTTGAAGCAATCTCCGATGGAACGAGAAAAATCTTAATTCATTAATCCTCACTAAGTCAAACAATACAAATGGTATTCCAGAATCTGGTTAGAAAGAGATTAGACTATTTATGTTGTGCAACTAATTAATTAGGTTTTTGTTTTTGTCTCTTCAATGCTTGGTTGAATGAGTTCATAATGAGTATGATTTTCATTTATCGAATCATAAGTTCTGTTAGAATGAAATAAGTATTAATATTACCTAATTAAGTTGAAAAATCGTAACAAGAATCTCATTTGATAAAATTTTATAACATCCATTATTGTGTTATTTATTTAAAGAAGAATGATTTAGAGTTATTTTTGTGTTGAAAACAAAGCTGTAATGTATCAATGTAGATTAATCTTTTGCGCCTAATAAATATTTCAGTCTAGTGAAACTAACTATAAAAGTCGAAAAAACTCAATTTTAATTCTTTTTCATAAATATTCATGTCAAAAAGGGACAAGGGAGGGGAGCAAATAATGCATGATTTTTTTTAATTCTTAAAAAGCATTTTTATTTTAAATGACGTTCGAGACCAAAAAACTTTTCAATTACAAATGTAATTTACAATGAATTGTACGATGAGCGTAAAAAATCTTTTTCTACTTAAGTCTATTTGACTTAATTGGGTGCAATTCTCATCAAAAATTGTGTGCAAAAAAGGGAAGGAATTTTGGATTTTTTTCCTAATTTGTTAATTTAATAGAATACATACATTACATACTCATAATTTAATGTTATAATATCGTTAAAAAAGTGTCACAATTTCTTAAATTTCTTCATCCGCTTTCTTAATTGTGATACAGAAAGCAAATGCTTGAGATAAATTTATCAATAAGATCAATAAAAGCCATTTTCTGCTCTCGTGAATGTCGGAAGGCAAAGATTTTAAGTGCTTCGACTTCTGGCGTTTCACCTTCTCCCACATAAGTCAGTCGTCCTTTCTGTCTCTCCACCAAAGCTGCGACAGTTTCATGACAAAAGTTTGAGCTTGGATCAGCTGATGCACAGCATAATGTATAAATGGCGCTATAACAGTCATTTTTATTCTCATTGTGCAAGTCTAATGTCACAATGACATCAAATAAAAGCTTCCCAAAAGGCTCTACAGTCAAGTTACGTATCATGCCCAATTTATTATCTTGATCATTAATCATAGAATCGCCCAACGTCGTCAACAAATCAAGAGAAAGTCCCTGAATTTCAGGATATGCAAAAGATGTCAATCCTATTTTGATTGTGTACAGAAAATGATTGATGAGATCAACAGGAAGATTCTGAAGCTGGGATTAAAAGTAAATTATTGGTAAATGACAAATATCTTTGGAAATGAATATCAAATCATACTTACTTCATTATTACAAACAAGAAGTTCGATGAAGCAGTTCAGACTCTTGTAGTATGCCATTGTAATGTCGGGGAAACGTTGAAGGATTGGGTACATTTTTGGCATTAAATTAGATAAAATTACAGTTCCCAGACTGGTCACCATCGATGAATCTGAATAATAAATAAGAATAAAATGTAAGTTAAGCGCAATCTGCACAATTAGAAACTTACCAGCTGGCTCAAATATATATTGAACAGTTAATTTCTTGAAAAGTTCTACAACCATCAAAACATCATCAGGTTGTTCTTCTTCATCATTATAATTCTTTTCTAATCTTTGTCCTTGTTGTTCCATATAACATTGCATGGATTTTAAGCAAACATCGTAGAAATCACGTGCCAAATCAACGGCACCACTAGTCGTCATTTGAATGGTCGCCATTTCGATTAAAACTTTAAGAATAGCACATTGAATGTCAAGATAGTTTCGCCATAAAAGCATCATTTCAGGAAGTCGATGAAATCGATCACGTAAAACTTGATAAACGAATGAAAAGTTTTGTCCATTTATTCCTTGCGCCACTCCCGTCATTTCATCAAGAACTGCTAATAAACACTCTCGAACTGACGTCTCATGGGGAGAACGTTGACCATCGGTTACAACTCTGTCAAATCCATTTCCAATTGGTTCAAGTAAGTGCTGTAAACATTTTTGTTTCTGTTCAATACTTGTAAATGCTGCTGTTGCCATAACGAGACCTTTATAAACACTCCGTTTGACTTTTGAATCCAATTGAACATCTCGCATATGAATCAAATTCTGAAAACTTGGCAATTCCAAAATATATTGGAGCTTTTGATTGCGAACATTTACAATATCAAGGAATAAATGAATAGACTCTTCAACAACGTCCACATCGTGGTGATATTTATGCATGTTCCATGCAACTTTTCGAAGAATAAATTCCATACAACGACTACTCGCAGCACTCGGAGAATTTGGAATTAATAAGTCATTATAAATTGGAGCTAATGGACAATAATAACTGGCATCCACATATAAGTAGCTGTTTGTAAACATTCCTATAAACCAACAGATTGTACTCGATATCAGTGGACTCCATGAACTTCCAAAGCCACTTTCAATAGCGCGATTTTCTATTTCACATAAACGTAAAACATCTGAAAATATTCTCATAGCTGGATCACATTTTGACGGATGAATGTCGTCCGTCATTTGAAGATTCACAGAATTTTGAAGAAAGATGAGAGTTGATTGAGCATCAATAATTCCTTCAGTATGTAGATTCTGACTGAGTTGATTTATTTCTCGAGGAATAAGTGGCTTCTCACCAACTGCATCCATACAAAGTACATGTCCTGATACCATCACAAGCCAAACAAGAGCATCAAAAACACGAATTACTGGAAAGAAATTAAAGCAAATAATGATAAAATTTTAGAACTTTTTCTTTTCATTTTTTGAGAATTAGATTTAGGTATGAAAATAAATTCAAGAAAAATTAAAACTCACCACTTTCAGGATTGCCAACAACACTGCATAACTCTCCAAGTTTCATTTCAAGATGTCCAGCAAGATAATTTAATGCGTGATTAACATTGAGACGTCCCAAAAACCCGATGATGATGAGTTGCTCTTTAAAAGCTTCTCTTTCAGTCTCTTCCACATCACACACTTCCTGATCACTGTTGTTTGATCCGCTTATGTGACATTCCAAAAACTTTTCAAAAATAACTTGAGAATGATGTTTAATATCATCAGTGAATTCCAAATCAGCAAGATTAATGACATCAAGCCAAGCTTCCAACATATACTTAGAAGCATCTGTGTAGAGAGTTTCGCCATAAGCTGAATTTTCCGATTGGCTGTTCTCAACATATTTAACAGCAAGAACGAGCATTGCTGAGAGAAACTCTTTTGCTACATTTTCTTCCAATTTTATCATCTCAGTTTTAACATTGTGGATCATGAGAAGTTTTCTTATAATTGTTGCTATGCCAAACGCTTCACGTTCATCACTCTCAATTGTTTTCATCATCATTAAAAGTAATTCAACATAATCTTTAAAATAAGTGAAGCTTGAGTTTGGCTGTTGAAAAATCGGTCCAGAAAGTGTGGACAGTTGTATTAAACAATTAATTGCACGTTGCTGAAGGTTGCCATGGTCACGTACTCTCCAGTAAATAATGAAGAATATTTCAATTGTGCGTCTACGTAACATGAGCGGTTGCCAAACAACAGACAAACGAAGACTTGGTTGTTGCTTAATATTGTTCAAGTTTTCAAAAGCTTTTATTATGCGCTTTGGGATCATGGCGGTTATATAACTCCAGCTTAGTACTAACTCCATGATCTTCAAAGACGATTCCATCATTATAAAATGCGAGGAATTAGTTATATCAAGTATAGGAATCAATTGCTCGAGAGCATCAAGTATCATTTGAAACACAATTGGAAGTCGCGAAGTTTCAAACATCTTTTTACAACGAAAATGTTCTTCAAAAGATAGAACAACATCTTCCGACTTTACTGTGTTGGTGAACTCTTGTAAGATTGAAACAATGATAGCACAAGATACTTGTTGAACTCGAGGTTCTTGTGAATTGAAAATCATTTCTTTAATTGTCTCCAAAAGACGCTTCAATTCCTCTCCACCATCTTCGAGGAATTTCCTTTTCACCATAATAGAAACAATTTGTAGTACACGTTCAACAACAGATGTATGAAGCTGTTGGTTGTTTATAACATAGTCCAGTAACTTTTGCCGAAGTAAAACTTTGTCATCATCTTTAAGTCCACGCCATTCGTATATTATAATGTTTTTCATCATTTTTACAGTTTCAAATAGAACAAGTTCGACTCTTGAGTTTTCAAGAATGTGAAAGCACTGTGGAATTGTCAACTGGCTCTTAGAAAAAACGATGAAAATGTTTTCGGACATTTTGAGCATATCGCGCGATACTTGATAAGGATTCTTAAAACAAAAGGTTTTTGGTGTTAGAAAATATTAATATGAATGAAATATGCTTAGTTTATTTAAATTTACCAACAAAATTGTTGCTGCTTGCTCCATTTCATTAATTCTTTGGTCAATATCCATTATGTTAATAAATATTGGCAATAACTTTTTTATGAGAAAACAATTGAGGACACTAAACTAGACAGTCTTATTCTTCTACAGGTTTAATAAATATTATATTAAACTCTTACTTTTCAATACTTTTCACAGAATGATGTAGAAACGATGTGTTTCTCACTTTTTTAAATTATTTTTGTTTTCATTATCAATTCCAAAATTTCGAACTCGCTAATTTCGAAATCGTATAAAATATTTTCAAAACTTTTTGGAGACTTCCGTTATAAAATTTTAAATTTCTAACTCAACTTGAATAAAATATTTCAATTAGGTAGATACAATTCAAAAACTTATTAGTTAATTTACAATGAAATTCTAATGACTTTCATAAGCAATAAAATTTTTATTACATTCGAAAAATCGACAATTGATATTTAAAATTAATATTTAATTGCTTGCACTTTCTTCGGAAGTTTATTATCTTTAATCTTTTAATCTGAATATTTTTATCTGAAACGAAATATAGAAAATTACCTTAATCTAAAATGGGTGCAAACATTCCAACGTAATTGCAAACTGATTGCAATGTATTCAACCGGTTCTGATCGACATGTAGCGGTTTTATCTCGAGAGTTTTGCGGTTCTACTGCTAGAAAAGAAATTGCAATCTAATTGCAAATAATAAAATTATAGCAGTTTAATTCATTGCGAACTGATTGCACATAATAAAAATATAGCAGTTTTTTTTAAATTTGAACATTAAATCAGATGCAATTATTGAAAGATATATATTCTATCTTTCAATGATGCCATAATTTTTAAATGAATTATAAATTATTGTTGTTAAATTGTTGTTGTTGAATAAAGGTCATTTTTTAATATTATAAGGTTTATAAAACTTTATTATAAAGAGAACTTTTGAAGCTTTATCCATTTTAATTGCAATGCATTTGCAATGTGTTTGCAATACATTTGCGATGTGTTTGCAATGTGTTTGCGATGTGATTGCAATGTGTTTGCAATGTATTTGCGATGTGATTGCAATGTGTTTGCAATGTATTTTCATGTATTTTCTATTCGTATCCACAGTTTATCAAAGCACGCATGGAAGCAAGTAAATATATCTGAGAGGGAAGAAGCGAGAAAATATAAGAAAATCAAACAAAACCAAAAGCAGTAAGTAACTTTTAATTTTTTAATTTCATCGGTTTCACTTGGTTTCATGATGTTTCAACAATTTCCTATGGAAACCATGTGAAACCAAGTGCAACATTTTTGAAAAGTGAAATTTTAAAAATTAAGAATTTCATCGGTTTCACTTGGTTTCATGATGTTTCAACAATTTCCTATGGAAACCATGTGAAACCAAGTGCAACATTTTTGAAAAGTGAAATTTTAAAAATTAAGAATTTCATCGGTTTCACTTGGTTTCATGATGTTTCAACAATTTCCTATGGAAACCATGTGAAACCAAGTGCAACATTTTTGAAAAGTGAAATTTTAAAAATTAAGAATTTCATCGGTTTCACTTGGTTTCATGATGTTTCAACAATTTCCTATGGAAACCATGTGAAACCAAGTGCAACATTTTTGAAAAGTGAAATTTTAAAAATTAAGAATTTCATCGGTTTCACTTGGTTTCATGATGTTTCAACAATTTCCTATGGAAACCATGTGAAACCAAGTGCAACATTTTTGAAAAGTGAAATTTTAAAAATTAAGAATTTCATCGGTTTCACTTGGTTTCATGATGTTTCAACAATTTCCTATGGAAACCATGTGAAACCAAGTGCAACATTTTTGAAAAGTGAAATTTTAAAAATTAAGAATNTTGCATCTGATTTATATTCCAATATAAAAAAACTGCTATAATTTTATTATGTGCAATCAGCTTGCAATTTCTATTCTAGCAGTAGAACTCTCGAGATAAAACCGCTACGTATGTAAAAAAATTGCAAACCAGTTGCAATGTGTCCATAAGAACCGGTTGAATACATTGCAATCAGTTTGCAATTACGTTGGTTTCACCATAATCATCTAAAATACCTAGTTATTGAAGATTTTTTTCTAGCACACATTATAAAAAAATTCTAGATATAATTTTCCTTTTCAGAAAATTTTATTGCTGTTCCTTTTTTTTCTGCATGTAGGTACATCTTCTTTATCTTTTTCATTTGATTAAACTATATTCTAAACATAACTTGTGATCGAGATTTACTCATAAATATCTTCTTTGTCAGCAATGTACTGGATTAAATCTTTAGGTGAGTTCAGTTTGTCTGCATCCATGTCAGGTATTTCAAAACCAAACTCGTCTTCCATTGCCATTATGACCTACAAATTGAGAAATAAAATGAGGAATTTTAAATTATTTTACATTATAACTTTGCCGACCTCAACGTGATCAAGTGAGTCTAATCCAAGATCCTTATAAAAATGTGACTCAAGTTTAAGTTTTTCCGGATCGATCTTATCATACAAGCTTAATACCAGTACGACACGCTCTTTAATTAGTTTCAGCGTAAGTGGTTCTTTGTCTGAATAACAACGAATCGGCAGGATTTGCTATGAGAAGAAATTAAGATGTCTAATATTTACAATATTTACATTAAAATTGTTAAAAATAATTCACCAAATAATTTGACGTAACATTTAGAACTGATTTATGTTTATGTTCTTGGGTTTTTAGAGTAAAAGTTGATACTGCCCGTTTTGGTAGTGCACTAAGCTTGTAAACACTACGAAGTGCTGCGCATCGAAAAAGAATTGAAGACATTTTTAAGATGTTTTATAGATTTCAGCAAAAACCGAAAAAAAATATTTTACTTAATTTGGAGGAAATAAAAGTTGCGGGAACTCTTTATCTATTCTCCCTCTATAACTTGTAACATCATATTGCAGAATAATGATTTGAAATATAAGAAACGTTAAAATTTTGTGCAACATCTTTGAATCATTTTTAATAAGTTTTATTTACATTCAATTTAAAAAATCAGAAACAGGATAGCATGTATTCAATTAAGGTTTATTGCAGATGAATGAAACTATTTTAAAAATGGTTTTGTTCAGACAAGACATTTTTTAATATCTTGGTTTTCTTAGATAACTGAATGATAAACATATAATCAAAATAATTACACCAAGCACGAAAATCGGGCTACTTAACACCATGACTGCTGTAGATGTCATATTGTCCTATTAAAAGTAATCAAATTCACAACTGCCAATCTATTTCAATAATAAATTAAAATTTGTTTAAATTAATAAAAATTTAAGCTTACGTTCATAGATTTGATACCGTCTTTATGTATAATCTCTTGACGAATAAAGATGATTTTTTATTCATTACCTCCTATCACATTTTTGAACTGTCAATATCATCATTATTGTAACAAAGTCATTATCATTCTTCATTCTCGCGTGATATTTACAAAGACTTAAGATTTATTTTTCAAGCTATATATTTTATACAAATATTATTTTAACCTTAACTTACACTGAGGGATACATGTTGTGCATAAAGTGCCGCCCACATGATTAAAGTAAGTTACTCTTTCGTTAAGAAAGGCAATCTGTACATCAGATTTTAAATGCAAAACTATAATTTTTGCTCACAAAAGGATGTCTTTATTGTCTTCAAATATTTCTTAAATATTCATTTTCTCAATATATTTGATTAATTCTCTACGCACTTTTGAATTCTTATTATTTCAATCAATGCAATTGCATTGAAAATGATTACATTTCTTTGAAATAAATGTCTGATACAAAGAGAGGAATCAATTGGTTATTTTCATGCAAAGAACCATTGAGTTCAAGTTTGAAAGATCCTGGGGGAAGTGAAATCGGTAAATCTGATTCTAATATTTTGAAATCGCGAAGAACATAAGTTCCTTTTTTAACTGGACATGCCGTTGTAAGATTTCCGGCTTTACTTAGTTCTTTATACATAAATGAAATCAGGGGATGGTCAGATTTCGGCATATCGCAGATGCTCACCGAGTTTGTTTCAATGAATTCATTGTAATGCCCATCAATAAAAGAAAATGCTGCGAATTTGACCTATAAATAAAATAATATTTGTTGCTATAACGAGATGATATTTTAAATAATTTTCACTCACTGTTATATCCTCTCCTTCAAAGAAAGTTTCCGCATGCAAATTGACAACTGTTGATGGTTTGCCAGGGATGATTTCAACGGTACATTTTGCTTTTGATGGATCAAGAATTTTGACATCAACCTTCTCCAACCGAACTATGGCAAATGTCAAAGAACTAAATTGGAATATATACAAAAAGGTTAATATTATTCTCATCTCCTTAGCTGAAATTTTCGACAAATGAAACAATTCAGTGACAAATGATGGCATATAAATCAAAATCTGTGCGGAAGCTAGCCGAACTTGGAACCTAATTAAGGTTGAGATGAATATCTTTCAATGATAATTCCAACAAATTTACAGAAAATTATTCACGCATATGAATTTATGAAGGTCGTTTTTAAAAGCTTGAGGACGTTAATGCTAATTACACCAACTGAATATTCTAAATTGTTTTTTCCTGTTGAAAGGTCATGCTAACTTTTATCCAGATACAAAATTGTATTAAATGTGGCTGTACAGCAAAAAAATCTTTACAATTTTCCAGACATTCCACGATAGCATAGAAACATAAGTCAGATTCATTTCAATTCAAGCAATAACCAACTATGAAGTTCGTTATCTTAACTTTGACAATTTTCTTTGGAAATACATTATCATGGGTAAATATTTAGAAAAAGGCAATCTAAAATTATAGATATTTAAAAATTTTCACTTTTTCTGGCACAAATTAGGGCGGATATAAAATAAATTTTGAATACAGTGATTTAGAGTATGACGAAAATCTTTTTAATATGGAAGTGCAGATGAAACGGGCTGATGATAAAACTGTGGTCAATGTACGCGCCGAACAATTCGAAGATATTCAGGATCCGATTTTCATTCACGTGGCACATTTCGAAAAAGTTAATAATGAATATAATCACTTGATCAACACTTCTTTAAATGCTTGTAATTTCATGAGTCGTGCAAAGTCACATCCGATTGTCAGACTGGTGATGAAGGAATTACTCAGATCGAGTAATTTCCCAACTTCATGTCCAATCAAAAAGGCAAGATTTAAATCTTATGAAGAAATTCTAATTTTAGCTATGTATTATTTGATTTTTCAGGGTATTTATTACATGAAAGATTTCATTCTCAATGATGACTTACTTCCTCCATTCCTGCCTTTGGGAAATTTCATGTCAATAATCCGAGCTACACGTTCTATCGATGACAACGAAATGGCTTTGGTTAGAATGATCATGTATGTTAACATAGACTATCCTAAAGAAAAAAAGGGTTTGAAGTTCTTTTAAAACTTTGATATTTTTGGAATGAAAAAGTAATCTAAAATCTTCAACATAAATGGCAACTGAAAATGGTGGCTTAAATTTCCGGACAAACGAAAAAGAATAATTAGGCATAAATAAGAGAAACATAAAATAAATATCATATTGAATGCAAATAAAAGAAGTTTATATCAAACTATTCATTATCGAATTTGGATGAAAATCTTTTTATAATTTACAGTTGAAGTTTAATTTCGTTCTGCTATCATAATTCATATATAGAAATTAATTTTTCTCATCTTATTAAGTCATGGTAGTGAAGAAAATACTTGGAAATACATAGATAAAAAAAAGATGAAACTAATGAATCGAAGATGATCTCCAGAACGCGAACGGCAAGAGAGAAAATTTCGAAAAAATTGACTTAAAAGTCACTTTATAGGAAAATTTCTGTTGTAATTTAACTATAATGTGCTTAATACGTCAAATAATCAACGCCACATGTAAGACTCCGCAGAATCCGCTGAAGATAGAATGCAGCACGGAGCAGTTGTGCCGCTCGGATCTGGTAATTTGAATGGTGTGAAAGTTTCAGGAGCAAATCGAAACAAAGTTTTATAATTAAATCTTGAATTAAATTTATTATCTTTTCTACATATAAAGTTTCGATAACAAGTTTGATACAAGATTATGAAATTATAATGATATATCTAGATACATAAATTAACAAAAATATAAAAAAAAATCCCCAAACTCTTTATTTTTGTAATGCTATCACTTTAAGTTCATTGCCAATTGGAATCTAAGAAATATTTCATTTAAAAGTATTTAAAAATTCATCTCGAAAAGAACCCGCAAATCAAAAGGGATTCTGGTGGAATCTAAAGAATTTTAATTACAAAAAAGTAAACTCATAATGATTAATGAACTTTGAAAATAAAGTTCATTTGCTTCATAAGCATAACCTTGATATTATATACCTAGTTGCTTTAAAAATTTTAGAAAATGTATCTTTGTATAACATCAATAAATATGACAAACGTTCTGATCATTTATTGGTTTGAAATTGGAAGATAAAACTTTTCCATGCTAAATTAAAATAAAATTGGAGTCAAAGCGGTCATATTGAATTGCATCCGTTTCGTGTCGATCATTAAATATAATCTAAAAAAAAATCAATCTTTTTTTCCGAATATAAATTTCAAATTTTCCTATTTGACTTTTACTCGTAACATTGACGAATAATCAGAATGAAGTTAATTTTTGTGTTATTTCTAATTTCTGTGGTTAGTTTTTAACAATTTCTTTAAATTTAATTGAATTTCTTCATAAGATGTTTATTCAACAGGTAAATGCAAAAATCATAATCCAAAAATGGGAAATTCAAAGTGATCCAAAGTTTGCTGAATTAAAGTATGAGGTTAAAGATGGGAAATCTATGTCAATTGATGTGCATTGCCTTAATGATGCTGACGACATAATGGTAAGTAGCAGTAAAATATTAATTTTGGTATTAAGCAGTTTTATTCCTTTTTATATAGATCAAAGCAGCAGCTTACTCCAAAGTTGATGGCGTATTCAATCCTTTCGTTGCTCCTGATCCCATTCACATATGTCTGCAAAATTTTCTTGTAATTTTTTTACATGATCAATAAATTTTATTTCCAGGTAAGGTACATGAACATGAAGATCCGCTTGTAAAATTTATGCATGAAGAAATTTTAAAATTTGGAAATGTTACAAAGGTTTGCATTTTATTCAGTTGTTATTAATTAACAATACAAAATTATTATGAAGTTCTGCTTTATTTAGGCTTGCTCTTTGAAAAAAGGAACATATTTATACATGCATGATTTCGTCGTTGACGAAACGAAGTTTCCTGTACCTTTACCAGAGGGAGAATTCCGTGTTGATGTCAATGCAACTATAATTGATGGCGGTGCTCATACACATGCATATTACAGCGAACTTTTCTTCAAAACTGTAAAAGAATAATTTTTGAATTAATAAAATGGATCTGGATGTAGGAAAAATAAATAAAGGAATATCAACTTAAACATAGAAACCTTTTTCACTTATCCTTAAAAATAATAAATTGAGATTGTCTCCTGATCAGCATGAATTTATTTTTGACTGTCGCAAGGAGTTTCTTATTTCAGAAATCTCCTTATTTTCAATTCTAAAAGTCTTCTGCTCAAGTGAAAAGTGGAATAACGCAGCATCAATGTTGACTTAGCTTAAATTATTCATTTTATAAGGCACAAATAAGTTCCTGTTTTGAATGTAGATTGAAACAAACCTTTTCTGAATAAAATGCAAGGTTACGAAAAATCAAAGTAAAATTTTCGTTTCAAATTTGAACGTTTTATTTATTTTGGTATTAGGTATCTATTAGCTGAAACAATTGTATTGAATCGATATCTTGTGCAAAGTTGTATTCTTTTTAATTGCTAGAAAAGTAATACTTGTCAGTATAAATATCGTGAAGTTTGCCATCTTTCTTGATAAATGCAGTGAAATCAAATCTATAACTTCCAGATGGCAGTTCATGGGGCATATCAGTAGAATCAATTTTGAAATCCTTAAGCTGATAATGTCCCACTTTAAGTGGACAAATTTCTGTAATATTTCCATATTTTTTTGATTCCTTGAACATAAATGAGAGAACTGGATCCTTGACTTCGCCATGATTACAGCCACTCTCAAGCTCTGATCTGTAAAATTGCTCGAAATGACCTTCATTATGCCGATAAACTACAGCTTGATAGGTAACATCTGCTTCTTCTTGAAGAACGTCAACATTTAGATTCATCATATTTATTCCATCTTTGCTTGATAGCGAATGTGATATTTTTAGATACTTTGGATCGATGTCGATTTCTACTTTTTCAATAGAAATTGTTTTTGCATCCTTGTTTAATAAATTTTTTATTGATTAGATAAAGAACGATAAAACAAAAATTTTTCTTACTTACACATTTCAAAAAGGCGAAAATAAATGCAACGAAATAAGTAAAAAACTGCATGATGTCAGACTAACGTTTAACCTTACCTTTGCATGATGTAAAGAATTCTCCATTGCTTTTATAGTCGAATAATTGCTACCGAATTTGAAATTATCAAATATTTCAAAGTCATCAAAAGACATCGACTTGAAATGAATAAAAAAAATTTAAATTGCTTTTACACCATACTAAAATTAAACTTTTAAGTTTTAATAGATAAATAAGCGAGAATGAACAATTGATTCTATTTATCTTTTTTGAGATAAACGATTATAGATAAATATAAAATAATTTTCAGAGCGTGAACATTGAACTTAATTACCTAATGTGGGATGAGATGACACATTTCATGTAGCAGTTTCTTTATTCTTCCAAATGATTTTATTTCAAATTGCTTATCCAATTGATTAATTATGTATTTATTTACCGAAATTCACCATACAATGGTTTGTATAATTTTTTGATACTTTATATACATATAAATAAAGTTTACAATTTTAAAAGTTTTTTCTTACAGCTTAAGCCATAAAATATAAGTTATGCATTTACATCAACATTGATCAGTTATGGTATTAATTATTAAGCTTCTTACTTCTTTCATAAGCACTTTGCATTGACCAAATTGACAATGGTCTCATATAACCAATGCTTCTGTAACATGATTTTTCGTAAACTGCTTCAGGTGTTTCAAAAGCAAGACCAATATTTTCAGTCATCGAATTGTAAAGTCCACCAGCAGTCTGCATTGCTTCATCAAACATATCCTCGTAGATCATACACGAAGCAAGCGCATATGTTACACCTACCCATACTTCTTCTGATTGCATACTTTCTGTACCAGGGTAGCCTTCATTACCAGCCTCACCAGGTATAAATCCATTTACTGAAAAAAAAGAGTTCAAAAATTGTGCTGAATTCATAACTATTTATACTAACCTGCTCCCATTTTACCGTTGCAAAACTTTTGTACATTGTTTTCAAAAATGCTTCGTAATGCTCGTTGTACCTTCGCTTTTGGGAATATTTCGTAATCAAATCCACACGAACGAAGATACCAATGGCTGCACAACTGATCAGACATTATAATATTTGTTCCACTTGTGTCAAAAGAGTAATATTTTCCATTCCATAATTTATCTTCAAGGGCTTTCCTTCCTTTGTCTAAAATATCACTGTACTTTATACAGTCGTCTGGATGATCCAATATGTTCGCCATTACAGACATAACATGAAGACTTGCAAGAAAAAGTCCACCACAATAAATGCTTGGTCCACTCATAACCCAAGTGTCGTAAGTTTGATCAGGTGAACTACTATTTTCAATTAAACCATCACCATCCAAGTCAAATTTTAAAGTTTTTTCCATCACAACTTTACAAATTGGATACATGTCTTTAAGATATTTTATTGAACTCATTAGATAAACTTTTCCATTAGTTTCATTGATGTACATTGAAGCAGATTTTTTACCTAAGTGAGAAATTAAAACTGAAATTGATTGCAAATTACTTACTAGAACAAACTTACTTTTGTCAACAATTCTTTGATTCCCGCTGCCCATGATCATGTCTGATAAACTCTCCTTATCAATGAATTCGATGCTGCTGAATTTGCTTGTATTATCAGAATTTATTTGTTCGAAATCTCGAATTATACTAAAATCACGATACACTTGGAGAATAAATTTTGTGTTCAAGTCGCGCCATTCAGACACATCATGTATGGGATAAGCGTTCATCTGTAGCCATGGGTTTTCAGCTGGATCTCCAAGATCATGAGGAACAGTATTTTCGATCTTCCTTTCGCAAGTTTTGCCATCGTAAAGATGCTTCCTGATTTCTGAATTTTTTTGAGTTATGCTATCTTTAAAATCATACTGCAGACTAACCTAATTTAATCATTTATAAACATAATCATTTATGTGAGTTTTATCTAAATCATTCTTTAATCTACGAAATTCTTCCTTCGACACATGTCTTGCAAAGCATCAAATATCGCTAATAATTAATGAAGTTTGAGTATCATGCATGGAAACCAAAAAGCATTTCAATTGTCTAATACAATACAATTCAGTAACTCACCTGCAAATTCGGCCACAAATTAATCAATGCATGACTTGCATAGAAATGTACGTCATATGTATTGTACATTCGATACTCGTGTCCCTCAAGGTATAAGAAACGTCCATAGGCTCTCCTTAAATTTTAAAACGAAAGATCATGGAAATGGTTGTACAGTTTTAGTGCCAGCATTTAATTAATTTAATAAGAGAAATATGCCGTTACTTATGCGTTAAAATTTATGAAATTTATGGTTTTTTTTTATCTATCAGAATAATTTACCCTCACATTCGATAAGCTTTCTTAAAAAGAGAAACCAGGAAATATTTTCTGTCGTGATGTCGTGATGAAATTCAGAAGCTTTGTGTTGTTTCCGTATTCCTCATTTTTTGAATATTAAATTCAGTATATATACTGATCAAAAACTTTGATTTAGTTATCAGTTTACTTCATTTCAAGTTGAGATCAGTAAAGTAAAAAAATATCAAATTTTAAAAAGATGAAGGCTTTCTTAGGAATTTCTGTCATTTTGAGTCTAATTGTAGTAATTAAGTGTGGAAGTGATCCGTGTAAGTTGATACAAAATATGTTACATACATAGTTGTAATGAGCTTTCAATTATTTGTTAGTTGCTCGTTGCGATCTTCCTTTGAATGAGGGTTTCTCTTGTGATGGTGGAGTTCCTGAAACTAGGTTCTATTACAACAGTTTAGGAGGCTTCTGTTTATCCTTCGAATATCTTGGGTGTGGAGGCAACGATAACAGTTTTGTTAGCTCAACCTTCTGTGAAACTTTCTGTATTACACAAGGTGATGCCCGAGATCCCTCGGCTTCAATGCCATCCGATTTTTCGATGGGAAGTGAAGAAGTTCCTGAATATAATTAAATTCTTTTTTCATATGTCCGCCAATCAATATTCCATTTGAATATTGAAGAAAGCATTGTAACGATTATTAAAGATTCTTTCCAAAAATATCTAAAACTCTGCGTTTATGTATATAAATGCATATCCAAGTTCATGTCATAAATATTATGGTATAAATTTCGGAATACATAGTAAAATTCTGTTTTAAAAAATCATCTCAAATATTCTATTCAAAGATGTTGAATTTGCATATAAATTTAAAAATTTGAGCAACGATACTAGAATACATTCATTTAGTATGCGATTATTAAAAAAATATCTTTTTTCTTCCAACAAGTTCATGTCAACCGCAACGTAGCTAGAAACAGAAGTTATTTTCTTCCTAATAAGTAGAACTATATTTTCTTAATGGAAATTAAAATTGACTAAATGAAAATAACATGAAGCTAAAGGCCCACACTAGTTGTAATAGGAGACGTCTAAGAATCTTAATACTAAATGATTTCGCATTTTTCTGTTATCTGACTTTCGAGTCGAAAGTTTCAACTACTTATTACAAATGATTTAATAATGTTCACATAATCCGAAAACATCACAATAAATAAACTATCATTGAAATCACATGCAAATTTTGATTTCTCGGGATTTTGGTAAACTTATCGAACTTGGATATTTATCACATTTACTCACTATATAAGACGGCGCTTCGGTCCGTGTTCCGAGGTCCGTTTTAGGTCCGTTTAAAACGGACCGGAACGGTCTTTTTCCTGTTCCGGAACGGTCCGTGTTCCGGTCCGGAACAGGTTTGTAATCTGCTTCAGGTCCGTTTACCTGGTCCGGAACAGAAAAAAGGTGCGGACCGAAGCACTGATATAAGATAAAGTATTTGTATTCTTCTGACAAATCTTGTACGCTAGCGACTCACAAAAATGATGTCATTTAATATATTAAAACAGTGAGCTCTCGTTATAACATACTTTGAAGGGACCGGAAAAATGGATGTTATAACGAGTTTTGTTACAGATTTCGAGTAAGAAGTGCATGTTAAAACAAGAGGAATGTTGTAACGAGAGTATGTTATATCGAGAATTCACTGTAATATCTTTGTATGGCAGGGAATAATTAAAATTTCTATGAATAACTTTTTTACTTTATCAGCATAAAAATATTTATATGAGAACATAATAAACAATTTGCGTGATATTGTAAATCTTTAATAATCATCAAAATGATTTCTTCAATATTCAAATGGAATATTGATTGACGGACATATGAAAAAAGAATTTAATTATATTCAGGAACTTCTTCACTTCCCATCGAAAAATCGGATGGCATTGAAGCCGAGGGATCTCGGGCATCACCTTGTGTAATACAGAAAGTTTCACAGAAGGTTGAGCTAACAAAACTGTTATCGTTGCCTCCACACCCAAGATATTCGAAGGATAAACAGAAGCCTCCTAAACTGTTGTAATAGAACCTAGTTTCAGGAACTCCACCATCACAAGAGAAACCCTCATCCAAAGGAAGATCGCAACGAGCAACTAACAAATAATTGAAAGCTCATTACAACTATGTATGTAAGATATTTTGTATCAACTTACACGGATCACTTCCACACTTAATTACTACAATAAGACTCAAAATGACAGAAATTCCTAAGAAAGCTTTCATCTTTTTAAAACTTGATATTTTTTTACTTTACTGATCTCAACTTGAAATGAAGTAAACTGATAACTAAATCAAAGTTTTTGATCAGTATATATACTGAATCTAATATTCAGAAAATGAGGAATACGGAAACACAAAGCTTTTGAAATTAATCACCAAATCACGATATAAATTGATTGCAAATGAATTAATTCGTGACACGTTCAGTTAAAATATTGTATTTTCTTTTCTTTCGAAAAACGTTATTTCTCACCTTGGATCATTAGTTTCCAATGGATCATCTTCATCTACCGTTATCCACAAGCTTCCTCCATCAGCAATGAAGTAGAGCTCATTAAATATTGCACTTTTGTACCAGTCAGGAAGATTTCTGCCAAGAATGAATAATGAATGTCTGGTATTTGATAATATTATCTAGCATTCAATTTTTTCTTACGGGTCATTAAGAATGTCTCTCTGGAATTCATTTGAGATCAATTGTTCCCATTCAAAGTAACTTTTTAAAGCATAATCTAGAATTTTTTCTCCAGCATTTCCATCACTCCCAAAATATTTTGTGTAAAATTTTGAATACGTCTTTGAACTTTTTGGGAAAGTAACTTTTGGCATGTCCCATGCAAAACAAAATTCTAGATCATTACAATCATATGGTTCAATCACCCTCTGACCAGAAACTGCAACACATACTTCTTTTCTATCTTTGATCTTTTTATCTTCACTATTAAGAGAAACTAATCCATCTGAATAAATTTTTTTCCATAGAGTACTTCCGTTTCCATTTGGATCAAGTTTTGAAACGCTCGAAACTGAGACATTATCTGACGACTTGAGAACTCCTATTGAATAGTTGCACGGCATTCCAGCAATGGTTTGTTTGATCGTTGCTCCACAAATGTTACCATTTTTAAAAGTCTCAGATTTTGGCATTCCCATGGCATCTTGTTTCTTATTCCCTGTGCCATTTTTAATTACAAAAGTTACTGATACGTGACGTATTTTACTACATATATTCTCAATCTGCCAAACAAACACTGCACATGGAAATGATGAATCTTTATAATTATGTGGAATGACAGGGGATATCTGACGACAAACAAGTTTTACACCATATTCAGATAAATCATATTCGGACCACGAGCGAGGATACAAAGCTGTGTATAAGCATTTCTCTGGATCAAGGTTCGATTCCCAAGACGAAAAACAGCTTTTTGCACGGCTAGTTTAATTAACAAATAGTTTTAAAATATTTCTTAAATCGATATGTAAATAACAAAATGTCCTGAAATCTCAGAGACAGCAATTATACTCACTCAAATGTTGACATCACACTTTGAAAAATTGTACTTCCATTCTCATCTTTTATGTTCACAATAAATTGGTTTGCATGTAAAGTGTTGTATTCATAAATTCCTGGCCTAAGTTGATATCTGCAAAACTCGCCTGCAAATCCTCTCCCAATTGTGCCTGTTAACAAAATATATATATTATATCAGTTAATTAAGTGTTCAATTTTAAGTAAATAACGTCGTTTGAACAATTAAAAATGCTCACAAATAGAATAAAAAAATTTAAAATCAACAAACCGGCACCAATTCCTCCAATTGGACACCCATAGATTCCTAAACTATTTTGCATTGAAAAATAATCCATAAGAATGGGTTGACCCGTCTGGGAATTTTTCCAATAATAAGGAACATAGCGAAACATCATTGGAACCAAGTCCCAAATCTGTTTCCAAGATGGTTTCAAGTTTTGAGAAAACTTTTCTTTATCAGGAAATTTATGATTAAATTTAAACTTCAAGCCAAATTTAGGCACAGACGTTATTTGATGTTTTGAATCAATTGTAATTTGTGATGAGTCGTATTGCAACATATCTTGTTTTGTTTCACTATCTCCCAAATTTGTTCAAAGTGTTTATATTTTAAAACATTTATCTATGTAGGTATTTCAATTTGATGACAATAAAAATACTTCAATATCTATGTGGGGTATAAAACTTAGAAGGGGTGAAAACTCTAACATAAATAACATTGATGTTTAAGAAAAAAAACGGTTCATAGATTAAAATCCTTAAAAATTAGGAAGATAAAATAATTTTATGCTACTCCGTAACACGTATGTACATAAATAAGAATAGCGGAATAAAATAACGAATTGACGTAGTTTACATTTATAATAATTAGTCACAAATACAGTGTTCATATGTAGCATGAAATAATAATTCATGCGTCATAAATAAAAATTACCTATGTATAACAGTTATCTGATGTAAATAAAAATGCTAACTGTAATTAATATTATAAATTGGAAACTTTATTCACGCTTCTTAAAACCTACAAATCATTTCAATTTTAAATGAATAATTGTAAATCCTTTAACATTGAAGAACATTCACCTAAAAATTTGGGATTCTATGTTTTATAAAAAAAGTTAATCTCCTTACAAACCGGTACAAAATGTATTATTTAAATTCCATAAATAGGTATATATAATATATATAATTCTTTTACGATCAACATCAACAAATTTGGTTTTATTATATATTTTCCTAACATTCTTTATAAACATTTCATCATGAGCATGTAAATCTTTTATATTAAATTGAAAGAAATTTTTTATTAAGATATTTATCTAAATCCCAAAACAAAAAATATTTAAATTTGACTACATTTTTTTTAAATTCTGGTCTCAAATCAATTTGTTTTTTTTTGCTTGTCATTTAATCGAGACATAATGAAGATACGCCCAAAGGCTCATTTTGGTCTATCTGAACACTCAGAAGCATAATTCTAACAAAACGGAACAGTGCTCTTAAGTACCGACAAAAAGTCATCACTTGCAGAATATGGTTTGAATATTTAGTAGTTAAACATCAAATTAAGGGCTTATATAGGCTCGATGACTGTCAACGAAAATCTTTGAAACATATAGTCTTTTTTGTTCCGATATACCAAAATGGTTTTAAAGGCTAAAATATGACTTTTAAAACCCATACTAAAATATTCTTGGGTGTCATAAGAAAAGTTATTTGCTTCTCTAACTAAGAATCTGTTTTTCTAGATTTTCAAAAGAAAAATTCCAGGAAACACAAACATTTTAATAAAAGAGATTCCAACAAACGTAATATGAATTCCCAAACTTTGAAAAGTATTTTAAACAAGATAGAAAACTCAAAAAATATATTTGGCCGCAATTTAGCAGACTTATAACTCGAATATAAATAATTCATTTGATGCTTATAGAAGAATTTGAATAAAAGATAAGCATTAAAATTAGAAGTAGGAAGTGTCTAATAAGTATCAACCTTAAAAAGTGACTTATTTTTTCTGAAAGATGTGCCGATTCATATTAGATATTTTAATTAAAAAAATTTTCTACATTATTTTCATTGCATAAAGATAATTTATATTCGAGTTACAGGCTTGCGGTTAGTTTCATATTATTTTTTAATATTTCTTCTTAATATACATATAACTAATATCGGTTAATATAATAGGTATAGTTGCTCTGTGAAATATTAGCGTGTTCTTGGCCTTGTGTATGCTTTAAAAAATCTTTAAATTCTTCGAATTTTCCATAATAAATTTAAGTTATTTTTAGCAAAAGAGTTAAGTTAACATTACGTTTCTTCGCCTAATTTGTTTTTTTTTCGCATTTCTTTCATATTGTAACAAATTTTTTAAAATTTAACCTGTAAAGTGATTTTAGCCTTTGTAAGTTAAACTGTTGGCTCATTTCAAAGTCTTTGCATTTTTTTCTTAACCTCTAATCTATTATACCCATTACAAAGATTTGCTTTTTGCAAGGAACAGTTTTGTTTAAAACAAATGTTCTTAGACTTATGTAATTATGCTGAGTTACAAAATAATCTATCAAGGAATTAAGTAAAAGTTTTGAGGGGCGATTATTTGAGTCCAAATCTTCATATAAATAGATTCTTTTCATGTGTTGGACGGATTTAACGTACTTATCAATGTTATTTATTAGCATACCAACTTTGTTTACTGTCTACGATTCTATTTGTTTCTTATAAATTTACCAATTAATTCATCTACATTAAAAAAATTTCACAAATATCTTTTAAACTGATACAGAAAAATATGAAAGATTTGAGCTTTCCAAATTGATAAAAGTATATAAATAGACATGATGATTTTTTCTTTTGATTATACTCAACACATATTAAACACTTTAAAATATGTTCCATTCAAGTAACAAATATTTTTTTTTGGTTTTTTCCTTTATAAAAGATTATTTTTACGGGTAAAATTTTAATTTTAATGTTATTTTGATATTTATAAGTTTTTAATATCGCCATACCATTTTTTCATGAATTCAATAAAATCATAAGATAATTTTGCGGATCTGACTTAAAAGTTCATCTCAACCTAATTTTTATTATCAATTTAGATATTGTTTTTAAGAAATGTTAACATGGTCTTGATTTCTTTCACTTTTTCATTTCACATTAAAATCATTAATTTTTTTATTTTCCTTTTTCAAAAGTTTTCCTCTATATTAAGAATTCATCGCTCTTTCAATACTCAACATTCTCAACAATGCATACGTAAACCTGAAACATCAAATCAAAAGTTTCACGAAATAAAATTGGTTCACTTTTCGTATAGATTTAAATAAACAATATTTAATCCATTTTGCTATCAAACTTTTCCCCAAAATCAATTGCCTCATAATATTTTTTTCTGTATAAATGTATGTCATTAAGTTACAGAAAAAATAATCAAATATCAGTGCTTTGGAAAAAAATGCTAAAATTTTTTGAAAATCAAATCATTAGTAACATTAATCAAATTTTTTCATGCTATAATTTATTTTGTCTGTTATGACGCGCTGGTGGTTTGGGCGTTTGATATTGCTGATGGTGTTCTTGTTGCAAAAGTTGATGAGCTGCGAGGTCCATTTCTTCTGAAGTCATATCGAGTGCTTCTTGCAATTCACGAGCAACAAAGTCTGGGTCACAATATTTCCCGAGACCTTGTTGGGCGAGGACCTGAAAAAGATTTGAAAAATATTTTGAAGTTGATGTTTACAAAAAATAGTAAATAAAACTTACTCTTCCGACTAAGCTTTCAGCTGAACCTACTACTTCAAATGAGCTTGGACGATCAGCTAGAGGACTAGAAGGTGTGGACTGGGCTAATCGCTGATTAATACCGTTCTTTTCCATCGCCACTGCAAATAAATTAATATTTTAAGTATAATTGAAACTTTCATTTCTTTCTGCCAATTATTAGTTTATGCTAACATTAATTTTCTAAGCGATTTTTATGTGGTTTACACACCAATTAGTATAAAGATGCTTATCTATTCGATATTCAGTTGAAATTTGATCATAATTTAGGAGTTTCGAACAAAATAATGTGAAAAATATAACGCCAAGAAATATTTCTTTGTATTCAAAATATTTCAAAAATAAATTATTTTTCACTAAAATTTTATGCGGAATGAAAGCGATATTTAAATAGGTAAATATCTATTTCGAAGAAATTTATTCTGATTACGTTTCAACTAAATACTGATAGTTAACATCAATATATAGGTATTGGCCAATGATCCAAAATTTTAAGTCTCAATAATGAAATAATGGATCGTCGAGATTTTCCCAGCTATATTAAGATCTACAGTGAAAACTCTCTATAACTTGCATTCATTTTATATCATTAAACAAATATGTCTACATATGGATCACTAATTATGCTGCAAAAGTTATGCAAACTAGGCTTGACCTAGTTATGATTACGGGTACATATCTAGTGGATAAATGGATAAATCAATGGACATAAATATAAATACATGGTGAATAATTTTAGCTGCTTATTCTACTTCAAACAGTCTCTGTTAGGGATTGAATATAACAACTTCTCCCTTTCACACTTTGTTATAAAGAGTTTACACTATCTTTAGGTTTGTGGATATTTACAAAAATGAAAATGAAATTGAACCCTAATGAAAAATAAATAAGGTACTATTTTTAAAGTTCATTACACATAGCGAATTTAGACGAGTTTTGACACAATAAAAGCTCCTGATTGAAATCTCAATAATATGTAATTATATAGCTAAATAACTAAGCCTTTGTGATCGCAACATGCAACATATATGTTAAAATGAATTAATAAGTATTTCCATATATTTTATCATTTGTTTTTCATGAATCAGAAGAATCCTACAATTATTATATGTATATTAGTTATTGATATGTTACAATGTTTAGGTTTTATCATATGAATTTACGTATTTCTTTTTTTTTTTATTTAAACATGCAGTACATTGTATAAACATTGCGATATATTTTCTTCAATTTCCATTAAGTTATTTTTTCAGCTTAAATAAGCAATAATTGAATATAAATTAATTAATGTTATTACTTTCTTTTTCTGAACTGTAAATAGTTTGCTTAGTAATCAGCTTGCATATTTAAACACTGCAACGAGGAATAATGGACCATATAAATTCAAAATGCTCGACCAATTATACTAACATTGAGATGTTACACACAAAAATCGATATCGAGTAAGGATTGCTAGGAAAATCTTAGAAATGAGAGTAAGAGAACGAGACAGAGTGACATCCACCAAAAGATCACAATTTTTTAACAACGATTGAGACAACAGAGAAAGGGATTATTTTAAGTGGAACCTTTTCCGTGGTATGATCGTGATCGTGTGCCAAAACATTCTTCGCTCTCGAAAGTATCGTCTCTCGTTACAAGCGAAAGATTTGCGACTCTTTCAAAACTCATAGTTTTAAAACTTATAGAAGAATTTTTTTTTATAGAGTCTTCTTGATTCACTTTACGATGTGCAACATCATGAGAAAGCGCTTTCATTTCCAAAGCATTGGATAAAAGTTCGGCATGAGCTAAAGTTTTGTTGTGAGCTAAATGAATTCCCATTGCAATGCGGTGTTGTGATATTGGTTGTGGTAATCCATCATCAGACGATGACGGATCTGATTTATTTTGGTGTTGAATCCGAAGAATGTTTTCTGTTGTCATTTTATGCATTTGAAGTCTACGTCGAATTTGATTTTGACGCTGTTGAGTTGTTGGTGTAGTTTGTCGCTTATGATGAGTTGCCGATGGTGGTGAAGATGCAGATGAAGCTAAACATTATCATGACATTAGTGTTCTTATGATTTTATGTTTTAAGAGAAGAATAGACAAATCCTTAATGCTCCATAAATAAAACAAAAAAGCCAAGAGATTTGTTCCATCTTCCTTTTCCGAATAAAAATCTAACCAGTTGTAGTTGTGGTTATTGATGTCATGTTTGATCCTCCATCTGAGTCATCAATTGAATTGTCATCTACCATAGAATGATATTGATTATCTTTTTTTAAATTGAGTTTTCGAGGAGGTCGCACTGGTGGCGAATCTAATGACCCTGCTCTTGGGAATATTCTCGGCGGCTTTTCTGGTGCTATCGTTAGAGGTTGTGCAATTAAATTCTCATACCGCTGATCATTTTTCTGATTCATTCTACTATAACGGAACAGCAGTAAGCGTTGTCGATGCGGAGCATTGTAGGTTGACCCTAATGGGTCAACTTTGGACCCACCAAATGATGATTGAGTGATTTGATTTGATTGGCTAGAGGATGATAATCTTTGGGATAATTTAAAGATTTAACTTTTATCTTTGCACAAAATATCTCATTTCTTATTGAAAATGTTTTAAATCGCAATTAATTACATGTTTAATTTTAAAGTTTCCAGTTACGTCGGGATTTCTATTATGATCGATAAATTGAAGTTATTAATTGGGATTAGTATAAAAAGTATAAAAAATCACTCGTGAAAAATAAGGAAAACAGGAAAATTGTTATTTATTAACATGAAAAATTAAACTTTTACTTATATGATGAAGATGTAAACAAATCAAAACACAAAACAATTGAAATACTTGTCCCACTGACTCTTTGTTCTATTTCTTACCATTCATGTTTGGATGAAGTAGAGAACCCCTCTTAATCAATTTTTTGCTGTAAAAATTTATCAATTTTTTTCTCGGAATTTTCATAAATTTTCTTTAAATATAAATTCTAAAAAAGCTTTACGAATAATTTCAACTGATGATTTTCTTTCGCTTGGTAATTTTCTAAGTATCTTCATAGGTATTGTGAATGTCTTAAAAAAACAAATCTTTCATAATTTTTTTTTTGATTTTAAAGAAACTGAAAAAATAATTTACATTCTATTTAATGTCGACTTTCGAATAATTATGAAGTAAAACTTCATTCTTAAAAAAACATAAATGACTTTTGTTTCCTTTTTCTAATGCGTATTCTAACTTCCTAAGTAAAAGTGCAGATTTAGTATCGAAATTCTATGCACTTTTAAACTACATTGTTCTAAATTATTAACGTTTTGTGTAATAAATAAAGATGAGAATTTAAATTTACTTACTCAGTTTCGGCTGTAGAGGAACTTTTAGGATTCGTCTGATTTTGGTTTCCATTTAATAAAAGCGGACGCAACGGAATATCATCATTGTAATCTAATTGGCCCATTCCTCTCTGCTGAAGAATACCCTTCGTGATGTTGTTAAGTCCATCACTCAAACGATCTCTTGCTGCAAGTGATGCATTATTGCTTAATTTACCAAAATCACTTTCCAAATAATCACTTGATAAAGCGACTGCCGTCGAAGCCATATTATGAACAGCTGAAGTTGCCAAGTTAATAGTGTTGTTGTTTACAACACTACTACTGTTATTATTGTTCGATTTTAACATTCGATTTCGTGAAAATGGTTTTTGCTTACGCATCGAGGACCACACTGAACCGAAGAGTGTATGATTACGCTAAATCAGACAAAATTTATATTTTAAACCTGTTAAAATATTTTTCATAATCTTTTTATCTTACACGATGCATAGGTTCTGGATTATCATCACTTAGTTCATCTAAATTTCCTGATATCGCTCTCTTTAGTTCAGGACCTGCTTCATGAAGTGTTCGAAGACCAGCTTGTAACGTTACAGTGTTTCCATTCAAATCCCCATCCCTAATAGTTTCCTCCTTTCGTTTTTTAAACCTTCGGAAATAATCTTGAATGAGGAAGGTTGCGTAAAACTTTCCAACTGTAACTTCATCATCAACACCAGGAGGTGGAACGACTTGATCGAGAAGTTTTGGATTTGTTCGTTTCCAAATTTGTTTTATTGTAGCACGAAGTTCAGCATTAGCGTCGTCAATGTTTCCTTCTGTCTTTATTTTCAATGAAGTTCTCACGACAGCAAAGAGTGTGGCATTAAACAGAACAGTACCATCACTATTTAAAGGCATGTTCATTGAAACTAATCTTTTGCATGCAACACGATGTGGACACAACTTTCCGAATCCAAGTGGTGGTGATATTTTTCTCAAAAGCGTAACAACATCGAGATGCTTAATTCTACCCTTTGCATCGGGATCGTACTCGCTCCAAAGGCGTATAAATTCATCAAGATGATGTGGACCAAGAATTGACCAATCACGTGTTAAATAATCGAAGTTATCCATGATGACAGCAACGAATAAATTAATAATCTGAGAGTGAATTAATATAATTATTAATATTATAAAGCGATAAGCTGTCTCACTTACTAAGAATGAACATAAAACATAAAATGATATGAAATAAGGAAACGCTATGTTTGATCCACATGTATCACCAGTTGGCACTCCACTAGTTTTGTTTTTACCCAAGTCCGAATCTAAGTCACATTTTATTCCGTCACGATTCGAACAATCAAGCATAATGTCTTGCCATGCTTCACCAGTTGCAGAACGGAAAAGAACTAACACAGCTTGCGGGAAGGTTTGGAAATTATTGTTACGATCAATTGAATCACCATCTTCGTTATCTAATGCTATCTTTCCAAAAACCTGAAATGAAACAAACCAATCAAGTTGGAATTAAAGAGTCTGTAGCTCATATTTAGTAAAAAGTTGACATTAAATCATGGATTTCAATGTTATTTTCTCTATCAGATTGTTTATGTAACGCTTTATTAAATGATAAAAAAAGGTTTACGTTCACGTCGATTCTTTGACGATCAATTTCACGCTCGTTACCTTTCGCGTCATTGATAATGAATCAACATTAACCTTGTAATAATTCATTAAATTCTATGGAGCTCAGATTAAAGCTTACAAATCAGAGAATGGGAACTAAACTTTAATCTTTTAGTATAAGTTAATATAAAAATGAAGCTTAAAAATAGGATAAGTTTCAATCCCTGTATCAAACATTCATAATTTGGTGTCGATTTTATCATCAGTTTTATTGACACATCACAGTTGATTCATTTGATTTTGTTTGGCACTCTTAAGGAAATGAGACCATATTTTCTTTTTATTTTTCTAAATATTTTATACACAACGGTGTTGCTTCAAAGATTATGTTCCGAAAAGCCTCCAAGTGATCAGGTCAGGTTTCAATAACTAATTATTAGTGAATTAAAAAATAAGAACTTAATCAAGTATTTATCTATCTTATAGAATTTGAAAGATTGTTGTTCAGAGTTTCCTAATGTCATAGATTTGGCACTTATTAAGTTCTGCAATGCAAATTTCTCTAGTAACACTCAACAACAGCAACAAACTATTCAGAATAATCAAATGCCAAAAGGCGATTGTGTATCTGAATGCATAACAAATTCCACCAAAATCTATCGTGGAAACGGAATGATTGATCGAATACATCTTGCAAGACTGCTTCTTAATTCTGTCAGTGGAAATCGGGAATGGAGTTTAATCATAACAAATTCTATTGCTGTTTGCATTAACGAAAGTAATTAGCTTTTTGTCACCAATCTTTTTAATATTTTATATTTGTTAAATTCTAGCACGTATAAAAGCAGACGAATTTCGTCAAGTGACTTCTATGAGACCTTCGTTTCCAAATGAAATATTATGTCATCCAATATCAGGGTATTTACTTGGCTGTATCAATACGGAAATGTTCAGACGTTGCAAAAATATTGCGCAATCTTCTGATTGCAGTAATTTACAAAAATACGCTGAAAATTGTCACATTTCAATGAAATATCAAGAAATAAAAATGAAATGATAGATTTGAACTTACCTGCATTCCAATAACAGCATAAATGAAGAATAGCATCACAATCAAGAGAGCAACATAGGGAAGGGCTTGAAATGACTTGATGAAAGTCCATAAAAGCGTTCGAATACCTTCGCCTCTGCTCAAAAGTTTAACCAATCTCATAACGCGGAAAAGTCGAAAAAAGTTTATTGAAATGATACTCGTTGATTTCGAAACTCCTCCGACATTTTTTCTTTGAGTAACTTCTGAATACACTATATCGATAAAACTTCCTAGAACTATAATGAAATCGAATACGTTCCAAGCATCACCAAAGTAGTTTTTAAAACGAAATGCAGCGAGTTTGAAAACAAATTCAAGTGCGAAACCTGCCGTGAAAATCATATTAAGAACGTCTAATGTGGTCGTATAAAGTTCGGGTTGTCGATAGAATTTCATAGCAAGTGTTATTGTGTTTATCATAATTAGAATGAAAATTGTATACTCGAAAGGCTGTGATGTTACAAACCACCACACCTTATATTGAATTCGATGTTTAGGGATGTATCTGAAAAGATAGAAATATTTTAATTAAATTATTGTTGATCACAAAATTATTTTTGTTTGGTATTTTATTTATGACTGAAAGCTTATCCATGTTACCCGCTGTAAAAAATTCGACAAACATAAAAATAATATGAAAATATTAAAATCCTATTAAAAAGCATGAAAAATAGAATGGAAAATTATGATTTTGACAGATTTTTACTCTATGTTAATTAAATAACGTCAAGAACCTGAAATTTTGGGTCATATCAAATAATCATAGAAGGATTACAGAATCGTGACGTCATTCCCAGCTGTATAATTTATAATTTACTTTTCATGTGAAGTGCAAATAAAAAAAAGAAAAAATAACCGAAAATAATATGAAAAAAGTCGTTAGGGGATTAAACTCACCTACGGACAGGTTTTGCTTTCAACGCAAATTCTATACAGTTCCTTTGGTTTTTGTCAAGATCACAATTTTTATATTCTTGTTCGCCTTCATTTTGGAAAGTAACGATGACAAAACCAACGAAAATATTGACCATGAAGAACGCGATTATAATAATGTAGACGATATAATAAGACGCAACAATAGGTCTAAAATTGTGAATTGGACCGTAATTTTCTTCATTAGAATCTATTGAAACGTAAAGAAGACCCGGCCATCCTTCAAATGTCGATACGGTGAATAGGGTTAGCATAGCTTTTGCAACATTATCGTAATGAAATCGATTGTTTTGCCATTCTCGATCTTTGATTTCTGGCTTATCAGTTTGACCTTCTGGAAAGATGAGATACGTTCCATGACATTCTTCTTTGGTACGTTTGGAACCATCACTGCAACTGAAGAACTTTCCCTTCATGTTTAATGATGTATTTTTTTTAAAAAAAAAGAAAAAAGTAAATACTTCAGATGTTTTGTTTATTGATTAGAACTTTAGAAAAGGAATATGAGTTTGAGGCACAATGTGATAAAATAAGAAATTGATTTTAAGTCATAAATAGGAAACTAAAGGACGATAAAAAGGAAAATAAGAACCAAAGGTTGAAGAAGTTAGAAATTTAAGTATCTGTGTAGGATTTCCTTAATTAGTTGCGAATCTTACAAATAAAGGCTTGAAAGGTGCTTTTACATAATAAAAAATAATAGGAATGTATTAAATAAAGAACTTTTATAATTCATTCAAAAGTTCAAGTTTTTGCTTTTTTCTTCAAAGAAATAGGATTAAAAAAATTAGTGGGTAACAAAACGGCAAACAAATTGCTCTTTATGATTAAACCTGATCATTGGTCATTACCTTAAACAATTGCACTCCAATCACAGCAAACATAAACTGTAGCAGATAAGTGACCAGCATTATGTTGCCAATGGTTTTAATTGCCACAATGACACACTTCACTACATACTAGTATTGTTTAAGTGAAAGAAAATTGATTGATAACGTTTAGGAGCAGGTAAGGAAGTTGGTGCAAAAAAGAAAAAGAAAATGGAAAATCTGTTAAGTTAAATCTGTTGTGAAAACGCTGTAAAAATCTCAAATCTTATTAAAATTTCTGTCTTTAACAAAACATTTTAAAATTTCTTAAAAATTAAAAAGCTAAGTCAGACAAACATCATGAAAATAATTGTGTTTGAGCTGTTAATAAAAATTATAAACAAGATTACGAACTCATGCTATTTTCAAGCAGCCTTATAATTTTGCATTGTTTCATTACAGATAAAGTTTTTAAAAGTTTTAAGTAGGTACTTATTTTTTAGCTTTTAAATTGCATAAATTAATATATTGAATTGCCTACATTATTTAAAAGGTTTGAACTTTAACTGTAATGAAATGTAGTGCATATTACGAATGTGTAAATTGTATGGTGTAATTGATATGGTAGCATATTTTAATGTGACAGGAGTTTTGTATTCATAACCATGAAACATCGAATACGAAGGATCTGCAGTATTTTGTTAATTTTTTCTTTAATTAACCTACAATCGCTACAAACGCTAAGCTAAAATTAAATGTAAAGCTTAATAGTGTTTTCATAACCAGTTGGAACTTTCAAAATTTTTCAAATGGATGTATATGTACAATGGAATTTCGATACAATAATAATCTCGATATACGGATCCCCCTTGAGCCATCCATTTATCGAAGTTCCAGTGTACAATATACTCGCTATAAGTGGAAGCTCTATAAGAAGAAAAGCTCCATAAAGGCGTCCCTTTTCAGCTTCCACTTATAGCAAGTCGACTATAGTTAGTATTAAAATTAATAATTAAACAAATGACGGTTTTCATACAAGAAGAAGTTTTTTGCTCTTATTTTTATTTCACCTTTTATTTTCATTTAGATAAGTAGGTATTTAAATTCTAATAATTTTGATTCCCAATAAATTTCGAAGAGTAATTTTGCAGATTATAAAATTAGAAAAGTGTTAAATAAGGTTAAGACATAGCAGAGTGTCATGTAAATTCGGTAATCAAACTGTCCACAAAAAAAAGTCTAATGAATTTTTCATTCTCCTTGAATAAATAGTCAGTTGCATAAACAATAAAAAAAATGTTCGAGTCATAACGTTAACAAAGTCATTCTGTAAAATTTTTATTTGGAAGTGACCTAAATATCAAAATCTTCACATATGACAGGAATAATGTTGAAAAAGTAAATAGTAAGTTTACGTTAATAAGCAGACACATGTACGTTTTTGAGTCAGTTGTACTGACTGTAAATTTATAAAGCAACATACATATACATAAATTAACAAAAAGTATGAGTACATAAGGTAAGTTAAAACACTTTGGCTTTTGAGACATTTCGATTATAATTTGTATAGAAAGGAAAACAAGTCCATCTTCTTTCTCCTCCATCTCGTTACAAAAATGGAATAGAATGGAACTCTTTGAATAATCTAGGGAGAGGTAATACTGATTGTGGGATGATACGTAAGTATTCCTACCTTGAACAACTGAACTCCAATAACAGCGAACATAAATTGCAGTAAACATGTAACAAGTACGATATTTCCAATAGTTTTAACAGCCACAATAACACACTGGACTACATGCTAATTAATCGATATTCAATAAATAAATTTGAAAGGAAACATAAAAAATTATAAAAAAAATTGTAAAATTTATACAAATAAAAACATAAAATAAACCTAAGCTAATATGTAGTAACATTTGAATATTTCATTGACAAAATTGAATTTTTTAAAACTTAGCATCGCTATGGGTGCTAAGTAATCTTGCTATCAAAATTTTATTATTTATTATTTTTATTTTATGTCAATTTGAAAATTTAAATACCTTTAATCCTTTTGCACGGTTGATAGCACGGAGTGGCCTTAAAACACGAAAAACTCTAAGAATTTTTACGGTTGATATTTTACTTGAACTGCAAATTTTATGTTTCAATAATTTTCGTATTATGTGATATAAAGTAATGGAAAACTTACTCAAAACAAATGGCAATCAATGAAACACAAACGACAAGCAGGTCTAAAAGATTAAATGCTGATCGACAGAAAGCACCTTTATGAAGAATAAATCCATAAGAGACGAGTTTAAGGATCAATTCTATTGTGAACACTGTGGTAAAGAAGTAATCGAAGTAGTTCAAAATCTATGAAATGTTTAGAATATTAATAAATAGATTATTAGAAAATGAAAACAAATATACTCGATTCCTTGGAGCGTCAGCATCCATTGGATCTTCAGCAGCCAGCATAGCAGATGAGAACATGATACAGACAAGAATGATGTTTCCAAAATGTCCATGATTACATAATTTATGGCAGAATATTCGGAACCTTAATAAATAACAATGATTATTGACTGTTAATAATTGATTTTCCATTATTTTACAACTTTATTTTTGTTTCAGTTTCAGCTGATTTGCTTAAGAAGTGTCAAAACATCTTTCAGCTTCTATCCGCAATTGATCCACTCAATCACAACGTACATATACAAGAAAGCAATTATCAATCAGAAATTGGGACTGTTTAAAGCTCTCAATTTGTTCACTTATTATTGGCTAGTTATTTCGCAAAAGAGCTTATTAAATTTGGAAATAAAGTTTACAAAATAAGAAGCTTTTAACAAGTTCTTCCACTCTCTGGTTCATATACATTATGTAGAAATGCATCCAATATTAAAAATTAATTAATTTCAATCTCTTAAAAGTTTTAGTTTATTTTTTTATATTCTATTCACTCACGCATCCCCGAGAAACCAAAATTTGTATGTGACTGCAAAATGGCACCCACATGCAAAATGAAATACTAAGCTAGGTAGAATAAATATATACGAGAAAGCAGTGACATAACTGATTCAAAACATACTTGGATATTTCGGTTTCCCGGGATCATTCCAGTCGTGTAATGTAAAATGAATGAAAAAACAAATAAAAGTCCTTCTAATGAAAATTTATAAGATAGTGGAAATTGCAACTCATTCGAAAACCATAAAAAGGGAAATTCGTCATCTTTAAATCAGCGACCTAAACCAATTGAAGCTTAACAATTCGACTATATATTTAAAGTAATTTTAAAATCTAAGATCGTCAAAGTTGAATTTCGAATGGAGAGAAATTAGCAGAGGTGTATCTTTATAAACAAAAGTTTCAAGCAGATACTTGGATCGTGCCTTCAAAACATATTCAGAACAATGGAACCAATTAGTGTCGCCACTGCCTTGGCTTATGTTTGAGCCAGATTCATAAGTGAATATAAGAAAACAAAAAAAAAATAAGAAATTTGAAAACTTCTACATTATCTAAAAAAAAAAGTTAATTCCATCATTTTATACTCTATTTTAAACTCAAAACTATAGACAAGGGTAAGCAGAAACCTGTTCGATTCCGAGAATATAAAAAAGGAAGAAGCTGCTGGTATGGGCTGAATTTTTGTGGCCGTATTCACTTCTGACATACGCCTTGGAAGTGCTGAAACAGCACCGATTTCGTCATTGTTTTCTAAACCATCCAGTTCTTCTTTATCTGCAATTCAAATCATAACAAAGAAAATGTGTATGCTGGAATTTCTATTTTCTTTTTTTCTGAGTTAGGTCTATCTTTGACTTAGCATGAGGAAAGTTTTAATTCACTATGTTATCGCTTTTTCCTACAAACTACTATGCATATAAAATGGTGTAACGATATATTTCAAATATCGTACTGAATGATATGTTTCATATTGATGTCAACTCAATCAATGAACCAAATTTTGCAAAAACACCTACATTCAAAGTTGTGCTTCCCGCATCAATTACACATATGACCATCGATAAAAAGTTTTTCTCATAAGCCTTTTCATGTTCATTTTCAGCAAAACTTACTTGTTTGTGTGAGAGAATATGAAAAAAGCGCTGCCTTTAGGGATTGGTTTCTTACTCTTCTTGACACTAATTTCTGACATTCGACGTGGTCGCGCAGTAATTGGTTCAATTTTATCTTCCATCTCCTCCTCATCTTCATCTTCCTCGTCTGGTGATATTTTGCAACATTAAGTTAGCAGTGTTTGTGTGATTTTAAATATAATTATTGGAAATAAAGATGAAGGGCGATCAAAGGAAAAAAAAGTGTTATGAGTTTGAAACCAAATAAATCTACTGCTAATTTAGCAGACAAAATGCATTTGATACAAGGGAAAAGCTTCTAAATAGATTTTATTATTTAAATATATGAAGAATAGAGATTAGTTTTCATTGATTTAACATATAAATTACCTGCACTTTCCATGTTTTCATATTCGTCTTCAGGTATTCTTATTTTAGTTTCTGATTCTGTTTCTTCATCTCTATCATAGCTAGTGGTAGATAGAAAAGATATAACTAAATTTTTAAATTCTTTATATCTTAAAACCACTCACATATCATCATCGTTACCAAGATCTTCGTCGTCAAGAGCCATGTCATCAACACCTTCAATTGGCGTTGGACTATGTGATTTTTTCTCCGCTTCAATTTCTCCTTGTTCTTCTTCTTCTTCTTTCTCTACGGTCGTAAGTGAATCAGCATCAGCTAAGTTATCAACAGCAATAGCCAAGAACACGTTCAAAAGGATGTAATTGCCACAAATAAAGAGAATAATGAAATAGATGCAAGCTAGAACGCCTAAAGAGGCGACACCGCCATACGCTCGTATCCCATCGTACATAACAACATTCCAATCTTCTCCTGTTAGAATCTATAGAAACACAAACGTGTCAACATTTAAATTACATTTGATGTGCATCATGCAGAAAATATTGTGCAGCATGAATTTACCTGAAAAACTGTCAGTAGACTCTGCCAGAAGCTATCAAAGTTCGAACGTGGTTTTTGTTCTGTTGGTTCAAAATTAAATTTACCACCAAACACTTGCATCCCGAGAAGTGCAAAAATGACAATGAACAGAAACAAAAGCAGTAAAAGAGATGCAATCGATTGAATTGAATTAAGTAATGAAGCGACTAGATTCGAGAGAGATCTCCAATATCTGGTTAAAATAAAAAGGATTGTGAATACAAAGAAAACCATGAATGAATAGTTTCACTTACTTAGTGACTTTGAAAACCCTTAGAAGTCGTACACAGCGAAGAACAGATATTCCCAAAGGAGGCATGATTTTTGTATGGAAGAGAATCATTTCCCCAATACTTCCAATTACAACAAAGCAATCAAAGCGGTTGAAGAGTGATACAAAATATCCTTGAAAACCTAAACTATACATTTTCAAGAACATTTCCATTGTAAAAAGTGCAACAAAGAACAGGTTCGTGTATTCTAAAAAATATAAAAAGATGATTTTTTTGTAAAGCGTCATCGAAATCAAAATAGATTTTTTTTTGAAAATTTATTTTACAACAAAATGGAGCTTTATGTTGACAATAAGAAATTTGTTGTTTCATGTCAATATTTCAAGTAAGGGGAAAAATGATACCTTGAAATTTATCGAGCCATTCTGGCTGTTCGTAATGTTCTGTTGCAAGTACGCCCGTGTTCAGAAATACAAGAAGGATGATGAGCCAATAGAAAGCTTGAGATTTGACTGCCCTTCGACAACCCCTTCTCATCCTTCTATTAAGCCTATCTAACCCTTTTTTCTTTTTCGTCAACCATGAGTCTTGATGGATTTCTCCATCATCGCCTAATTGATCAGTTGAATCCATATCATTTGCAACCTTTCCTTTCCCATCTTGCATATTATTATTCTCATTTTCTGGTTCAATATCTTCAGCTTGTGTTATCCAATCAAGATAACCACGAAGATCTTCTTCAATTTGTTGTTTTTCTCGAAGCTTTTGGAAGTCACCGCGATTTTTGGCTTTGGTTCTCTCTTTCGAAAACTCTCTGTTGGATATTGATAAAAAAAAAATAATTTCAAGCGATTAATGGCGTGAAAATGAAATTTTACCCGCTGAGAACACCAAGAATCAAGTTCATAACAAAAAATGCTCCAAGAATGACCATAGAAATGAAATAAATCCATTGCCAACTGTTTCCCATAGCATCTTGAATATCGTACAAGACGTCAGTCCAACCCTCAAGTGTTATACATTGAAATACGGTAAGCATAGCAAGTCCAAAATTATCGAAATTCGTTATGCCATAGTTTGGACCTTCCCAGAATAAACTGCAAACCATCGGCTCTCCATCCATTTCTTCGAGTTCAGAACATTGAAATCCATCTTCACCACATGGATGCTCGTCTGCCATCATTTCTTCGGTTCCATTTTTAAAGCACGTTTTATGAAGTTTCCCAGAGAAAAGTTCAAGTCCAATGATTGCATAAATTATAATAACAAAAATAACGAGAAGTGCGATGTGAAGTAAAGGCACCATGGCACGAAGGATTGAATTCAAAACGACTTGAAGACCTATGTATGAATAAATAATTATGTATGAGTTTGTGTATGTAGTACTCTTGAGATTTCATTAATTAAAAGACACATATACTTCTTTTGATATGAAATGATGTGAAATAAAACATGCTACTTACTTGGAACGCCCGATACCAAGCGTAAAGGTCGTAAAACACGAAATGCACGAAGCGCTTTAACATCAAAACCTTCCTTCATGACACTTGTGAGAACCGTGCTTAGCATACTGAAAGATAAAATGAATTGTTTTATTGATGAGTTTACAATTTTTAATTGTTTTATCATCTCACCCTATCACGACAATCGTAAAGTCGAGTAAATTCCAACCATTTCTTAAGTAAGCCCCAGGATGCATTACAAATCCATATGCAATTACTTTCATAAAACATTCTGCTGTGAAAATGACTAAGAAAATGTACTCGATTTTCTCTAAATACGCATTTGTTTGGTTAGAATCGCTATACGGAAAGGGTGTGTAAACGGCTAAGGCCACACAATTGGCAAAAATTGTTAACAGGATGAGATACTCAAAAGGTTTCCACTCTACAATGTCAATGCATAACTTTCGGAGCGGATTTTTGAGTGTCAAACAAAAAAGGGCACGTTGAGGTCGGTCCGGCTGAGGTTTCCCTCCACGTCTCACAGGCCTTTTAGGAGCAGTTGGAGTGGTGGTTGCGTTAGGAGCTCCGGTAGATCCAGGAACACCATTAGTATTCTGTACTCCATCGAGTTGTGTTTCAGTGCTTTGCTGTTGACCATAAACTACTCCACCTCCACTGGCATTTGAAGTTGGTGCTGCTGTTGCTGCTGTTGTCATTGTTGCTGATAAAGTTTTTTGCCATACATCTGTCAATGATGATCTTCTGCGACGAAAAAATAGCGATCGCTTATGATGATGATGTCGTGTGAGTTTTGATGGAAGCTCTGACTGTTGCTTTTGTTGCTCGGTTACTTCTGGCGTTTCCAACGATGATTTTTCTAGTTGTATCTGAGTTTCGGTAATATTATTTGTTTCTAATTGCCCTTTCTCGTTACAACGATGATGGTCCCCTACGGATAGGCAAATCAATAAAATTGTTTTCATTGAAATCAAGAGAAAAAGCTATAATTTTATAAGGAATAATCTCAAATTGTTTGTTGTGCATTTTAGATTTGGTAGTTTGATTTAACTTAATAAACTACCTGCAAAGTTAATGTATATTTACATCAGCTGTGTGTACATCCAAAGCATGTATATGTATAACATTATATTGAAACTGCGTATCGGCATTAAATAAATAATAAAATATTAATACTTAAATTATGTTTCATAATGCAACGAATTGAATGAATGAAATGACTCAAAATTTTCAGTTTGAATTTTAGTTATGGAGTTCTGAATGAAAAGATATTTTTAATTTAGTTACGTATTCATCGTATCGTGGTCAATCATTGAAACTGCCTGCATAAATGGTTTTTTCTTTACGTCAAGACTTTCGATAGAGCCACAGTAGAGTCATATTTTATAATCTGATTGTAGAGATCAGTTATCTCTCAATCTAAAGCTATCAGACTGCTCAAAGTCTTCAAATATTTAAAGATTTTCACAAGATAAACTTAAAGTATAAAGATAGCATTCTTTTATTATGTACGAACATGATATCTATCCATACTGCATATGCTTCTGAATTCATCGAATGTTAAACACAGTTCATGGCATTATTGTACAGTCAATATGTTAAGTCTTATGCATGTGTTCAATTTGACTATTCTTCTTACCATTTTTGATTGAGTCTGTATCCATATTAGTGGAAACGTTCAAAAATTTTCCACCCTCCGGTTTAGTGTGATCTTATTAAGTACAATGCACAATGTTATAATAATTTCCTTTTTTTGCATAGAAGACTTTAATCTTTTTTCTTTTAAGGTAAAATTATATTTTGTTTAAGTTTTTTCATTAAAATTCATGGCTCTGTTTAAAAAAAACTATTAAATTTAATTACCTACATAGATAACTACATATGTAATTATGCATTAATATATTCTACATATTTGCAAAGTGATGTTTTTACGTACATGCATGTTATGTACATAAGCATAAAGGAGAAGAAACAAATAAAAAATTTCTATTTTAAAGAATTTTATCATCAAATTATTCTTCTGAAAATTCTTGAATCTGTTTCAAGAAGTTCAAAATATTGCGAAATATTTAATAAACAGGTATACACAAACTTTAAGGTGTAATGAAATCAAAAGGTCTTCGGCTTTATAAATAATAAATTAAAAATCATAAATAATGGGCAATCTGAGAAGCATTGAACGTTTCAGGAGAGAAGTAATGCAACATCCTTTCGGCAAAAATAAGTGAAAGGGAAAATGGAGTTGAAAAAGATGGGTGGTGTTTATTGGGACGAAAGTCGTAAAAATAATAGATAATTATTTCGATATCTAAGTTAAAAGCTAAGGATTACAGCGATTTTTTCATTATATTGAAAACTTTATCAAATTTTAATTTTATTTTGTTGTAAGCTTCCTTAAGCTTCCATACTGTTTTTCCCTCTAGTAATTCACAAGATTAGAATAGAATCAAACTTTGTACACTGTGTAACTTGTTTTAACTTTTTATCCTTTCAAATGAACTATTTGCAAAGCTTAGTGGACAGTAAAACAACTAAAACGTTAAGTCGCAACTTTTTCAGGCACAAGAGACTCCAAAATACTATAATTATTTTTCTAACGAAGTTGGTAACTACTCAAAACCAATAAATGAAGAAAATAAGACTGTCGCGATTTTTCTTCTCTCCGGATTGGGTTGTTATCGTCGCGACAAACGATTATCGACTGGAAAATAAGAAAATTCCCTTTCTTCAATTTTAGAAAAATTGAGAGAAACGCATGCGTTTGATAGTAAAAGAGAGCATACAGCAGATATATGATGAACACAGAACAGGAAATTATTGAATTAAGATGAGAAAACTCCATACATTATGGAAAATCACACGCGAATTTTGAGAGAAATTTGATTATTTTGAGTGTCCTTTTATTCTCTCTTGTAAGTTTTTTTATTGTATATAAGTATTACGTATCCATTTGAAATCATTGAATTTTTGTATTAAATAAAGCTAGGGGGAGGATGGGTAGAAGAAATATTTATTGTTTTATTTCTCAATTAAATTAGAAAAGGATGGACGCTTTTTATGCGTGAAGCTTCCTTCTTTTTTTTTAATCGGAATGGAAAGAAAATACATGGCGTGTCCAACAGGTGGCCCTGACGCAGTTAGGTAACAGTGTTGGTTTTCGTAGAAATCAAGCAGGTGTGAGAGAAAAACCTCATCCCAAAGGAAATTTTTCAATTAATTATGATTCCAAATAAAGTATCTTTGTTATGAACTTCGTTTTGAGTTGGCTCCGCTTAAAATTTAAGAAAGAAAAAATTCCTTTGATTGTAGATACGAAATTTTGGTTTTATATTTATTTATATATATTTAATCAGTATCTCTGCTTAAATTCAATGATCAAAACTCTATGGTAATGATCAATGAGCTTCATATAATGGTATCAATATCTACTGATAAGAAATGAAAGTTTCCGGAACAATATTTTAAAAGTAAAATACAATTCCAATTGCTCATTTTAAGAGTTCGCTATAGTCTGCTTCTAACGTGGAAATATGAATTAGATATCTTCTTTTATTATATCTTATCATTCTAATATTAGTATAGAAAAAAAATCAGGGTTTAAGAAAAGATTTTCGCCTGTTTTAAATACTTCTCTCTAAAAATCAATTGAAATTAATTACATCCACAGTTTGAATTTAATGATAACTCCATGAAAATTGAGAAAGTTTATCGCCTTGATCACTATTCTCTCAGGCTTTTCAACAGCACTAAAATGATCAGTTTTCAACACACATTTGTAAAAAAATTCGAAAATTTCTTTTTGTATACATATATCCCAGTGGCTCTCAAACGAAATTCATTATAATAACGGAAGGCAATTTGTTGAGGTGCCGACTTCAACTAACAGTAAGTATTTTGTAATTCCACCATTATGGGTGTCTATGAATTCATTGCCACGAAATATTTCTACTTCCAAAGTATTTTTTAACATTTTGAAATGATCTTTTCACTGCTTATCTACGTTTCTAATACAGTAAAATCCCGATAAACTGATCGCTCGATGAATTGATATTTTTTGTCTCCTTAGATCCAAATTTTATATTAAGTATACATTCGATAAACTGATAAGCTTGATGAACTGATATATTTTTGTCTCCATAAACCCATCAGTTTATCGAGTTTTGACTGTACAGAAAAGGGTTGAGACCTCTCACACTCATTCAAATTTTTAAAATATAGAATAAAATATAGGTATTTAAACAATGAACATGAAGCATAAATGTAATAATGATATTTGAAATTTTTATGTACGTAAACATATTTGAGATTATTAATTATTTTATACAATATATTAAATTACCTTAGCTGTTGATTTACGGCTTAAAATTAAATCCGTTTTTTTTTGTTTTTCAGATTCACTTTAAGATTCAAATTTCATATTCATAAATTTTAACATGCATCAACATCCATTACACATTGTTAAATGCATCTACTATTTAATTATAAATTCCACATTTTTTAAAAAAATATTAAACAAAATTTAAAAGTAATTTCTGAATGATCAAAATTTACTTCAACTTTGAAATCCAGCGAATGTTTAACTTTTGCTTCACTTTTTTTTTATGCACATTGAAAACGGTAGGAAATAAATAAATATAATAAATGATCTAATTTTTCAATAATTTATTTTGAATTAATTCGAAAAGAGAAACTTCTGGAGATTTACACTTTAGAAATATCTATTTAAATATGCGAATAAAAAAGTGAATTCTAAGCAATAATAAATATATTCACTTATATTATTTCCTTCCTAATAGTTTGCTTATATCTCATTTGAGTTTTCTTTTCTTTCAAAATGATTTTCTCGTCATCACCAAATCACTTTTGCGAGCACCGCGGGTTTTTTTTCTGGGATGAAAACGATTTTTTTTTTCTCTTTCTTAGTGAATCATTTTCGAATTCTTTAATTTTTACTTAAGATTCAATAACACTTGAGCTGAATTTATGTGATCATTACTCATAATAGTTTTCGAAGTAAGTTAACACTAATTTAGAAATCGATCGATCGATTATTCTAACTTAAACTTAAATTTTCCTAAAATACGCAAGTTTTTCGCTCGAATTTTCAACTAAAAATGATGAAATTTTTTTTGTAGATGTATAAAGTGAGAAGAAATGATCATTAAGTGATCATGAGAGAATTGAGAGAGGAAAATTTTTCGGAAAACATACTTTTATATTTGATTATTTTATATTTCTTATAATTCATATGTTTTTCCATAACATTTAAAACTGGAATTAAGAGAAAATGAGAAACAAACATATTTTATGATAAATCATTTTATTCAATTTTTCTTTGTTATCAGATCGAATAGGTCACATAATTTACCACATTGTCTATCAGAGAAATGAAATTAGGAAGCAGAATGTTTTCCTATACTAATTTTTTCATTTTTTCTATATTAAGATTTATTGAGAAAAGGTTTCCAAGTGAATATAGTTATTATAAATATCAGGTGAGAAATCTTTAGTAACATAAAAACTGACAAACAACGAAAAAATAACAAATTATATTAACAGAACTTTTAGAAAACATTTCTTATGATTTCTTTCAACATGCTTAATTTATGTATGTCTTTATCATACTATTTCAACTAATATATTGCTTTTCCTTAAGTATTGCAAAAAAATTAAATATAGGTCAGTGATGACCAAACGATGTGAGACGATTATTGTACGACTTTAAAGCCGATTTTAATTATCGTGCATTTTCTTTAACTCATTTTTACTTGACTAATTAAAAGAGATTGAATAGAAATTTACGATTTTGACGCATCGAATGATTCACCACTAGCATCAGTAAAATAGACGCAAAAGCATAATTATTTGTTTTAATAATTTTTCATCATAAATAAGCTACAGAAAGCCTTTTCGAATGAATTTGATTTATTTAGCATTCATGTAGATATAATAATTTCACTTTTCATTCATTGAAACGGTTTTCCAAAAACTATAACTTTACCATTCTTACTTTTTTCGCAATCTTGTGAATAAATTCAAACTCGATAAGTCACTTGAGGTTTATTTCTTCATAGCTATCTTATTTTATTATTAGTTATTTTCAAAATAATAGAGTTGATTTATTGTTATGTTTACTGGTTTAATCAGATAATAGGTAATATTATTAATGTATGACTGAAAATTCTGTTTATTCTATTTTCTTCAACGTATACATAAATATCTATTATCTACCTGTTTAAAATGTAAGTAAACATTTGAAATTTTAAGTAAGTAAATCCTTGGAGTTCTTTCATGGCTTTTTAGTTAAAATCTATTTAGATAAGGATCAAATATTACTTTTATATTTGGCACTTTAACATAATTTGTATCTCTGTCGATAATAAATTATTTGTTGATGTTTTTTAAATTAACTGAAAAATCTCCATTTTCAGATTCTCCATTAGTTTGCTTTTATTGTTATTAAATATTTATCCATGGATTTTTCTTCTTCTCCTACATTAGTTTACATCATTTCATCAATCGTTTCAATTATTGAACACACAAACAGTCAACTAAAGTGTACAACTACGAGAACAAAAGTGTAACTAATTCTAAATGTTTAAATTTTTATTGGAAGTTTTTTTTTGCTTTTTTTAATAATCTTTGGGTTTTAATTTTTAAATATCAGATTATTAACAATCTTGAACAACTTCTTTCAATTTCAATATTTATGTTTTAAAATCTAAGTAAGATACTACTATTCTCTTCTTTTTATTGGCATTGACGATATCTTATATTTATGTATATATTTATATACATATATGTAATATTAAGATATAAATTTAGTATCAAGTGTTAAATATATTTTTAATTCAAGTAGTATATATTCAAGAATATATGTTTACAAAAATATATCATAAGTTTTTCATTGTATAATCATTACATTTCCGACCTTTTCAGTAAAACTTGTCACATTTCAATTTCGAATAATGAAGGAGCGAATATTAGATTACTAATGAGCATTGCTTTTTAATCGGATTTCTAATTGAAGTGAAGAAAATATCAATTTTCAATATAAAATTTTAGCACCAAAATATTATCAAACAAAATAAGAAGAGAATTAGAAACTTCAAGGCTAAATATTTTCATTTTTCAGACAAGAAAATGTTAAACTATTTTAGTCACATTCTTGATTCTTTCAAAAATAATAAGATAAGTACATTATTATGAACTTGTCATAGGAGTTATAGTAATTTACGCCGGAGCATTGTATGCGCCAAAGAGAACATTTTAAAGCAAATCTACTTAGACATGACTTGCATGCGTTTGTATGTTATGTATGAAATTGAAGTTAAGATTCAATTAGTAAAACTAGATTTGTTTCAAATTTACGTATGTATTTCTTAGAATAGTTTTACGTTTTGTTACTTTATATTATTGTAATAAGCACGAGTTATGATGTAATGTTAAATCATCTCGTTATTCTGTTTGAAAGTAATTCTCTTTAGGCGATGAAACAATTTGTTGCATGAGCTTTTATTTTTTCAAAAGAATCCTTAGAAAGGCATTTTTGGCTACACTTTTCGTATAATTTGAGAAATTCTCGTAGTTTTATTGACTTTTTTTTAACACGAACCTGTTTGATTTCAATGCTTTTAATTACTTNTCAGAAATCTTATAAATTTATAACAAAGTTTTTGATTTATTTATTATATAGTGTAATATCTTGCCATTCTGATGTACAAAATTTGTTTAAAAGACGCATGTAAAAAATAATTTCAAAATGATTTTGAATAATGAAATAAGTAAATAACTTTAAATATTAAATGTTGTTGTATCTATGAATCAAAACATTAAACATTAAATAATTATTTAAATGGTTGATTCGAAAAGCAAATAGATAAGAATTTTTTTTGCATATTATTCTATCCGGGCTTTTTTTGTGACTCACATCCAATGACATCGGAACAATTTAATGTGACTTCAGTAAAGCAAGAAATTACTCTATAAACGTTCATTTTTGGCCAGATCACATACCTCATTACATGCCTTCTTAATCTTTTTCAATCTATTCATATCTCATAATTTCATTAGATATATGCATGTCGGTTTTAAAGTATTCTATGTAAATATTTATTGATTTCTTTGCTTAAATATTTTCTAGTATTGCTTAATTTTTAACGACAAAATGGAAAATTATCAGATTTTAGTAGGCAAAAAAAAGTTTCGTCTATTAAAGGACCTAAACTATTTAACTTTATCGAGTATTGAGTAAAACTTCGACTGAATCATGGCATCTTATGGAAGTTCCAAAGGTTATACATCATGTAGAAAATGTTAATTTTTCTAGTACATACATATTTCGAAATCGTTCAAAACTATTAAAATAAGTTCTGCAATGATCATTTCACCAACTGTACAAAGGCACATTACCTTAGGCTTCGGGTATGTTTATTTTATAAGTTTTATTAGACAATCTTTGCTTTATTGTCATTTAAGAGTGTTTGAGCAATTTTTATCTCAATAAAGACGTCTGTTTAGAGCACTTCATGTTTTGGTGAAATCATAAGATTCCCATGCTTATCGATTAGTTGTTGCGCAGCTGAATGAGTCAAAGAAGAAGCGTGCTCACTTGTACATACAGCAGAAGCTGATGAAGCAACGATTAAGCCATGATTTAAATGTGAGGCTGTAGAATCAGATGTTGTTGCTGATGTTTGAAAAAATCTATCTACAATAAATTAAGAATTAGTGTCAATAGAAAATGAAAGAATTAAAAATCTTCTAAAATATTAATGAAGACCTTCTTCCATCAGAATCACAGAATTTCCTTCCGGATTGTTACTTGACACTGGATGAGTGATCATATTAAAATCTTCTTCAAGCATAAATGGATTATTCCAACGTGTTCGAGCTGTGGTTCTAGGAGTTGTAACAGGAGTAGAGTATAAACTAAGATTTGTAGGACTAATCACTCCTGATATTGTCGATATTGAGCTTGGATAACTGAATAACTGTTAAAATTCAATAATTTTTTTTATCATTTAACGAAGCAAATATTTAATGTCACTTACCTGAGATTGTTGTGAATGAAAATGGTTGAAAGTAAAATCACGACTATTCGAATAGGGACTTGAAATTCTTGATAAGCCTTTTCTATCAATTTCTGATTGAGGGCTAAGGGGTGGTGAATGGTTTGCTTCATTTTGACACATGTGAGAGTCTTGGTGCTCTTGATGTGGCGATGACATTGTCGTCGGAGGAGTATTAGAAGTAGGTGGCGAATTAACTAACGAAAGATCACTCGAACGTATAATTGCTACTGGTCGAGCCATTGGTGGTAAGGGTGGAGGTGGTAACATTGTGTTATATTGCGGATATTGTTGAGATTTTGGACTATTCCTGTGACTTTGATTTTGCTCGCTTTGTTCTGTCTCTTGACACACGAAGGTAACAAAATCTGATAACGTATCGTGTCCATTTGTTTGACATTCACTATATTTTGTATTTGCGTTTGTCGCTCCCGCTCGATCTTCATGATTCTGATTATGATTATCCCCCGAGTTAACATCTGAAGTTGATGGACTATTCTGATAAAAAACAGAACCGGTACTAACAGCTTGTTGAGCCAAAACATTGTGCTGCTGATTGTGCTGATGTAATATTACTTCATCTTGACGTGGTTGATTGACGCTTACAAGACGTGATGTTGGATGTGGAGTATAGCGTTGGATGGCTAAAGATTCATGACTGTGATTAGAATTTATCTGCTCTCCGGGACGAAGTATAACAGAAAACCCTGCGTTCGCATCAACTGCAGATGAAATATTTTCCCTAAATTCAAAAAAAATTATTTTGCAATTTTATACTTACTATATCCACCTGTGATAGCTGTAATCGCTGGAGAACCACTTTGAATAGAATTTGAATAACTGTTACAGAAATAGGACGTATTTTCTAGTTTAATGTTGCCGGTATTGTTCGTTGCACTCCCATTACTGCTACTAGCATTCGATCCCATGGTATTTTCACTTATGTCATTAAGAATTGATGCTGGAAAACAGTTTGAACTTCTTACGGTCAGTTCAGGGCTATTGAGCTCTTCTGACTCACCCTTTGACATTTTCCACAGTTCCTTTGATGAAAACACTCCAGTTGCCAAAATGATATCATTATAAACAACGCCATTGTAAGGATTTTGTGCGTATACTTTATGTTTTCGGTCTTCATTTTTCTTGCTGTCTGTTGTACTGTTGCTGTTATTACTATTGTAACTTGTGCTACTAATGAAATCTGTGAAGAAAATGAATACAACTTAACAAACATCATCATCTTTCTTTTCTACTACGATATATTACCATGGCTATTTATAAAGTTCGCCAAATATAAATCGAGTTCACGAACAGAAACATTTATATGATAAGGATTTACGCAAAGACCAGGTTGAGAACATTCGGGATTTTTTTCCAGTCGTTCACCATCAGTACTTTCAAGTGGTATTGCTTTGAATAGAATAACCATAACAAGATCAAGCCGCCAAACCTAATTGATTAAATTTTATCAAGATACATATTCATTAAAAATCTATTATTAATCAATTAATGTCAATTCGTATACAAAAATATGCATTCGATAAAAACCGGTATTAATAATGATACAAATAATTAGGTAATTGATATTTTAAATGAATCAAAGACCTTATCAGCTTGCCGAAGACAATCAATTCGTCTCATTTTTCCTTTTTGATCGGGATTTGAAAGTACACATATTGATTGTCTTTTTCCAGTTATACTTTGAACGAAATCTTCACGGCACTCTTGTGTGATGTCTTTTCTTAATTTTCCCAGTAAACGTGAAGCCCATTTTTGCTTTACTTCAGGTTTTTCATTCTGAATAAAAGAAATTAAAAAAAATCAATAGTTTGATTGCGACTTATTAATTGATAAATTCACCTGCAAATCGTCTTTGCAATGGCGTTCCTCTTCTAAAGACATTCGCTTTTCATGTTTTTTATAATATTTACGTTTGGCGGCTTGTAGATTGAACCACGTGTAAGAAAAAGATTTAACAAACGGCAAAAGAGCTTCAATGAACGGATGAAACTCATCCTAAAATTTAAAAACAAAACAAAAAATGAAGATTTTTAATCAAAGGAAATTTAAAAAAAAATCACATTAATTCTACGATTAAACATCGAGAAAAAAATATCAAATGACCTTATTGAGTCTTCATTGATTTTACAGTCAGTGATATTTACATTTAAATGCAACATACAGGATAACACATCAGATAAAATGTTTCAGTGATAAAAATATATGATAATGAGTCGGGAGATTTTGTTCTTTAAATCATTTGTACCACAAATATGTATGTACATTTTACTCTACTTATGTCATGTTGTTCGTGTTCGAAAAAACTTTTAAAACTTGATTTTCTATAATCTACTACAATATTTTGTAGAGGATCTGATAGTCTGTTTCTGAACTTATAGTTTTTCAAGTATGCAAAGTGTTTACGAGGCAAAAAGTTTATTGTCTTACATCCCTCAAGAGTTTTTCATACAAAATCAAAACTTAGTCAAATTATAATGAATTTACAAGAGGAATGTTAGAGTCAAGAGGACAATCAAGTTACATATATATATATATAGATATAATCTTATACACCAACCATTTATGTAAATATACTTGAAAAGCTTCTAAAAATTTTGAAGCAAGCAAAGAATTAAAATTAATATCAGAACATATGAAAATTAAATGAATAATAAAAAACATTGAATGACAATTGAGTAAAAATAAAAAATTTCTAAGTAAAAAATTGTGGAATATGCTTAAATGAAATTGCACTAACTAGCTATATTGATTCTTTTATCTATTATTCTTTTATGATATTGAAAAATATCTCAGGCTCCTTTAATCTAAAAAATGAAAAACTAGAAGCATATATACATGTTTGCATACACATATTTTTAGAGAATATCTAAGATAATTAACAATTACTTATGCGAAACACAATTTCTTTGCGTCACATTTTCTCTCAGCCTTTTCCATAATAAAAATAGATTGTCAATAACGACACAGACTCGTGTAGACAGGGATGCACATTTTACACATAATAGCGTCAAACCACACACAAACAAGTAGGTAATACTGTTTTAAAAGTTTTGTTTTGATTCAAATTTTCATACTTGAGCTGGTCAAGAAGAATTATTAGGGTTTACTTATTCAGTCTTATTGAGCATATTTATCTGAGAAATTAGATATTTTTAATATGTAAAAATCATGAAAAAGGAGTCGAAAGAATACTGTTTGTTCTTGAAAGTAGAAAAGAATAAAAATTTTGTTAACAAATATTTAATAAACATCTAGATGCTTAGTTATTTATAATTCAATAAACGTTTTCATGTTTTATTAACATGTGTCACATATAAATTGCCATTTACTTTTAGAATCTTTTTCAAGTGCAATGGGAAATACTTAATGCATTTATATGAGGACAGAATATTTAATAAAATTGATTCACATTTCATTTGTCATTTGGTTTTATTTTTATTTTATACGTAAATGTGCATATTTTTCACCGTTACTCGGTCAAGATTTAAAAATCTGCATTCGTCTTTCTTGTGTATATGACTCGAATTTAAAGGAATTCATTCATATATATTGAACCTATTTAATTTAAAATTGAATGAAGAAAAAAATATCATGAAAATAAAGCACAAAAAACAAATGCAAGCAAACTATTAAGAAATATTATTATAATCATGCAACATATTGAAAAAGGAAACTAATGTATTTCTTCTCCTTTTTGGTTAATTACACATGATTTGCAATTATGGTTCATAAAAATGGCGCAATTTTCATCGGGACATAAGTTTCTCACGCCGAAAGTAGATTTATTGCACAGTTGGGCTGATATAGCCGTTGGTGCGTAAGATCCATCAGTGAATGCAAACTTGTTAATCGCTCTTTTGATTTTACTTTCTTTCTCTCAGTTGTTTCTCGGTTAGTTAAAGCAAAAATTAATGAAATTCTGCCAATGATTGTAAGGGTATGTTTTGATTTTTTTCCATGATTGAAAATAATATTTTCATCTTTTAGTTTTCTTTCAACCTGTCCAGATGATGTCGTTTGCAAGTAAGATGACACGTCTGTTTCAATCATGCAGCTACGTACAGTATCCGGCAGGAACATTTATCAACAACACAATTAATAGCACAGTTTGTTGGGTTATCTCTTTATTTCTGATCGTTCTAACAATGTTTGAGTTCTTTATGTACTTTTGAAATCAAATTCTGATTTAAATGTTACTTCAAGTCTGTTATATCGATTATTTATCATTTTTTTCGTCTTGTTAAACGATCGACTTTTTGACACTGCAATTTTCTTTTTTCTTTTCACTTTTTATCACTGTCTACAATAAAAATTATACATAGTTGGCTCTTAATAAGGATTGAAGTTTTTGATTCCTGAAATTGATTTAAAAATTATAAATCTTCAGATCGAATTTTCACATAAATTAACTGAATCTATGTTTTTATTGAGTTTGATGATAGGAATCCGAGAACTACTTTTAATAATTTATTTTAGTGAATGGTTTGTGTAAATTTATATCGACATATTAAATGTGATTTACGTAATTTTTTCGTCATATTTGTCAGCGACTAAATCTTATGAGTTGAGCAGAGTTCTCTTTATTATTTATTTCTAATCGACGCTTCTTTCTGTTACTCTCTAACACAGTTGATCCCAAGTCTACTTTGTAAAATGTGTTGGAGAAAAATACTAATTAAGTTTTACAAACTTATACACAGAAAGAAGTTCAATTGAAATGAAAATCATGAAAATCATGAAAACTTTCTCATACACATGAACCTTAAAAGCAGACAAAAAGTTTTTATAATTAGATTTTACTCTTTATCTCTCATTTCTTCTTGCGTGTCTCAAGAACTCAAGCTAAAAACTGAGAAGCGGTTACATCGCGTCTGAAGTTGTTTTGGATGACAAAAACTTTAGCAATCGTAATTTCTCACATTAAAAAAGCAGTCGAAAGAGGGTTTTTTTTGCCTTGCCATTGTCACAGTAGAAAATATTTTTTTATTTGCCCACAACTACCACCAGACGAACAGGATAGTTTGAAGTGGGGTTGGGTGAAAAATATTGTATGAGAATGTCGGGATGTGATTTAAATCCTGGAAGTGCAATTTCTGTCGTCTGTGAACTTTGAGCAGGATTTAGGGCGCTCTCAAAGTTATAGAAAATTCTAGGACATGAGATAAAATGAATATTTTTTCCATTTTAATGGATGCATATGGATGTATATCTAAATCTATGCAATTTTATCATGTATTTCCTATCTTTTGGTCTTTCATTATAATTATTTCTACTAATTTTCATTGACCTTTATAAATATTATGTATTTGAAAAATCAATCTTAAAGACTGTAAAATATTTTTAACAACATATTTCGGCGATGATTGAAGAAAATGAAAATTTTCACGAATTTAGTTTTCCTTTTGTAAACACCATGGACGAGGAAAAACTTATTGATACACAAATACACAATAAAAGTTAACACATCTGAACCAGAATTTTTTTGCGATATATTTTTCGGTAGACAAAAATAGGACGAATAACTAAATTTTTCGATTTGATGTATCACTTTTTATTAGAATTGAAAACCAATATGAAACTGCTTAATTAAAGCGCAGTTTATATTTCATTTTAATATGGAATTGCTCTTTACTAAACGAAACTTAAAACCTCTGACTTCACCGATGTCTCTTTTAATTATGTGCAATTTGTTTTCCTTAGTCCTCAACGAAAATATAAAAAAAATTAAAATTTCTCTCAAAATTGGATTTTCCACTCTTTCATCAGTTTGTCTCAAGGGGCTGTCCATCGAAAAAAATTGGCCTTCAGAAACAGCATTGATAAGAAAGCACTAGACAAATTCCTAGAAAAAGTAAGTACATTCTTGGAAAATGATAATTTTCTCGAAAAGCACTAGTGGTTTTCGAAGCATCATTTGGAGGCAGCCGGCAGAAGCACTATGATGGACAACCCCTTGGTTTGTCTCCCATCTTTGATTTCTCTCTATTTTCATATTTTTTTACTCATTTTCTTCTCTATATAAAAAAGTTAAATTTTCTTTTTTCTTTCTTTTTCAACGAAAAAAGATTATTATATAAACATATTTCTTCATCTTTAACTGCACTGAATATTCTCGCAACTTTCTAGCGAAACATCATTCTTTTATCGATTGAATTCTAACTTTTACGAAGGAATTTCAACTTGTTTTGTTTTGTTTACTGTCCGAGAAAATGTTGGTCATTGCACAAGAAATCCGAATGATAAAAATATAAAAAAAAAACTCGAAGTAAAAAAAAATTCAAGGAATTTTTTTCATTTAACGCACACAGCTGAGACCGAACAACTTGCACGAAAACCTTAGAAGCGAATGAAGAAAGTGTAATGAAATTTTAAGTTTCAAATTTTCTTCTCTCCCAGTGTCCACAGGGCTCGCAACAAGATCTTTAAAAAAATATTTATACCTACATCTTCACACATTTCTACTCTCACCATAATATAATGGCGGGAAATGAAAATGAGCGTGATTTTCTATTAGAATGGAGATCAAATTAAACATGTGATTTTCATGACAATAATATTGAGTACAAATATATTGTGCTTTTAAGCAGAATTTCTCTCTTCTATTATTTTATTCTCTCGATTGATTGACTTTTTTAGACTTTTTAAATTGAATGCATTTATTAATTCTTAGGCACATGAAAATATTTTTCCAAAAAATGATTTCCACTGATTATATAAAAAAAACAAAAACTTTTTATTATTGACACTGTTTTCAGTCTTTGATGTTTTATGTACATAAAGAGAAGAATTATGCCAAATTTCATGTTTGCAATAAAAGTTACTAAAATGTGCCATTGCAGCAGATAATTAATTCGCTTAATATAATCCTGTAACGAAGATTTAAACATTTCGAAATTTATATTTATGTTAGGACACATCTAATGCTTTCTTTAAGAAACATGTAGTGTTGTTTCAAAGTTGAAAGCTTTACACATAGTAGAAGAAATAAGAATGAGAGATGGAGGGAGAACTTAAGATATCGTGTGCATTTTGGCGTCATCATGACTTCAGTACGATATTGTCGACAGTCTGGTGCATCGTATAAAAACGATTTTAGGGGATGAAGAGATATGTGTGTTTTTTATGGATTTTTTAGAAGAGGGAAGCTGAATTATCTGAATTACCCAATTTTATTTTTATTTTTGTGAATTTCTGCAACTCTGATGCAAAATGTGTTCTGGACACAGCTTTTACAATTCTGTAACATAAATTTGAATAAATGAAATTCCTTTTTTGTAATCATTACGTAATGCATAACAAACGTTTTAAATTTGTTTTTATTTAGATTTTAATTTTTCACAATTGTTTGTAACATTTGAAATATTCTTAAACATTTTTCTCATTTTAGTGGAGCAAATTCATTCAGAAATGAAATGAAGTTTTCAAGTTAAGTATATATATAAGAGATCAAATTTGTAATTTTCTAATTTTTTTGAAGCTTAGATAGTTGTTTATCTGATTTCTATTCCATTAATACTAAAAAAGAAGATTATATGTTCAACTGCTGTTTTATCATCGTCGCGTATCTTAGCAAGTGTTACAGTTTTTTTAATTGTGTATGATACAATACATTTATGGAGCAAATTTTGATATTATTATTTTTTCAATAATGACCTTTTATAAAAATGATCAATGACAAGAAAATTTAAGTCATACATATAACTCACTTTAGAAATATTATTATTGCTGTTGTTGTGCAAATTTTAGAGATACAATCAATTCATTAAATAACATCATTTCATTTAAAAAATATTTGCTGTTGTGTTTATGCAAATTCAAGAGTAATGCTAATTATAAATTATAATTATGCTAACGCAATCATGTGGAGTCTCCTCTGAGAAGAAACTCGTCCTAGACTCGATGATGATGATGATGATGATAATGAAATTATAAATATAATTATGAAAAGGTATGCAGATCATAGTACCATTTTGCTTCTTTGCTTGCTTTTATAAGCATATTTAGGGTAGTTGGCTAGTAGTGACACCACCCGAAAACGCGTCTAGTAGTGACACCACTTGGTTTGGATTTAATTTTATATGCGATTAGGGCTTACCGGAAGAGGCGATTTTTTAATTATTTATCCTTGAACCTTCCTCTACCGTTATGTATTAACACATTCCTCCGGTAAGCTCTAAGAGCTGTTAAAATTAAACAAACAAAGTGGTGTCACTACTAGACGCGTTTTCGAGGGTGGTGTCATTACTAGCCAACTACCCTAATTACAATGAATATTCAATGTTATTTGTTGTATCAATTCATTCTTTCATTTTAATGTTACTATACAAAGAAAATATTAACATATAACCAAATAATCAAGCGAGTAGACAAGCTTATGATTCAAATCTTTCATAATATTTTATAAATAAACCCGATTTTAACCAAAGTTTCAAACTAAGTGATATTTTAAGCATATTTATATTTTTTGCTACTTAATTATACAATTTTATATGTGAATGATTTTTTTTTTGTGTTTAAAGCTTTTTATAAGTTTTTCTTTAATTTTTAAATAGATTATTTAAACTTTGGAGTTTTAATTATTTGGTTTAATATATTATTCACTTATTATTTTATCATCAGCATTCTTCGAACTAATAACGACCGATAGGTAGTGATATAACTTCTTTCATTAAAATTTAAATTTATCACCTTGATAGCATGAAGCAATTTAAATGAAATCTTGTAACAGGCCAAGATGACGTTAAAGTGAAGTAAAGTATGAGAAATTTAAGAGAATATATAATATGTATATAGATATAAGCTTTTAATAAAATTAGAAAAACATTTTACTGACGAAATAGAAGAAAAAAACAGTTTAATGAGTCACGTTATATACTTTTAAATCTGTAAAGCTATTAAACACCATTTGGTTCTAAGCCACGTAACTAACAATAATTTTCTCGCTTTATTCGTTTTTCAATAATAAATATAATTATAATACTTTATTTTACTGACGAACTACTAATTATATAGATATTTTACAACATTCTCACATTTTTTTTTTCACTTAATAAGGCAGCCTATAAAATATTCTTCAGAATGTTTAGTTATTTGCTCAGTTACTTTGAATATGTATTTTTTATTCTATTTTCAATTAATTTAAAGATATTTGACTCGAGAAATGAAAGTAGCATTCTTTTCATTAACAAGGAAGTACTTCGAAACTGTTCTCACTTGTTGTTGGTCTGTCACAAGATTTTAAATGATAAATAACATATTCCTTCAATATTTAGATTAAATTGAAAACAGAAATCAACAAAACTTTTGCCACGGACACAAAAAGCAATATAGAAATGCAGAGCAGCCTGAAAATATATGTTTCTAATTAATTAATTAAATATTTGGATTACTGATGAACATGGTAAGCTTAGGTCCCTTATTCCATAAATAAAAATATGTAGGATGTTATATGATATCGTAAGCTATATAAACGATTTTATTTCACAAAGTGATGACTAAAAATTAAAGTAAAAATATGGTTACGTTGAATTTTCTGAATAACTTTAAAACCAAATATAAAATGGTTGGATATTTTTATAAATATTTCGAAGCAAATTCTTTATGTGTAGAATATTCAGCATACGATTACAAATTTTATAAATGATATAGTAAAAATTATATTACAGTCAACTTTCGTGGTAAGAAAGCTAAAAATTGCATTAGGAAGAGTTTTCCTGGATAGTGACTTTTTATACTGAGAGTTTTCTGTAAAAACAAAATAACATTTACGAAAACTTGCAGTTTTGCTATGAAATATTTTCTTTTGTTTTCGTAAAGTTTCTTCTTCTTATTCAATGCATATCATTCATTTTCTTTTAACATTCATTTCTATACCTTAATATTACAAGGATGAGGATTTCGGGATTTTTGTTAAAGTTGATTATATTCAGTTTATATGTTAAATTTCTGTAGTTTGATTTCTTGAAGAATTTTGTTCATAATGTTTGTGACCACACGTATAAGGAGCCACAAGAAATTTTTATTTTGATAAATATAACTTTGGTCGAAGAGCAAAAAATATATGCGATTCATCGACTTATTGTAAGTTTTGAATAATAGTAGAAAATTCAAGATTTTTTATTTATTAATCCATGTAAAATAAGTAATTTTACTGATTGCTATACCGATTAAAGATACACGATAAAACAACTGCATTATTTTTCAGTAATACCATGCATTCACTTCAAAATGTTAAAGATGAAATAAAAAATATTTCTGAAAAAGATATAAGTAACTTCTCTTTCAATAAGAATTAGTTCTAACTAGATGTATCGAATATTTGAGAACATGGGAAAATAGAGGAAAAACGTGTTAGTAGGTATTAAGCTTAGAACCAACTCCCGCTTCCAAATTTAGTACTTAACCCGCCAATACCCTTTCCAAGCAAATTACCGACTCGATCCTTGACCACATTTGTGACGCTACCGACGCTGATGTTGCCATCTTCGTCACCGAGTTTATCAAGAACTGGAAGCTTTGAAGATTTACTTGCGGCAACCGAAGTGGCGCCATCATCATCGTCACCATCACCAAATCTAAAAATAAATTAAATAATAAAGATATTATATTAATCACGAAAAATATTATCATTCATTCAAAATCTTCTTACTCATCTTCACCATCTTCACTCGTCATAGTAAGTTGACATGTTGCTTCTTCTGCTTGCATTCGTTGACTGACAGTCTGATATGCTTTTGAATTCAATTTATCTTCCATCACACCCTGCAGCTCAAAGTCCGAATAAATTTTCTGTATAAACGTATGAGAGTGTTTTGAATATTAAAATAATAAATGTCCATTAGGATTTTTTCAATTTATTATTTACTTACTTTAACGATATGCGCTAAACATGTACACTGAAATACATGCAACGAATGATCTAATCGTTCCGATAGCCATGTGCATAAAATTGTTATTTGTTTGGTGTACCATTGTTCAAAGAAGTTGAGAATCCAAAGATCATCGTTTATCTTACTTCTTATTAAATCGATATTATTGCGAGCAAAATTAACATAACCTTGACCAAGTTCTTTGCCCGAACCGGAAACATTCTAAATGAAACCTTTAAATTTTTAAATCTTGCAAAGCTATCTTTGTTTCAAATTTTACCGTAAAACTTAGAAGAGATCCAATCAAACTCCCTTCATCATATCTAGCAAGCTTTCCGAGAGTTGCCTCAAGCACTGACACTAACTTATTGATCAGTCCTTGAGTCATTGATGCTAATGCTTTGTCAATTTGATCATCAATCTTAGCATGGTATTGGTGCTTAACGAAGAAAAAAATGAAAAGGAAAAGAAAATAGATTTGGCAAGAGAGTAGTGTTGTGTGTAATTTTATGTTGTGTTATGAATGAGACACGAAAACCAAAATTGATAGAGAAGAGATAAACATCAAGGTTTTTAAGTAATGTTTTTGAATATTGTTGTCGGTATTAATAAGTAAGATATTTAAACAATAATTTAACAGTAGTAAAACAAAAAGTAAAAGTAGAACAAAGAGAGAAAAATTTGCAATTTAGCACAATTTCTAAATCATTTCGATAAATATTAGATATAAAATAAAATTTCTTTTTTTATTTACTGGCATTCTTTAAATCCCTAAAATTTATTGTAATCTATATCATAGGTAAGTATCTTCATAGAGATATGTTAAATTAATAATTGCTCTTTAACTTAATTACTCACCACGTCAATTCCATCAACTGAACATAGCTTAAACGACTGATTTTTAGCGTCTAGAATGACATTCACCATTGCACACATTTCAGTGCTAATGATATAATCCGTTGATATAAAGGTAACCGATTTCTTTAACCATTGTTGAAAAGATTGTTCGGTGCGTTGAAGACACGATTCAATCATGTCGCACGCCATAAGTTTAAGCCGTTGCTCCAAATGTTGGCGGAATTCAGCATCCGGCCAATGAAGATCACGAATAAATGATTGTAGAGCATCTAGCTTCCAAAACAGATCTTCTGAAGTTGCACAGCCATTTCTATATCATTTTTAGTGTTAATGTATAAGATTTAAGGTGCATAAAGGATAGATTTGTGGAGATGTAGTAAAAAAGAATGATTTGCATGAAATTTTTGTTGATACGGGAAAATGTAAATTGAAAAATAGTTTGGATTGAAAATCATTTTTTCAATCGTTGCCGATTATATGAGTTTTAACATTATTTATTATAATATTTTTAAGAATACAAATTTGTTTGGAAAAAGTGGAAAGGAAGTGGATTAAAGTAAGGACGAAGAAAAAATTCATTATTAATATAATATAATGTTTCGTTTCCATTAAACACCACATTTAAATAAGGTTAATGTTAAAACATTGAAGAAAAACCGAGCATAAATTTTTCGGAACATTTAAATAACGCACATTAATTTTTGCAAAGGAAAAAGATTAAAAAATCCACCAAAGGATTTTGATTTAAAGAATGAAGACGAGCACATCCAGACATTTACAAATGACGTTGAGAAATATCATGTCAAAAAGAAAAGAAGTTTTTTAATTGGTTTGCACAGAAAGAATCCAGAAGATAAAAACAATAGAGGGAAGAATAATTTATATTGCAATTTTCATTTATGATTTATGTGATCGAATATGAATTGTTAGAATTGAAAGACGAAGCAAAGAGAGAGAAAGAAAAAGAGCGAGAGAAAGAGGAAGAGAACGAAAACGAGAAAAAGACGAAAGAACAGCAGACGATTAATAAACATTAATGTTCATTTGATTTTACCCTTTACAAAGGGTGGAGAGAAAAAGTTTCGGAAACACCTAACTAACCCGGATCGACGATTCCATTAGATCTACATAACGAACAACGAGAGGAGCAAAAATTGTCTGAAGTTGGTGATGAAAACGTCCATTTTTGAGATTATCTGCGAAACAATAGCATATGAAAGAGAAACTTTTAAAGAAGTTATTAATTTCGATATGAAACACTTACCATCCATTCTAAGATAATCGTTGAGAACTTGAAAGAGTGGAAATGAGTCCCAAGTATCTGGAAGTTGTTCAGCTAAAACACGTTCCATATCGCACGCAAACATCGACCAAAACATCTCTGCGTGTTCTACCAGCAAATCACTGAACCATGCAAATGCCTGTATGAAAATTTTAAGCAGAAAAAAAAGCAAAACGCAAAAATTTAAGACTTGAAATAAAAAGGCGATTGATGTTTTTGTAACTAAATGTTAAAATTTTTCTAATGAAGAACTAGCAAAACAAATAAAAATTTATCGTAAAGAAAATAAGCAAGAAAGCTTGAGGAATTTTATGCATTAAACTATGCTTTCGTTTTACCTTAAATACTAACAAATTGAAAGAGGTTTCTTATAGAAAAATAAATATAAGTAAGACTTAATCATAAATTTCATATTTAATGACAGTTTTTGCAACTCTTAAGTGCATCTATTCTCAAAAAACGTAATACTTGATATAAATATAAGAATTTACATGTTTATTTTCAACTGTGAAAAGATTTAAGAGTAATAATTTCCAATGTGCTTGTGTTTGTGTAATTTTTTATTTGAAGACCTCAGCCAATCATTTTTCCCATTTTTTTGTCACGAGATACGAGAAACGAATTTGGAATTTTTCAATCGGCAAACGCTTGTTTGCCAATATAATTTGACCCGATTTTTAATTTTGACCCATTTTAATGCTATTTAGCAAAGTAAAGAATTGTTTTTGTATTTCATATGCAATATACGCCGCAAAATCACAATTTATTGAACAAAAATTCTCAGAATGAAAATTGGATGCAGATAAGAAAAATTGTAAGACATACATAGAAAAACCACTTTGCAATCCACAAAAAAATACAAAAATAAGTTTATTGTTAACATGGATCATGCAACATCTGACCCAAAAATTGTAATCTTATCCGAAATATTTCTCTGTCACATTCATTAGCATTTATAGAACGAAAATCCTTTTTTTTTATTGAAAGCTCAAATTTTCAAAGATACTTCAACTTCATAATATTTTTCTTCTTTAGAAGTATTTATAGAAAAATGAAAAATATTGAAGGAAATTAATTATCTACTTAAACATAGAGAAAAATAAATTAAGTTGGTTCAAGTGATTGAAAGAAATAGAAGAAAATTTTAGAAAGACAGCAATTTTATTAATTTGTTATTTGACATAATGTATAGTGGATAAAGTTGAATTTAAATGTTTGCATAACTAGACTTGAAGTATTAAGAATGATGTGAAGTAATGATCAACTCTTGATTTTTGTAATCATCAAATTTACTACAATTAGATAGATGAGATATTCAGATTTTTCTTTAGCTACCCCTCAATTTAAACAGTTTTTTCAATTTTTTACACAAAACACAATGTATATTTTTTAAATCAAATATAAATTCAAAAGAACAATTAAAAATTAAATGATTATGCAATGAAAATCTGCAGTAATTAAGTGAAAAATAAATTCGCATCTTTCTAGTGTCAAGCATGAATATTTAATTACTTATAGTGCTACACAGGGAGAATTCTCTATATAAGGCAACACTATATAATGTTGAAACTCTCTTTATATTGAACTAGGTAATTCAAATTCAGATCATAACTTAAATTATGAAGTTTCGAGTGCCTTATATGGAGCATTATCAGACTGTGCTTTGTAAATTTAATATTTCTTTTCATAAAACTTGGGGTTCTCAATATTTTCCCACTGGTGTAGTAACAATTATAAATTAAACAAGCATAGTATACATCTTCCTATTATAAACGTGTCGGATGGAAAAAATAAAAAAAATTCATATTTTAAGTTAGCATGAGTCATGCGACATGAACTTTAGTAATAAAAATATATTTTAAAAAACTAAAAATGCATTCAATATTTATGCTTAAATTCATTTTGTATGCTATTAGGTATATTACAAAGGCTTTTAAATAAATTAAATTAACAAGTTCCCTTACCTATAATTACTGTGTATAGAGTCAGGTGAGGATCGGTGATCCAACTGTTTAGTCCAAAATATAACTTTACAGTCGTTAATAGAGGGATTGGATCACCGAACCAAGTTCAAAAACAAAAAAATGACATGACTCTAAGCACAACTATAATATGATATTAACTTGAGTGCGTGCTAAAGTTATTGTTATGTGATTTAATGGTAGATTATTCCAATCAAAGCAATAAATGTAATTTACGAAACGCTGCTAAACACACATTTAACCAACTCATATTACATCCAATATTAGTTTTTGACACCATAAATATTTCGAAAGAATTTAAAGAAAATTATAAAAAGAATCTTCTCCGATAATTCTCAATTATTCTTTCTGATTCAAAAAGAATTATCCGAGAAAAAAAAATTGTCTCAGTAAAAAACATCAATTAGTCCGAAATCATATTTAATCTTTTTTCTTGATTTGGTTCATCTTACGTGCTGTTACCAGCGAATTAATAGTCCAGCAGTGTTTAGTATTTCAGTTATTAGAGATAATCCAAAATGAACATGTAGGAAAGAATTTTACAAAAATTATTAAAGCTGGCAGTGATAACTTAATTAATTTTTTTGAGTGATTATGCAAATGCATTCATTTGTATTTGAGTACTGAAATACCAAAAATATGATTGATTCTAAGAAACAATTGAATATTCATGGCAATCCCAATTAATTATGAAATCATAAACTATATTTGAATCTTTAATGAATTCTTAGAAAATTGTAATATTTTAACTTTATTTAAAAATCAAATGCAGATGTGGCACTCGGATATGAATTTGTATCTGATAGACTTGAAAAATATCCAATTGAATCTGAGTCTCATATCTAAAAAAAGTTAAAAAAGTATATTCAAATGAAAAAACTTTTTGTTAATTTCTTTCAGATTCCCGTGAGGAATAAAAGCTTCCCTTTTCACTAATATCATTCATTTAAAAAAAGAAACTCATAAACATTTCTCAGAATTCTGAAAATTAACATTCTTCATCTGGAGTTGAGTAAAATAAGTTTTCAAGCGTTAAAAAATGCTAAATACAAGGTAAATAAGTTTAAGTAAAAAAAAAACTTCAGAATTAATAAATAATAATTCAAGAGATAGAAAGATTTACGTGCCGTTGGTTTTGGGGGCGTGTAGACAGCATGCGTTGGCATACAATATCGATATGGGTCTTTTTTGACAGTATTTGCATTTGGGTTCGGCATCACGTTGTTTTTAACGTTTGACGGAATTGCTTCAACAGCTGCAGCTTGAGGATCGATTTCTTCCTGTTTCGGTGGCTCTGGTTCAACAGCTCGTAACTTATTTATGAAAGTTTAAATGAGTTTTAGTGTTAAGTTTCATTTTTGTTTAAAACAAATTCATGTTCGACATTTTGTAAAAAGTTCAGATAAATATGTATCATCTCTTCTTACTTGTAATTAAGTTTCCATAAAATGATTGAAATTTCAAACTTAATGACGTGATCTTCAAATAATAAAAGGTTTTTCATTATTCATTTAAATAAAATCTCAGAAAGTTATCTATTAATACTGAGAAAATTGTTGTGCTGAGGAAGAGATTAGTAGTAAAATAACTTCTTTCTTAAGCGCAAGAATTTCAGTTTTCTTCACTTTCACCGCTTTTATGTTTCTCTTTCGACCTCTTTTTATGGTCTTTTAAACCTCCCTCTGTAAGATGCATGTACAGTATTTGTCTGGCGTAATGATTTTCCATGTCTTATGATTTTATGTTACATAATATAGTATATAGGTAGCGACATCACATCAAACAGTTACCAGATTTTTAACATCAATATTAATATTAACATAAAGAGACAAAGAAGTTCACAAACAACTAATCAAATAACATTCTTATTTTGGAAAATAAAAATTAATAACAACTTGCCACACTCAAATTTCACAATCATAGACCATGTTAGAGCAGAATGAAATTTCATCAAATTGATAGTGGAACCGATTCAAATGTTAACATTTCAAGTAAGGAAAAATGTTTGAAAATCTTTTAAATGGAAGTTACAATTGAAAATCTTAATGAATTCTTTGAAATGAGATTTAATTGATCTTCATAACGTTGTAATTCTTCGTTCGAATAATTACGAAATTGAATTTGTGAATCCTGATTAGGATTAGGTACTCCTACTTCTTTAATAGTGAAAATTGTTTAGAGAGAAGCTACAAACATATTCAAGAATTGTTTGTAAAACAGTAATAAATAGTTATGGTTAAGCGTTCAAACCCTTGAATAAAGTTACAAGGCAAGATAAATGAAATTAAACAGAAATTTGGACTTTTGTAAAGTGACAACATACATATATGCAGATCAGCATGTTATGAAACGATAAAAAATTGGCCACAGTAATGGAAAATTTTAATGATGATATCACTGGAACTCACCTCAGCGTAATGTTCTTCGTTCTGTTGAAGTAAGTCAACGCATAACTCGGCTAAGTGAATTAAATCTTCGAGTTTCTTTGCGGGAGGTACCATCATTTCTCCACGAAGATCCTCTGTTTTAAATATAATATATGTTAATTCAAAATTAGTGACGACTGAATTGAGTATATTTATGAAAAAAAGACTGGACGCCAATCTTTTATTCATAAATAAAATATGTTATTTTGAAAACAGATTTATGATAGTTAACATAATTCACCTTCAATTTTGGCTTCTGCGGAAAGTCGTGTGTAATTATCAAGTGCAGCGTTTTCAAGACTCTTTTTAATCGTAGAACGCACTTCTTCTGGTGGTACAGGTGTTACAATATCTTTCATTAGGACGCGCTCGAGGAGTGAAAGTGTTGCTTTAAGAGCACCTTCAGGCCGGCCGAATGGAAAGCAATATCTAAAAATAGAATATAAATGATGTTGCACCTTTCACTATTACTCATGACATTTTCACCTAAAATTAGTTATTTGATATTCTAGTAAGACACGTAAACGTTCTTTGATATCCTGAAATTTTTCTTTCTCCTCGTGTGTAATACTTCCGACACCATCTGGACGGTTGCCATGTACATGGCTCGCACAAAATGCAAATGAGTAATGAATAAGGGTGGGATCAATCATGAAGTTTTTCTCAGCACGATCTAGAAGATCTGAGAGGTAACACAAATGTCGATAACAACCACGAACTCCATAACGTGCACAATATTCGTCAAGAACAAATACTTGACCCGGACTGAACCAACCCTAAAATTTTAAGAATTTGTTAAGATTGTGAATTAAGATATGTTGAATTATCATATCGTACCATAGATGCAAAGGGATCATTTAATCGATAATCGAGAGTTAGATTTTGAAGGAGTTTAAACAAATGTGCATGTTCAAATAGACACGGATCAGCGCTAATATAATCTTCCATGCCATGCTTCCGCGCTTTATCTGCATCGCCTTGAATTTTCGATATGGATGAAATTTGACCTGAAGTCAATGGTGGTGTTGGCTTATGCGATTGTCCGGTGGCTCGATAAAGTGCCATAACCCACAAACTGCATTCGTTTTCATCATCACTTGCAAAAAGAATGCTGTCACCTTCACGCACAGCGTTAAAGAAGTATCGCCCGCCTTCAAGATCCATACCTACCATCAAAGCAGCTAAGAAAAAAAAAAAAATAGAAATATTTTCTGAATGGGAAGTTAGAAATTTCCTCCACTTACCACTTGCGGCTTCGATATAATCAACGGTATAGCCATCTAACTGCATCATCTCTGCTGGCTCAGACTTTTTCTCTTTATAAGTGCACATTGCAAATGTATATTGTGATACTTGAACTAACACAAAATAGCGCTTCTTCCATTTCTTCCACACGCCTTTTCCAATGCCATAAAGGTAACCACAGTGTTTCATGTTAAGTGGCTTATCCATACGACAGGCAATTTTTATTCTTAAATCTTGATCTGGAAGATTTTTCGGCACATTTAATCGATGCCATTCAGGTGCTTTAGACGACAGAGGTGTAGGTTTTAATGTTATCTTCCCAAGCTCTTTGTCTTCAAGTGCTAGCATCCCAGGGTTTTCTGTGTACAATTTAACTTTTACGGACGGCAGGGGATGGGTTGTAGTAAAATCACCTTGCGTATCCCACCTTTGATTAGAATTTACAATGATAAATTGAAATAAAATTAAAATATTTTCTACTTACATTGGCTTCGATGCTTCTGCTTGATCTGTTTGAAGTTTTTCTCCGCTTTCAACTTCCATGGTACAATAAACGATCCGATTTGGAGCTAAAGATTTTAACCCTTTCACCTCCATTACAACAACCTCTAACTGGAATGTCAACACGACATCCATTTTCGTTAGTTGCGTGTCGTTCCCATCAGCGTCTCCTTCCATCTTGGCCAGCGAGCCCTGTGACCTGAGTATCATTTTTCTAAATTGTGTATTGGTATGAGTTATATAACAATCATGTCTTAAGATTTTAATTTGTATTAAACATGTTTTAATTTTTATGGAGTTAGTATGAGTAGATTTCTTGAAGTTTCAAATATACAAAAAAAAAACAACTAAAAGAGTTTAATAAGAAATGAGAATTATGGGTTGCTAAGAAATGTAGTGTTTTCCGAATCGTGTGTAAGAGTAATTAAATCAAAGCATCAAAAACACATATTTTAAAGCGAAAAGCTGCTCTATGTAGTAGATATTAAAGAACTTCGTATCCAGTACGCATTCAGTGACGTTGGAAAGGGAAACAGAATTGAAAATGATTACTCTTAAGTTTATGACTGAAGGAAATGTTTTAATAAATGTTGCTGATTTTTTCTTTTTGAATTTATGCTTTTATTAAAAATCTGGAAATGAAAAATAGTTTCCATTTTTCTCTTGTCTATCTCATAAAATTTTTCCAATTACCCGACTCATACCCACCTATCTAAATGTTTACCCTTTATTTACAATATACAATTTATAATTGTCTGTGTGAACATATTTTAAACATGTTTTGTTTCAACAAGTATAAATTTGCATTAAACTTAAATTGCATTAACATTCTTTTAAATCGTATTAAATTTTATACGATTTTTTTCTTTGATAAAAGCTTTTTACAAATTCCTCTTGAAAGTTCATTGAGCTTTTCTTATTTAGTATTTAATAAACGGTGTTAAATGCCTTTACATGTTTTTCAATAAAACTGCACCGTATGTGGGGAAACTTGTTGTTCGATCATCACGATGATATTTACAATAGCAAAGCTTAATAAATGGAAGAAGTCATTTATAGCATTCTATTAACAATATCGTTAATAACTAGCAACTACATACTACATCCTTTAAAAGGATTCAAGGGGATTACTGAGTAAGAATTCGATTTCGATGTTATGAAGCATGACATGAAATAAAAGCATACATTGAGCATGAATTTTAATTTAAACCTTACATGAAATGGCATAGTGTAAGACTTGTTTTGTTTAAATCATTTCCGAATTATATTTTTGTATCCCCAACATTTTTACGTAAACATAAGTTTAGTCAGAATTCTCTATTAACGAAGCAAACGAAATTATTTCCATGGAAACTTCTATGAAAATAAACTTCCATTGCTTTCAATAAAAAGGATACATTTGTTAACAAATTATTACATACATCTAAATATAATTATTTTTATGGTGCAGCAATTTGCTATTTAATTTACTGAACAAAACAAATCAAAGGTAAATATGTGTGTATACAGCAAATAATCTAAATTCTCTTGAAATATTTTAGAGAGAAAAGAAAAATGAAAAAACTCACCTGAATGAACTCGAACTTTTCATTTTTTTCCCAGAACTGCTTCGTTCATCATAAAAGGATAATTTTTTCATTTATTATAGTTAAGTGAAAAAAAAATTAGAAAAATTAGATTTTTAACCATGATTTTAATTTAATGCATTATTTAATTTATGAAAATTTATTTTTCTTAAATTATCCAATAAATTCAATTTCATTCGTAGGCGAATCTACTTTCAAGCTCATTTTTTTCTTGATCCAAATTTCTTAAATTCTTTAAAATGAAATTTTCAAAATTATACTCAACACTACGCATCAATAAAGTGGATCATTTTTAGCTTATTTCGAAGTTAATATGAGAAGAAATTGCCTAAGAGAGAAAAATTGGTAGATAATCTTTAAGCTTGTATATTAGAAACACATTGAAAATATATGTAGAATATTTAGAAAAAATAAACAAATCAACGAGTATGAGAAAGATTCTACGATGGCGTACATGGCATTGACGAAGTATCAGAAATACACTTAAATGTACTTAATTAGGAAAAAGAAAAATTAAGAAAATAAGAGACTGGAAATGCGCGGGAGATGATCAACCGCAAGAAACTTAATGAACATTTTAATTCATTTAACGTAAGTTGTAAAAATAAACTTATATTAAATTTAACGCTGTAAGCTTCATGCTCTACCTGCAAGTATACATGATAAATATTCAGCTTACCTAAAATTTATCACGGTCCAAAACTTGTTACTTTTTCTAACTCTAATCATTGAAAAATTTACTATGAAAGTTTAAATGTGATTTGTGTTTCAATGACTGGGGAAGCTTTAGATTATTGTTTTCGGAAGCAGACATAGGAACAGAAGCTTAAAATGACTAAATCTTGTAAAAAAGTAAAAGGATAATAAAACAAAATCCATGAATTTCTATGTAATTTCAGATTAAGTATCAAATTCTTCAGAACATGTAACAAAAACCATGACGGAATCATCTGTATAAAAAGGCAAATGCTGCTTAAAGCTGAAGATTATTTTGAAGCTTAAAGCTAAAAGCTTGAGAGTATAGTTCTTGAAATCGTATCCATATTAGAATAAATTTCTAAAAACCATAAATAAAGCAGAATTATAAATAAAAGTACGAGGGTAGGCTTTCAAAACCGTTGATTCCGTAATTTTTAATGCCATGAAGCGAAATGAAATAATACTCTCATTAACTATCTAAGTTTGCTTTTTTAAATGATTATAAATTATTAATTTATAAAGCAAAATGTGGGTCTCTTTTTTCTAATCGGATTTAATTTCACAGAAAAACGTGGGCTCACGGAGATAGTTGCTCTTATTACCGAACCATGTCACATGGTCTATGTAACGCTTTTAATAACTTTGTTTTATTGAATTTATGAAATCAACAATAAAGTTATGAAATTATGCATTCTTTAAGGATTCTTTTGCGTTTTAAACTTCTAAGTTTGTTCAAATTAATCATTTCTTTTTATCTTTTCTATTTAGCAATGCGGGCGTTTAGAAATTAAAATATCATAAAAACAATCCCGAAACCAAAATAAAGAAAATGTTTCAGTATAGCTTTGTGAACAAATGAAATGCATTTCAATTTAATTTATATAAACTTTAAATATTTATATTATTGTGACGAATATGTATGTAAGTAATTGAAACGGTCAAAACTGTGCTAAGAATAAATAGCAATAAAACAGCAGTGTGAAATGTGAGGGATGGAATTGATTTTAAACATCAAATTTTTTACTATTGTTCTCTTTTGAAAAAGAGAAATCGATAAAAAGAATGATGATAGAAAAGTTATGTTGATGGAGAAATCGATAAAAAATATGTATATCGAAATGGGGATTGACAACGGTAGAGAGAAATAGAGAGTGAGAGATTGATGTGAAATATCATTTTAAAGTTATATTTGTAATTTTCTAGTTCTTCTTTATGTTGTCACGAGTTGATCGCAATTCTGACTCTGAATTTTCCATAAATTAGGTACTAATGAAACTTTGTTAAAAATAAAAAAATTGACATGCCGATTAGATGTCGATTTAAAAAAAATATCTTCAAAAGCAAATTCTATACTTAATTGCTCACCTATGATTGTATTTTTTCTTAATTCCAAGACCATATTTAGAGTCCATCGATCCTTTTGAAACTGGTAAGGATTCAAGATTTGCCATTAAAAGGTTTATTGATGATTTTAGCTCTTCAATGTAAAGCGATTCCATTTCTTTGAGCACAAATTTTGGCATAAGTTTTCTATTTCGTTCCATTTCTGTTACGCGTTGCATTCGCCCATCAAGCTCTCGTCGAATGGCAGCCGCTTGTTCATCAGCTGAATCTAACTATAAATTTTATATAGAACTTATGAATATTGAGTACATAAGTCACATCAAAATATTTACCATTAAAGCGTTAAATAAAATTTGATGTTCAAATTTTTTGACTCCAAGAATTTGTTGAAACATGTCAAACAGTTGTTCCTTAGTTAAAATACTTTCACTGTTTAGAGGCTGCATTCGTGTTGGGCGTTTATGCTCGTCGTCGCCTACAAATTTGGCAATTTTTATAATGTAGAGCAAATTTATTGAAAGAATATATGTAATATTTACCAGTTCCCTTCAATATACAATCGAATTTAGCCATCCATGATGTTAAAACTGTTTCTTTACTCAATCCATCAATTTCCGGTAAAGATCTAACTCTCTTCTCAATGTTATTACGAAAAACTTCCCGGAAATCGTGCTGTGAACAAGCGCCGCTCGCCACCATTTTCTGTACCCGATCAGATTTTAGAAATACATCATGATATGATTGAACAGCATTTTGAAAGGCTTCGTCTGCCATTATTTGTGTCTCGCCTTTCATGAAAGATTGAAAACGGTTCGTTATAGTGTCGAGGTTTTGTTTTGTTATTTTCTGCTGTCGTTTTGTCATATCATTCGGTTGCTTGCTATTGAACGGATAAGATATGCATCGCGATACAAACACATAAAGTTGAATACGCCGTTTACGCTCTTCTTCTTCGATTTTATGGCGTTCGGCAAGTTCAGCGGGATCTTTAGGTTGTTCGCTTGCAAGTGAAGGTGATGGAGATGTGGGTCGTTGTAATTGCTGACTACGAAGTGATCCAACGCTTTGCGAAGAATGGTCTTGAGATGCTGGAGAAAGATTTCGGCTGATTGAAGGAAAACAATTTTCAATGATTTGGAGCATATTATTCATATTTGAAGCGTAATTCTCATATTGAAAATTTAACTTATTCAATAATTTAAATATTCCAAATTACAATAAATATGTTCAATATTTAATGCTTTAACATTGATATACGATTATTGTCCTACTTAAATAGAAAACTAACCTGGGTGTTGCATTTGGTACTTCAAGATGTCCATAACCAGGCGATTCATGTCGATTTCTTTGGTGTTGATGATGTTGAACGTGCTCCTCCTCATCTTCTTCTTCGGATGAACTTGGATCAATCATTATTTGAAGTTCTCAGATCAAAACTGTTGCTGCTGAATTTATTATCCTTTACTGCTTTTGGGTTCTTTATACTTATAAGAAGTTTAAATTTTTTCTCTAATTGTTCGAAGTTTTTTATTTCTTAATCAAGAACAACTCATTTTCAGATGACACTTATATTGAATGAATCACACTCAATTTGTTTTTTTCACATTCAAATCTAAATATATATCGAAGGGAAGAGATTTCAATAATGAATTCCAATAACAGAATTTCAAATTCATAAATTTTAAAAGTTTCACTTTCAACATGTGAATTAATGTTTTCATTACATGTTAAAAGTTTCGAAGGAAAGTTGTTCGATTTTTAGAGCTCTCTCCCTTTCACTTTTACTTATTTTTTATCTTCTGATATATAAATTCAACCTCTCATAATCAACCTGGTAATCAGCACGCAAAGTAAGTCCAAAGAATCGAAGTGTACACCGACTGTTATATTTTTTACACAAACTACGTAAAGCATTACTTGAAACACTTCCCTTAAATTGTTTTTCTCTGCTTCTATTTACTTGAACAAGGAGTTTTCCAGTAAGCTTTCTCACTTTATAACACGTCAAAAGTCTCAACATTCATGTTCACTCATACATGTATATTATATCAACAACCTACAATCAAAAATAACCTAATTAATAACACTCTTTTTTTATATACATACGTACGTTTGAAACTAAAATTCCTTTAAACTCATCTTTTCATTTAAAGTTTCCAATATATCAGAATTTTCGAACTAACAAACATCGTCTCAAAATGTTTTCTTAATTCAAAAAAGTTAATTCAAACTATTTATCTGTCTACATTATTTTATGCCTACTATCAATTCACAATTCTACATATATGTACTCATTTGTGATTATTCTTTGTTTCACGTCCAACGTCAGTCAACCATTTTATACATAGCTTCTTTCCACAGTACTCATGCCTTTCAAACACCAACCTTGAACTGATAACTCATAACAAATGTGTTTATCTGCATATTAGAGTGGGTATACATTTTCACTGTTATTGACTTTTAGATTTAAAGAAATAAAATGAAAAGTTTAATATCTCTAATTGCACTGTTTATTCAATTGAATAATGTTTCCAAAATTTCACCTTATTTCTTAATTCCTTGAGATAATTATCCTAACTTTTATGCAATCAAAAAGAATAATTTATTGAATTTTAACTATTTGAAATGATTTTTTATAATTATTTATATATATAGGTATATATATTTATGGTAATAAGTTACATTTGACACGCTTAGTTACACAGTAGTGTGATAAAACTCTTTTCACTGTGTATTACCAAACCAAATTAAGTTAAATTTCATTATTCTCTTTTACAAATTATAATGAAAATTGGCTACTAAATGTGATGAAAATTTTCATTGCGAAAAATGGAAAAGAAAAACATTCACTCAAAAATGGAAAATGGGAAGTTTTGGAAAGCTGGAGGGTAACTTAAACGCACGCTCTGCAATGATAGTAGATTGAATGCTTTTTTGCTCTAAATATTCTTAAAAGAAACAATAAACATTATAAACTCGATATTAATCTATTCCTTCAGTTAATTCACAAGCATGATCAGCACATACCAATGTAATCAAGCTCTAATTAAAAAAAAACTTTAAAGTTTATATTAATAAACATTCCATGGAAAAGAACTTTAATGTTTTGTTTACGTTCGCAACATTATAACCACGCGGACTTTCCAAGAAAACTTTTCCATTTATTGGAATATCTTGTCATTCCAATTCTACCATGATTGAAACTTTTTATCATGGAAAATTTCTCCGAGAAAATTTCTTTTTCAATATTCATGACACTTTTTTTTCAAATTCTTACAATTATATTTTATGTTTATTCTACCCACTTTTATTGCAAAAGGATTTTGTGGTTTCTGATGAACAAAACTATGCCTTTCATATAGAAAAATAAAGAACCAAAAGACTTAAAAACTTGAAAAAAAATCTGTTTTTATTCCTTTTGTATCCGTTTTTATTTCGCGGAAGGAAAATTGAAAAGGACTTTCTCGTTCGCGTTTTGAACTACGACTGATCTGAGAATAAAACTTTCCACATTTTGGAAGTTGAAAATTTTTTTTTAATCAGAAACTTGAGAGCTTTTTGTTGCTCACTTAATGAGTTTATAAAGCTCAGTTGCAATTAAGTATTAAAGATAAACTACTGACTTTTGATTGATTTTATCTGAAAGAAAAAAGGATGAATTATGAAACATAAATAAATGAAATACTTTATATGATGACAAGAAAAGTTATAATTTATGTAATATTTTAAATATAATAGTATTTATAAGGTATACACTATTCAATAAATTAAACATATCTAATAGATGTGAAGTAATGCCAAAATTGATATGGTAAATCTTAAAAACAAATTAATAAAATAAACGTATTCCTATGCAGATATCTTAAATAATATACTTTAGCATATGTAGCCTAATACATATGTGTCGCTAAATATTGTAGAATTCATTAAACAAAACTAAGAATTCGTTCATTATCATGTTGAAATTTGAAATGTCTGATAAAATTATCGTAATCTTGTTTATAACATTAAAAATAATGAAAAGAAAAAAGAACAGAATGCTAATGGTAAAATTATTAAATAAAATAAATATGGGACTCTGTAAATTATTCTAACTTTCTTTATCAACAATTTTATGATGATTGTTCAGGTTTTGTTCATTTTTATTATAAAATAACTGTGTCATTTAAAATTTATCAATCGTCATAATCTACTCAGATTTATTGATATTCTGTATTTATTATCTTATAAATGTAAATAAAAAATTTTTTGTCATGTGAAACTTTTTAAATTTCAATGTTTTATAAGAACGGTATTGAAGTGAAATTTTGTCACATAATATTTTTGAATAACTTATTTTACGATAGTTAAATATTTAGATATTGTTCGTTATTATTTCAGATTATAATTTTGTGGGAGAAAAGAGTTTAATTTTAAATCAAAAGATTTTTTCCAAATTTGACTATCGTGTTAAAAATTTCAATTAGTTTCACTAAAATAGGTACAGCTCATAGATATGAGAATATAAGCCGATTGTGCTCAAAGATATTTTGGTATAAAATACAGCGGAACTTTGATAATCAGATGCCTTGATAAAGTAATAAACCTTGATAAACAAATATTTTTTTGTCACCTTGACTCGAAATCCTTTAAAAGATTGCCTCGATAAACGATGCCCCTTTGAGCCATCTGTTTATCGAAGTTGCACTGTATTGAACTTTTTTGTCTTCGAATATCCTAATATTTCTTTAAATCTTTAGACTTTCAATAGTGAGTGTCAAAATACTTTGGAACACAATTGATTTTTGTTCTCATATGTAAATATGCTTAAAATAAGTGTTATTGTATCTACTCATACAATAATCTTTTACATTTCTTTTCTTTAAGAGTAACAAGAGTGATTTGTTACTCTTTGAACTTCTCTAGGAGATTCAAATTATCACTTCGTTTGAATCCCCACTTTAGGGCATATGAATACTTATTTCATACAAAACTTTAAATCACTTTTCAACGATTCGTTGCATGTTTCTGAATAAAGTAAGCTTCATTTTTTATTAAATTAGTTTAGATTTTTTAGAGAACTAGGTATCTAAGCAATTATTTGCATTTTGTTGTAGTGTCGAGAAGCTTTTTCCATAAATCGAATTGTTCAGGAGGCTTTATCATATGTAAACTGATTGATTTCTTAATATTACATGCATTAAATGCAATTCTACGGTTTAGAAACTCATTTACGAGCACCCTTTTCACATTCACTTCTTGTGCGACAATTCCCGTCGTGTAAACATCTTCTAACTTCAAGTACGTTAAATTAAGCGCTTTATTGTACAAATCTCTAATGGAATCGCTGGTAATTAAATATGCCGGACCTGTTGTAAACTGCGGAAATATTGCAGGCTTATACTGCTCTAAACTGACATAATACTTCGACTTTTTATTTCTAATCGGTTTCCATTTTTTTGCAAGACGACCATAAATTGTTCTTTTATCTGTGTGTTTTTTTTCAGTAAACTGAAGTAACTTGGGAACATTAATAAACATATCATCATCTGTTTTGAGTATAAACGATGCTTTTGGACAATTTTTGTCGACCCATTCAAGCATTGAAATTGATTTTAATGTCAGATTATTATAACTATCAACAAATCGTCCTCTTATGATATCTGAATACATGTAATTTTCTGCAACAATGGAATCATCTAATGATTGTCCTGCAGATCCTACTAAAAATGCCACAGCAATATCTCTGCGGGATCCGAAATGACCCCAAGTCTGCCGAATTGCAAGTCGTGCTTCTCGATGAACTGGCGCTGAAGTTATAATTATGAGAAGTTTAATCGTTTCACCCTCGTCTGGGCAAATTTCTGGTGATTCTAAATGTCCTGATTCATAGATCTCTCTTGTAATAATTCCTTTTGTTGTATCGAGAATATTTTTTCCTTTATATCTATTTGACGATTCTTGTGAAAGTGGTTTTGGTGTGGTCGTTGTCGTAGTCGTAGTTGTAGTGGTTGTTGTTGTCGTAGAGTTTTCTAATAAGTAAATATATCTTAGAAATGATTTGATTTTAAAAAGGAATATATAAATAAAATCTCACCTTTTTGAGTCCCTAAAGGATTAATAGGAATACTCATTTCTGCTTGACTTTGGTTAAATAAAAATTGGAAATAAGTTCCATTTACAATACCCGAAGGGCTCACAATTCCTTTAAATATAATATTGCCTATGTTATCAACTTCGGATCGAGGTTGTGAAGAGTTTACTTCTGAAAAATAATAAACAAAGAGAGTTGTTGGTTTTATTAAATGAAAAGTAAATATATATATATATATATATCAAAGTTCTAGCTACCTAAATTGGCACTCCCTTGGTCCATTTGCATTCTTTTAAAATCAACCCAAGGCGTATGGTGAACTTTCATTCCTTTACTCTGTATTTGAGTTTGCAATGAGTTGTTGCTTGCATAGTACGATAGTATAATGAAAAGCGCGAAAGCACTGACCGAAAAGATCATATAGTGCGTCGCTCGGAAATGCGTTCCTATCATTTCAAAAGATTTTTTTTGTTACACTTGAATCTGTTGCTTCCAAATTTGTTTTTCTGGTATAAGACTTCAATGTACAATTTAATGTTTAATTCCAGTAACTGACATTGCTGCATAGATTTTGCTGCTGCAGGAATCAAATAAAATATTTAAATTAGTAGCACTATGCCTATCTGATATTTGTATAGTATTAAGTATTTCGTACTGTACTGTTAATGATAGAGAACACTTGGAATTCCAATCAATGATCAAAAAGTCAAAAATCATTTAGTCCAAGTATAGAATACGCATAAAGTTCTCAGAAATAATATAAGTAATTAATAATGGAAAGAAGAAATAATATTGGAATATTTGACAATCATCACCCATCTTTTTTTGTATTCAATTTGGCACATCGAAAAACTTCACGATATAAAAGAGCAAGTTATTGGGGTAAAGTACATAACAAACTTGGATTGGTGCTGTGATTAAAAGCTTAAATATCATTTTCAAAATCAATCCCATAGATTAAGAGTTGAAAATTAAAAAGAAAAGTGAAAAGTTCCTTTTAACAAAACGCTTACTCAATGTAAGCGACTACGTCCCATTGTATTTGAATTGTAAATCTGTTTCAGTATCTTTATTTATATTCAAAAAAGATATTTTCTGTATTAAATTATTGTATTTAATCATCGTATTAAAAAACTAATTTATAAATTTCTAATAAATTTTCCCCTTGACAAATTATTTATCAGACGTACCAAAAACTATTTCACCAATCGTGTTGTTTAATTTTTCTTTAAAATATTTCTCTTTTATCAAATGGAATTTAGAATTGATTAATTAATTGATTAAGACTAAAAGAAAAATACATATAACTTTTAACTTCTTTTAAAGAAGAAGATATCATTTTTATCTCACTTTTTCGTTCCAAATATTGTCACTTGAACTAAATACATACTTATGTACACTAAATTACAAACAAACTTATGGTACTTGTAAGTTACAAATATTTTGCTTTTTGTCTTTTCTATATTTGAATGTTCGTTCTTACACTTTATTTTTTTATCGATATCTGATATATTTAAGTATGTCATCAAATGTTCAAAACTATAGAATTATTATCTATGACCGTAAATCAATTTCTAATTAACACTGAAACATAAAAAAGTTCCTACCATTATAAATATTTACTTGCATCGGAATTCGTTTTTGAGACGCTGTTCACGTTGACGCTATCAGTTAAAATAAATGTTCTTTATACTCGTATGTATGAAGGCAACAAAAAATGTTTTATCTTTATTTACTCAAATATTTAGAATATGGATTAGCCTGTTTATTGAATTTACTTCAAAAACTTATAATATCCTGTTTTTGTGGAATTTATTTATGGAATATTCTTGTACTAGGCATATTTTTGATTTCTACTTACATATGGTCAATTGATGATGACTCTCGTGACATGTCAATATCTTCAGAAATCCAATTTGAAGTTTTGTTTCACAACCTTCTTATTTTAGTGCTCACCGCACAACGATTGATTCGTTTCAAAGAAGATTCAATAATGTTTGAGTGCTAAAGTCTTTCTGGACAATATTTAGTCATAATGGATTATTCTTCTTTTTATTATTCTGTTGTTCAAAATAAATCTATTGAAAGAAAAGAATATTTCTAATAAAAAGTTAACAAGAAGAAATAAAATCGGGAAATATACATATAAGTGTCATTCTAAGTGTTAGGTCATATGTTCGAAGCATTAATAAAGATTATTCAATTTTTTTCAGGAAAATGTTGATCTACCTAAGTAAGTCTTTGTATCATTGTAACATTTTATTTCATTGCATTATTGAATTGAAAGTTTTACATGAAATGAAATCTAAAAAGTTCTTTTTTAACACTTGCTTAATAGTTTTTGCAAAATAATTCGAAATAAAAGATTTACCACTGGTACGTAGGTATTTGTAAAATTTAGATATACTATTCAGAAGCTTAAAGTGCAGTAACACTACCTAACATCAAATATTTTGTCAGAGTAATCATAAAATTAATTTCCTTGAAGTTTTCTGAGCTCAATGACCATACTTAAAGTTGTTTGATTTTGTCTTCAAACTATTTGCGAATAACAGTTATATCTACATCTATATTTGCAAATTTTGCTTATTTGCACTTTGAATACATCAAATCGAAATGGTACCTATTTCTTGGAGCAACATAAAATTAGCATTGGTCATTAATTCAACAATCATCATACTATATGATAAAATTATGAGAAAATGTATTGAGAAAATTAAGAACAAAAAAATTTAGATATCATTATTATAATCTCATATCACATCATCGACATAAAAACATCAATTTGCTATTTGATTCTTCATATATGCTTATTCAGAATTTTTTGGTTTTTTAATATCGTCATGCATTCTAAAATACTCGATTTTCTGTTGTATCGTATGCTATGTAGGTAGAATTTCATTAAGGTAAATAAATGTGTATGTAGATAGATATATAATATGCATACTGTAATATTTATATAAATGGCTCAGACTGACTGATTATTTCCTTGAAGTAAACTACCTAGAAGAAGACTTACAGAGACAGCGAATATCTTTACGTTTATCGATGATTTTGTATGTACCTGCTTTAAGTTTAATTACTTGCCTATTTGAAGGCACATGTTGCGTATTCACGGTTCAAGGTCAATTTTGACCATCTTCGATTTTAAGATGTTTTTTCTTGTGTATTCAGAATTCCTTTGAATAATATAATTATCTAGATGTAACTGATAATTTAATTCTCATACTTTTCAAAGGAGATACATAATTAAAAGCATATTTATAATATAAAATTTTAAAAAAAACCACTTTAGTTAAAAAGAACTGAGAATAAAAATTTAAAATAAATAATTATTATGGGTTTCTTTCATTGTTCAATGTTGAAACTCAATTGCTGGATAGTTGGATTTATAAATTATGCATTCGTGCTTCAAACAAGAGATTTCAATGACCTTCAAACGAGGCTTCTCTGTTAATTTTTTTACGCGATATGTAGCGGATGGGGAAAATATATTTGAAAAATCAAGATTGGATTGTAATTTGAATTAAAAATTACGGCATAGTCAGTTGTCAATTTTTTGCACTTTTCTTTTAATAGCTAATTTTATTTATTCACCTGATATTAATGTAATCATCCTTTTTATAAAAAAATAATAACTCACTACTTTTAAAATAATGAATTTGACAAGAAATTTAATACTTTTTTTCCTCTTTTATGTTCATAATAATCTCGATTAGAGAATCTCTAATGGTATCAATCCACAACAGTAGATAAATCAATCGACTATGTTGGGCTTTGAGTTGTGAAGTCTGACTAAATATATATGTAATATTCGTAAAAGTTTTAAAATTTCAAGTTTTTATCACAATAACATAAGAATCTGAGTAAACTGCTTAAAGGAGAACAATGTAGAATTTCAGACTTCGACCTGCAGCACTTTTTACGGACTTTAGAAAATTTTCATCATAAACTTAACACAAATACACATCTTATGTGAAAAAATTGCGAACAAAACCGTTCATATTTTCACAATGATTAAATTATTTTAGAATAGCATAAGACGATTATCAATTAAGTACTTTTATGTATTTTAAAAATTTTAGTGTAAGGTAGAGACGAAGTTTTATGGTTACGAAAATGAAGCGTCGCTGTAACATATCAAGTTTCAAAGTTCGAATGCATGGTTTCGAAAATATTAGTTACAATGCCGTCCGCTAGGTCGATTTTTCATATTTGGGGATATACAACATTTGTGAATAACATAAAAGAGCACTCGTATTCCCTTTGAAGAATAAATTTTCGACACACAAGTCACAAATACAACCCAATGGAGAAAGGCGAATTTAGTGAAATAGCAACTTAGAAACAGAAATAAAAAATAGTTGTAAAAACACTAAGAAAGTAGTCAAAGTTAGCATGAAAACAATTAAAAGTATATGAGTCATATTCTCCGTTTGAGGTTTTATAAAAAAAAACCTGGAAAACAACAGAAATATAGATTACAAATTTTTATGTTTTTGTCATAAGTGAAAAAAGTTAAATTCGAAATTAAATAACTTATTTTGATGAGTACATCATTTTAATGCAGTTAGTAAGCAAACGTAACAAAACAACTGCCTTGAAGGCATTATAATTATTGGAAATTTAGCATGGAAATGAAAAAATAACAATTGGTTCTGGATGTCAAAGTGGATGACCATTTTGCTTCTCAGAAGCCTGAAAAGTTTTCTCTAAATATTTTGTGGACAATTTTTTATTTAAAGCAAGTTTTTCAAGCCATTATTCTTTTATTACTCTAATATTTTGTATAATATGGATATTAACTCTCGTATTCGATGAATCTCAAAAATGTGCGAAATTCTTGGCGAGAAAATTTTTTATCACAAGAATGTGTTAGTGTAAAAAATTCCGTACCCTAATGTTTATTATGTGGATGTGTTAAGAGGTACAATAAGTTTTTTAGATTTTGCTTTAGATAAAATTTAAAAGTGTCAAAGATAATAATTTGTCTCAAATATTTTTCATCTCCTAAAGGCTTTATTTGAATACCTGGAAATAAATCCACTCTGTAAAAGAAACACAAAAAGTAAAATTATAGTCCGGCATTTATGAAAAAAAAAATTCAATATTTATAAAAGAATATAGATGTTATATTTTATATTTGTTATATGTTGGATATATGTATATCTACTTTTCCGAATATTTGCGATACATTCTTCAATATCAAAAATCTCAACCATTTTATCAAAGATAATTTTTATTTATAAATAATATCTTGAATAATATGAAGTTTTTCTTTCTAATAAATAATCTTTTGTTCCAATGAATTAGGATAAAAATTAACGAGAAAAAAGTGCTATTGTCGAAAAAAACCAAGAAATGGGATTTAATCCCATGATATCGAGTGCTTTATGCACTTGTTATCAATGAAAACAGTTTGAATATGACATTGAAAGTGAAGTTTTCGATATAAAATAAAAATCAAAAGTGTAAGAATCGAAAGAAAATTTCTTCCTCGCCCACCTTAAATATCCGGAAATCTTTAATTCGTCAAACAAAACAAAGCTGAGTGTACCGGAAATTAAGTGAGAAAAAGAAAAAGAAATGATAACAAGCAAGTTGCAATAAAGAATAAATAAAACCCACATGAATGAATATCTATAGTTAGTGGAAAATTGATAAAAGGAAATAATAAAGAGAATAAAAAAGAAAAAAGCAACACATAATTGATTGTGTAAAATCGTGTGAATGTGTTAGTGTTCAGTTGTATAATTAAATATCAAATCTTGTTACACATTTCACTAACACAAAAAAGAGGAAAAAACATTCCAAAAATATTTCATTCATCGGATTCAAGATTTTCCACCTGAGAAAAAACTTCTTAATACTTACATTTTCTATCAAGAAAAGCGAAGCAAATGCAAAAAATGAAGCTTCACTCAATATTAAAATTTGTTCTGATTGCTGGCAGCTTAAGCATTGCTGACAGTAAGAGCAATAGTGGAGGAAACCAATCAAATAACACAAAAAGTATCATAAGACATCAAAAGACATTTGACACGAAGCTCAATCATCTCGTAGTCGACAACATCGGAGGCCGAGTAAGTTATGGTTTAATTTTAATTTTTAATGTTTATGCCGGCTTTTGAGTGAGAGGGTGAAAAAGCTGACAAATGTCAGAAGGGTTAATTTCAGGGGTTCTTCTCGCTGGATAGGACTCTAGAAAGGATAAATCAATTTTTGTTATTGTTTTGAAAGGTTAGGTTAGGTATAAACAAAATTCAAATATAATCATAAAAAATAACAAAAAAATTTTCTGAATTCACGAAACTTTTCAAAAGTCAAATTTATTGAGTTTCTTTTTTGGTGTTACGTTTCATAATAATTTTATTTTATCAATTTTCTTATTTCTATTTTTTAAAAAACATGATTTAAAATTCATCGTCATGGTCAGAAAACTTTAGGAAGCATAATATTTTGTTCAACGTTAATTGATAATACCTTAAGAATCTCTCTGCATATTATGACAAATTTCCGGTTCCAAACTCAATTTGTATAACTCTTTTCATATATATGGTTTTTCTTTGTTTTCTCTCGCTACTCATACATTCACATTTAACAGTTTCCCCTTTCCTTCATTAAGTACACACCCCGACATGATTTTAGATGATGGCTACAGTTACTATGCCTTCTCATTCGAAGTTTCTAATATCCCACCACATACCTAAAACAGCAATTGCTTAAAATGAAAATAAAGTATTCCCTCAATGCTTGTCTTAAGATTTTCGCCTACGCTAAGTTTTTCTGAAACATAAGAGAAGTTACCGTATTTTACAGTATGAAAAAGAAAACATGATGACTGATGAGAAAAGAAAACATTTCATTCGCTTGAAGTTGGGGTATGTTATTGATTTTCCTATAAACTCCGGACACCCTTAATCTCCCGTTCTCCATTTTTTCTCTTTACACCCATACAACTTATATTGGTAAATATCGTTCTCTTACATTCAAGCTTACACTCTCTTTACTTATTTCTTCGTTTCATGTTTCAATTCAAGACCGTATTCATTTACGAAATAAATTCGTGTGGTTCAGTATCGTTAATTCATAGCCTTGTGAGCGAAATATGAAATGTTCATTTTGCATTAAATAAACTTAAAAAAAAATCAAAATGAGTAATATTTCAAAAGAACTAAAAAGTCTGATTTAATACTCAAAATTTAAAGCCTTATGGAAGATATCGTCTTTTTATTTATAGTCAAATATTTTATGTTGTGAGAAAACAATAAATGATCATTTTTACGTAATTGAAGATTATTGTTATGTTTCTTTTAATTCTTCAACTCACCTAAACACTTTATCTTGTATACTTAAAGCGCTGTTGATGTATTAGTGAGAACTTTATTAGTATTGAACATTCAGCCAAATATTTTCCGGCTTTTCACCTGTTGTTCCATGTTTAGCCTCTTTTATGTGTCGAATATTCTTTACTTTCATTTTTCTCTCTTGGTTTTCATTTGTGACGACTTTTTTCTTATTTCGATTTTTTTTCTGTTGTTGACTCCTCTCACTTACAAAGGAAGGAAAATGTTTCCCCTTTATATATTTATTTCACCTGAGCATGAATGGGATAATTTCTACCTTTTGCAGTGGTGTGTGAATTGATACGATATTGCCCTTTGGGAAAAAAGGAAGGAATAATGGAAAATTTGTCATCATCAACAGTCATTTATTTATTGTAATCGCAAATGCAGGAAAATACTGATGGGAAAATTAGATAATAATTTATGACAAAGAATTAGGTCTAGTGGGGATGTAGGTAATATTATTTAATACTTTGTTATCTTTATTTCTGATATATCATGTATCACATTTACTCAATTACAAGTTTTTTTTAATGTAAAATGAGAAAAAAAAAATCAATTTTTCAGTTTTTGTAAATTGAATAAGCCTGTAACGTGTTGAATATTATGACTTAGAGGGAAGAGTTGAGACAATAACATTCAGATGGGGTTGGGAAGCAATCGCTATTCAAGGAAATGTTGATGTGTTCCACCGGTCGCTCAAGATGATGCAGAATGTTGCCTAATCACTTTCCATTAGAAACATCTGCGGAAAATTTCAATATTTTTAAGACTTTTCCTACCTTTTTACTTACAAAGAAAATCCCTCCCTTCATTCATTTAATGAAACATTAAATTTACTTGATCCCTTTTACTTGTTTCTCAAATAAGGAAATGAACAGAAAAAGTCAAGAATAATTTCATTTTTACATTCACATTTTTCTTTTTCAAAAGCTTCAAATTTTAATTACCTAATATTTTCTTAACAACAACGATTTAATATCATTTTTCTATCGCAATTGCTTTGAATGCTTGCTTTTTGGGTTTTTTCCATGAAAGAAAAAGAATCAAAGATTATAAAAACGGAAAAATATTTTCATAACGCAGCAGCGCTTGACATCGAGCAATATTCGTTGATCTCTTGCATAATTTGAGAAGAAACATTAGTTTCGTCTTATCGGATTTCGCATCCTTTTTTCTTCATTCTTCTGAGAATTATTGAACTAATTTCTACTCATCATTTACACATTTTCCCTTTTTCACATATCTTTGAAATATTCTGATAGATATGTACATATTAATCGTCACTTTGATGATTCATCGGAATGTTTATTTACAAATCACGAATGCTCAAAAATTTGTGATGGAATTTTTGGACGTTTTTCCCCAAATGTTTTCCCCAATATCCTTTCAAGGTTATTAGATTCGTGTCTAAAAATCATTTTCTGATCTTTTATTTCCAACTTTCATCACTTGTAATGTACGCTTTTTTAATGTTTCGAAGCTTTAACGGGGAAAATTCTTAGTTCTCTATTTCATTTTCATTCAATTTAATTTAAAAAGAAATTCTGAAATTATTTGTTTCCCCGTTTTGGGTTACAACTTATTCTTTTAATGCCTTCATGAAATAAAAAATTATTTCTAATGACAACAAATCAGTTGAAGAAGTTGTTAACTTAACAAAAAATTGCTTTTGAATAAATCATGATAGAAATTAAAACCTTAAGTAATTCAATTATCTACTTCAGAGGATTTTCTTGCTCTACGTCTAAGGATCAACATTCAATATCAACAAATTTTCAAATGCAACGTTAATAATGTTAATAAATGCTTGAAAGTAAATTCATACATATTAGTTAATTTTAAGCTTTGACGAGAATTGCCATCACATGGAAAACTTGGTTGCTTTCATCAAGATTGCGTTAATGAGTTTTACATTCATAAAAGAATTTCCGAAAAAAGAAAAGGAAAGGTGAAAAGGATCAATATGCTTTCAACATGAGTAATATATTACATAAAATTATACATAACTTGACACAGTTAATTAACAAAAAAGTGGACTACTTTTAGTTAAGCTTTAAAGCTTTTCAATTCTTCTGAGAAAAGAGAATCAATTTTAAGTAATCAATTAGCTGTATGAATGTCGATTACCAATTAATTGTTCAATTAGTATTACAGATAATAATTTTCTTATAAAATCAGATTTCCTAGAAATATTTTCAAATTTTCCTTATTTGCCTAATTTCTTGATATTCAAAATCCTTTTGAAATCTTCTAATAAAAAAAATAAAATAATTGGTTCAAAATTTATGTTCCCACAATTAAAATAAAAACTTATCAACACTACCACTGTTACTGAGTTTGAATGAGTCATCTTCCTTCTGCTTTTTCGTCTCTTATCAAGAAAAATAAAAATAACAAAACTGAAAATTTCTGAATCATACATAGAAATAAAATATCATTAGTAATTGCTGCTCAACATTATCAAACATATGAATACATGTTTAAAGAATAAGCTTGTAAGGAATCATGATAAGAGTCGAAAGTTTATTTGCCTTAATGTGATGATATCAAATGAAATGAATTCTATTAATTTTTTTACAAAAAATATTTACTTGAAGAGAGCACTAAACTCAATCATTAAACAGGAAATCATGATGATTTCGATCAAGAAAATTATATATAAGCAAATAAGCATATGAAAGCGACATGAGTATGATAATGAGCGATATTTTTGAGAAAGACATAGCGTGCGATAAGCAAGAATGTAAATAAATTATTTAAGCGGTCAACAATGGACCAATTGATCAAAATATAAATTGATTAAGATGATAAATATTTCTTTTAAATTTTTTCAATGCTGCCTCTTACAGGTTTACATCGGTGCTGTTAATCGAATTTATCAACTAACACCAGATCTTGATATCAAAGTAACTGAAGTAACGGGCCCAAAAATGGATTCACCTGAATGCGCACTACATGACTGTCCTTCTCACATCAATCGAAAACTCACCAATAATACCAACAAAGTGTTATTAATTGATTACAGCACATCAAGGCTGATTGTTTGTGGAACACTTTTTCAAGGCTTATGTTCAGTGAGATCAACTCAAAACATCTCGCTCATTGAGCAGGAAGTACAAGAAGTGGTTGTAGCAAACAATGAATATGCTTCGACTGTAGCTTTTATTGCACCAGGACCTCCTGCGCCACCTTCTACTCATGTCATGTACATTGGCGTAACTTACACAAACAATTCACCATATCGAAGTGAAATTCCAGCCGTTTCGAGTCGTTCGCTTCAGAAAGACAAAATGTTTCAAATTGCAACGTCTCACGTAACTACTGGAACGCGAATGTTTATCAACAATTACGCGAGAGAGACATATCCTGTGAAATATGTTTATGGATTTCCATCAGAAAGATTCTCTTATTTTCTAACGTTCCAACTCAAAAATAATCATCATTCCCAGCCTAAAGAATGGATAAGTAAATTGGTTCGAGTGTGCCAAGAGGATTCAAATTATTATTCATATACTGAGATTCCAATTGAATGTGTAGGCGAAGATGGAACAAAGTATAATAGCATTCAAGCAGGTTATCTTGGTAGACCTGGGCAAGATTTAGCTGAAAGCTTAAATATTCAAACAAGTGACGATGTTCTCTTCGCAATCTTTTCGCGAGCAAATGCTAACATAACGACTAATCGTACAGCTCTTTGTGTTTATTCACTCAAAGCTATTAGACGAAAGTTTATGCAAAATATCAAAGCATGCTTCAATGGAGATGGTTCACGAGGTTTGGATTTTATTTCAAATAACATGAAATGTGTCGCAACAAGATTACAATCTTTGAGTGAAGATTTTTGTGGTTTGGATGTAAATTCACCGCTTGGTGGTGAAATGCCAGTAACAGTAACAGCAGCTGCAACATTCAACACAGAAGTTACATCTGTTGCAGCAACATCAACAAGTAGCTTTTCTGTAGTTTTCATAGGAACTTCAAAGGGACGAATAAAGAAATTAGTGGTAGAAAGTGGAACTGTTGCGACTGAATATGCCGATGTCTCAATTGATGAAAATAGTCCAATTAATCAAGACATGTTCTTTGACAAAAAAGAGATGAACATTTACGTGATGAGCTCTCAAAAGGTGTCAAAAGTTCGAGTACATGAATGTAACATTCATCGCACTTGTGGTGAATGCTTAACTGCTCGTGATCCTTATTGTGGCTGGTGTTCAATGGAAAATAAATGTACACTTCGAACGAATTGCCAAGATGATGGCAATGATCCACTATATTGGGTAAATTATAAGAATGGCAAATGTACATCAATAACATCAGTAACTCCACATCAATTACAACGAACAACAGCTAGAAATCTTGAACTTGTCATTGATCATTTACCAAACTTGAAAGAGCATCTGGTGTGTGCTTTCACAACAAAAGAGAAAGTCATCGTAACAAATGCAACACGAAATGGGAATATCGTTAATTGTACAACACCTAGAACTGATTTATTACCGCAAATTGAGCAAGGAAGACGTAAGAATTTCTCTCGATTTTATTTCTCTTTATATATATATTTATGTTTTTGTTTTTTCAGATCATTTTACAGCTCGCTTAAGTGTTCGAACAGCAAGTGGTCCTGATCTTGTATTCACAAATTTCACTTTCTTCGATTGCTCAACTCATTTATCTTGTACACGTTGCGTATCGTCTCTCTTCCCATGTGATTGGTGTGTTGACACTCATCGTTGTACACATGACACTGCTGAGAATTGTCGAAACGATATAATGGTAAATGGTGTGAACCGTATGGGGCCCTCTTATAGATCAGGACCGGCATTCTGTCCCGCAATCAATGTAACCGATTTAGGTACTGAAATTCTTGTTCCTGCTGGTGTGAAGCGTTCGGTGAAAGTGAGAGTTCACGTTATTGGCCATTCAATTGTTCAAACCAGATACGTTTGTCAGTTTAACATTGAAGGACGAGTGTCGAGTGTAAATGCACAACTGCTTGGTGACACAATTTATTGCGACTCGATGGAATTTATGTATACTTCGAAACCTCCACACATAACTGCAACATTTGCTGTCATTTGGGATGGTGCAAAACCACTCGACAATCCTCATAACATTCATGTCGTCATTTACAGGTACATGGATTAAAATTTTATTAAGCATTTAATGTAACAGCAGAAACTGGAACTTTATTGAATTTTCCAACAGGATTTACTTATTTAATGCATGTCAAGTTTCAGTTCTAATTTTAGTTTATCAAGAAGTTTCCTCATCAAATTTTCATTCGAGTTTCACAAGAAAGAAAAATGTTTTGGTAGATCTGAAAAAAATGAATCGTCACTACCTTCTAGAGCCTTGACTCGTTTAGGTTTTGTTCCAAGTAAAGTCATTCGAGTAAATCATTTAAAAAAAACTCAAGTCAAGTCAAAGCGCTGTGGAGAAGAATTAAAATTAACTGAATTTTCAATAGCTTTCCATTCGACTTTCAGAAGAAAAATGAAATTAAAATTTTAAATCCAGAATTATCAATTTTTCCTGTCAGTACAACTTTGTCATGGGTTTTGAGTGTTAATGAAAATATTTTATAATTTATTAGATGTCGTGACATGGCGGATAGTTGTGGAATGTGTCTTGCTCTACCTGCAAAATATGGATGTGGTTGGTGCAGTTCATCGAATAGTTGTGAAGTGGAAGAACAATGTAAAGGAAGTGAAGGAACTGTTGATTGGCTTAATCGACTTCAAACATGTCCAAATCCTGAAATTCACAGCTTTTCACCTCGAACAGGTCCATGGGAAGGCGGAACTAACATAACAATAAAAGGAATCAATTTGGGAAAGAATTTTACTGATATTTACTCAGGCGTGAAGATTGCTGGAATTGATTGTCTTCCATATCGTGAACTCTATCTGGATACACGTGAAATTGTGTGTCGAGTTGATGGTCCAGGAACAATGGCGTATCGTGCGGGAAGAATAGTCGTTCAAGTTCAAGATTATCGTGGTGAATCCCGCGGTGATTTTGAGTTTGTTGATCCAGTGATTCATGATTTTGATCCAAAAATTGGACCGATATCAGGTGGAACAAGAATTCATATCCGTGGCAATCATTTGAATGCTGGAAGTTTAATCAAAAGCTCAATAAATGGATTAAAGTGTGAAATACTCACGACTGATGTTAAAGATGCAATTTGTCGTACATCACCAGCTGCAAATCTCTCAAAAGGATTTTTAAAAATGGAATTTGATTCTGGCGAACGACAATTGAATTCTGTTCCATTTGAATACGTCGCTGATCCGATTATTGATTACGCAACGTCTGGTGGAAGTGGACAAAAAATTCCAAAAGGAATTCCATCGGGTGGAGTTAAAATAACTGTCGTTGGACGTTACTTTAAGTCTATACAACAGCCAAGCGTTTACGTTTATCACAATGACCGTCAATTCATCTCAAAATGCCAAATTTTAAGTGATAATGAGATGGTCTGTAATTCGCCTGTCATCGAAATGGAAAACATCAAATCAGAGTCTGATGGACCAAGCGTAATGAGATTAACAAGCGAATCCGATTATCAACCATTACAAAGTTTACAAAATTTCGGAAATTCTTATCGTATGAGTGATGCCATTGCACTTCAGTTAAGTAACAATCAGCAGCTTAATGATCCTGGTTTCATGGCTGATTGGTTAGCAGGCAATGTACCAATACAAATTGAATATGGATTCATTATGGACGATGTGAAATCAACACAAAATTTATCAGAAACACAAAAACCGTTTGAATTATATCCAGATCCATTTTATTATAAATTTGACGAGTTGAAATATTACAACAGCGAATATTTAACAATTAACGGCAAGAATTTAGATCGTGCATGTAAAGAAACTGATGTTGAAGTTAAAATTGGAGATAAGACGTGCAACATCACCAGTTTATCACGCCACCAATTGACTTGCCGTCCACCCACTGATGGTGTCGACGATATGAATGTGGTGGTAAAAATAGGCGAAAATCTTGTTTTCCCTATCGGTATTTTAAGCTACGCTCAACCAACACCTTTTGCTAATCTTGGACGCCACACTCTCATCATGATTGTCGTCGCTATTATTTTTGTTGTGATTTTCATAATCGGCTTATTGATTGCCTACAAAAAGAAAACAAGCGAATCCAATCGTGTGTTAAAAAATATGCAAGAACAAATGGATATCCTTGAGTTACGAGTCGCTGCTGAATGCAAAGAAGCTTTTGCTGAACTTCAAACTGAAATGACTGATTTAACTGGCGATTTAACATCTGGCGGAATTCCATTCTTAAATTATCAGAAATATGCCATGAACATTCTCTTTCCAAATGTCCAAGATCATGATAAATTATTGCAAGAACGAATGGAATTGATGAGAAAGGAAAAAGGATTGAGACTGTTTGGTCAGCTAATAATGAACAAAACTTTTCTTCTTTTGTTTATTCGAACTTTGGAATCGAATCGGTAATGAGAAACTTTTTTGAATAAATTAAAAATTATTTAATTTTAATGAAATATTTTCAGATATTTTTCAATGCGTGAACGCGTCAATGTTGCTTCTCTTATCATGATAACACTTCAATCTAAACTTGAATATTGTACTGACATTCTTAAGACACTTCTTGCTGAGCTTATCGAGAAGTGTATTGATGGTAAATCGCATCCGAAGTTGTTGCTTCGAAGAACTGAGTCAGTGGCTGAGAAGATGTTAAGTGCTTGGTTCACTTTTTTGCTACATAAGTTTTTAAAGGAATGTGCTGGTGAGCCACTTTACATGCTCTTTCAAGCCCTCAAATCACAAGTTGATAAAGGACCAGTCGATGCAATCACGCACGAAGCTCGTTACTCGCTGAGTGAGGAAAAACTTATTCGACAGTTAATCGAATACAAACAAATGACAATATACGCAAGTATGGCACAACCACCGATCTTTTGCAATCAATTAGATAACATGACTAGCGAGAATGTACCAGTAAAAGTTCTTGATTGTGACACAATCTCGCAAGTGAAAGAAAAGATTTTGGATACAATTTATCGCGCATGTTCGTATAGTCAACGTCCGAAACGCGATGAAGTCGACCTTGAATGGCGAACTGGAAGTTCGGGTCGTGTCATACTTTACGATGAAGATTCAACATCAAAGAGTGACAGTGAATGGAAAAAAGTGAACACTTTACATCATTATCGAGTGCCTGACGGCGCTTTTCTCAGCTTAGTCTCAAAACAACAATCAAGTAACTACAATCTCAGCATTTTGAGTGAGAAAAATGAAAAGTCAGCTTACAAATATGAGACGCTCAACTCCTCAAAATATAATTCAGCGTCACCACCATTCAGTCGTGCTGGATCACCACTTAATTACGATTCCGGTGAAAATGGTGTTAAATATTGGCATTTGGTTAAACATCACGATTCGGAACAGAAAGAAGGCGAACGCGCTGATAAGCTTGTTAGTGAAATTTATCTCACAAGGCTTTTGGCAACAAAAGGTAAAATTATCAAAATTAAATTAAGTCAATAAAATAACATTTGAGTGATTATAGGTGCGGTTCAAAAGTTTGTCGATGATCTGATCGAAACGATCTTCAGTACAGCCCACCGTGGCTCTGCCCTTCCTCTAGCCATAAAATATATTTTTGATTTCCTCGACGACCAAGCAATGCTCCATGGAATTACTGATCCTCAGGTTGTGCATACATGGAAATCAAATTCATTACCACTCAGGTCAGACTCCTTCTTGTTTTACACATTCAAATATGGAAATTTAATTTGTTTGTTTTCTCCAATAGATTTTGGGTGAATCTCATTAAGAATCCGAATTTTGTATTTGATGTGCATAAATCAAATATCGTTGATTCTTGTCTTTCGGTTGTTGCTCAAACATTCATGGATTCATGCTCAACGTCTGATCATCGTTTGGGCAAAGATTCACCATCGTCTAAACTTCTCTACGCCAAAGACATTCCATGCTATCGAGAGTGGGTGGAACGTTATTATTGTGATATTCGAGACATGCCAGCCATAAGCGATCAAGATATGAATGCAATGCTTAATGAAGAATCAAGAGTAAGTTTCTTTTACCAGCCGGAAGTTGGAGGTTGTAATCTCAATATCTGATTTTAATTTACATATAAACTCTCACAAGTCTTAGAAAAAAATAATTCTTCTTTTGATTAGAGTAATAAATATGATTAAGCTTTATTTAATTTCATTTCTTTTTTTCAATTTGAAGTTGCACACAAACGAATTCAACACAAACAACGCACTCCATGAGCTTTATTTGTACGCAGTGAAGTACAACGAACAACTGTCCGTGACACTCTTCGAAGATGAATTCTCGAAGAAGCAGAGGCTACCATCGAAGCTTGGCCAAATTCACAGCATTATGTCTTGCGAATAGCCGGGCCGAGAATATTGCAATGGATACTCTTGAAAAGGCTTCAAATGATGTTATAATGAAATGTTTTAAAGCAATTGAATATTTAGACTACAACCTGCTCGTCGTTCGCTCGCTTATTCGTCATTTCGGATATTTTTCTGCATGTAATAATTCTTGTTTTTCATTTCTTCTTTGTTTTATTGCTCCCTTCGATATTTTTTTATGTTAAAATATTTTAATACATATATATACATAAATATGATACCTATAAATATTGAGAAGAATGTCAGCGGTTTCCGCTCAGTATCAATCAATGTGCAAATATTTAAACAAACAAACAAAATGTTTTGTGTATGTATATGATGTTTTAATTATAAATAAGAAAGATAATCAATGAATCATCAAGAGTTTTAATCATAATCTTGTTGTTCAAAAGTAAAAAAAATTAAAATACACACGCATAAGAAAGCAATGAAAATCAAAGAGCGAAGCGTCGTCTAGCTAATGATAAATTGAAAATTATGAACTTAAATTCACATTTAAGACATTCATTTGCATAGGAATGTTGAAATGATATCAAAGAGGAATAAGAAATAACATCATTTCAATTAACTTATGGATGATTTAGCTTTGTTAATATCAGAAATTTAATTCTAAAAATTACATTTCCGGGCTTCGATAAGAATTTTTTTTCTTCAAAATCGAATCGTATTTTTCTACTAAATGTTTAATTTTAACGAACATTTGACATTTTTATTTATTGTAGTGATGATATGAATGAAATGGATTTTAGGATTTAATATTCAACTGTAAAATGTGGAAATAAATTGTTCATGTTTGTCTTGTTTACATATTTTGCTGCCGCTTAATCTGTGAACTGCAATTCAATGATTGTGTATCGCTTATCCGTGTGACCAAAAATCATTGTATAGGAAAAGTAATCGCATCGAATTTTTCGAAAATGTCAGAAAAATGAATATCTATCTAAAAATTTATTGAACAAACATTTAAGAAAAACAATAAATGCAAAGTTGTACGTGTAGCTTCTTTTTTCTATTTTTATACATAAACAAAGACAAAAAAGTTTGTTCTAGAAATTTTTGTCATGTTTTAAACTTTTAACATGAAAGAAACTATTATTCCAATCACGAAATTAAAGTATTAATGGAAAATAAATTAAAACAAAAATTGTTTTACTCTATTTTTCTAACATTTCCATTTATCCTTTTTTTTCTAATACAAGAAGTAGATACATGAATAAAGAAGTTAAATAATTTAAAGCTTTCGAATAATTCTCTTAAACGGAAAATAGAGAAAAAAAAATGTAAATTATCATCAATAAAAAAAAGAAAACTTTATTTGTCAAGACTGAAAATATTTAATCATTGATAGCAAAAAGAAAACATGAAAAAGTGAAATTGACGCTAAAGCTCAAAAGGGTCAACACGGATGAAATTTTGAATACTTGAGAAGTCAAAACAAGAAATTCATCTACAGATCTTTGCATGTGCTTGATTTTATTTCTCACCATCTATTTTGTTTGTGCGTGCATGAGTGTAAATTTTACCAATAATATAAGATGGAGATTTCATTGCAATTGAAAGTTAGAACTTTAAAATATATGCAACAATAATGTGGAGGTTGTAAGAATAAGCTTTTCTCGTAACCGTTCATTGCTAACTCATGGAAAAATGAAAACATTATTCTAATTAGCTGTGTATATAAATAGTCGCCATGCGGGACATCATCATATTGATAGGATATAAATAAAAATGTATTTCAAGAAGATTTAGGTATCGAATTTCGTCTCATTCGCAAATGGTTAGAAGAGAAAGCAACTGAATACTCAGCGAACAAAGAAAACATGAATTTCTAAATATAAATCTAGTTAAAAACTAAAATCGAAAAAAATGAAATTTAATTGCATCGCGATTAAATGGACACGAAAGGATCTTTTCCGAATTTGCTGTTGCCACAATTGAAAACAAAAAAAGCCAAAACGAGTAAGACGATCTTGAAATTTTCTTCCCTTCAACCCGCAAAACCCTTTGCTTACGCATGTTAAAGATAAAGAAAACAAAACAAAAATAACTAAAAACTCGTTGTGATTTATGTAAATTTTCGTAATGATAGATTTTGTAAGGAAACAGATCGGAATTTAGCGCACATTTTGTGCATGAAAAAATTGTATAAAAATGGCAACAGGAAGACAAAAGAGACTTCATTTCTTCTGTTGAATATCTAAGTGTTAATAATGATAATTATTAAAGATTTCTAAATCTACACACATTACTCATTTAAACATAAAGATAAATAAATGAACATATCGACTGGCGATATTAATGATAAAGTTTCATTTAACAAACACTTGCTAGCAAAAGTTTTTCCCATTTCTTTTATTCTTTTGAACTTAATGTTGAGCTTTATTTTCGATAATATTCATATGTACATCTGCATTTATTTTAATAATTTAAGTTCACTTCAATGAAAACATTTCTTTTTTTATTTCTCTTTTCTTGTTCACAATTGCCGAGTGTCATTTAAATCAGTGATTGTTTAAATCAAAAATTTAATAAAATAAAAAATTTGCTATTTTTCATTTCAATTCTCTTTATTTTTTTATATTTTCAGATTTAGTTTTTTAGCCGTTTCATCACAAAAACTGCATTCATAGTTTAATTTCTTATTTTCTATGGTTTCTTTTTTAGAGCCGCCATGTAATGTACAATTATTATGTGTCTAAAAGGGGTATATAAACAAAAGCGTAAATTTAATAGAGGAATTAACGGAAATAAGCTAAACAAATTGATTGACGAGATATCACTAAGCCAGTCTGTATCGTTTTGTTATCATTAAAAATGATAATAACAACGTACAAAAAATTTTGGTCAAGATGACTATCAAATAAAATAAATTAATGACAAACGAATCATATGGCAAAATCATTTGATTGAGTTAATTATTTTAAGAGCTTAGAAAACTCCAAACAGATAACATTTGAAATCACTGGCATCTCTTAATTGCTCTATAAAATATGATTCGATCTATAATTAATATGTAAGTATGAAAAACAAAATTCTCGTACCTTGCAACGTCCTCCTGCAAAAGTAAATGTTGCGTTTAATTATATATAAATATATTCATTATATATGTAGAAGTAAATAATGTGGCAATAATTTGAACCTTAAGTAATATCAAAACACAATAAAATATTTTTCATTTCTCACAAAAAGAAATAATTAAAATAGTTAATCAATTAAAAGACGGTTTAAAATTTTTTTCATCTTGCTTTACATTGAATCAACAAAAATTTTAGTTCGATGTCAATTATTAAAAAGTTTTTTATGATTTTCTGTTCAAATGACAATCAATTATTTAAGAAAGCATAATTGAACACAGGTATATGTATAACATTTCCATTTTCGTATCTACTTATTCATTTTTTTCTAAATAATTCTACAAAAACTCTTGAAAGAAAATTGAATCAATAATAATTCATACGAGGATAAATGTTATTTATAAATAATAAAAACCGTCAACATATCAAAAGTCAATCTTTGAAGCCATTAAAGAAAAGCCGCGATATTTACCTGAAATTTTTTAAATATTTTTTCCCATTTAGATTTTATTTCTTAATTTTTTCAATTAAAACGAAAAAGAATTCATCAACGAAAATAATTTTCCTTCTTTTTCTGCTCCCTATAGTTAGTCTTAATAAATAATAAAATCGGAATGTAAATTTGTGAGTGTGTGTAAACAAAATAAAAGGAAAATATTATCATCAGTGTTATTTATTTAAAATCAACTAAATACACAAATAAACTAGGAAAGCATAAGAACACATTTTAATTAAGGATTAAAACTGACTGTTGACTGTTTTTACTGTAAATGATTCAATGAGTAACCAAATTGCTAATACATAATAATTATCGTAAATTTTTTATAACTGAAAATATTAAAGAAGAGGTCGAACTTTGCCATTTATTTTACGGATTTTGAAAAATGATATACAAAAATTGAAAAAGGCACGCTTGAAAGGAACCATCGCAAATAAACTAACTCCATAAGCAGATTATAAGCCGATAATTAGATTCAGAAATAATCAATAAAAAATATCTTTTGAAATGCAACCTGAAAAACATTCTACATACATTTATGGATTTCCCATCATTTTGTATATGTAAATTAATAATTTTATTAAAATTCTTCTGTTCATACTTTGAAGCTCATATTTATCTAGTTTTCTCCACCATTTCTTTATAAATAAATAGAAATTTAGAATGCAATGCAAGCAGATTTTTAAAAACAAAGTCAATCATGCAAACAAGTGGACATTCAAGAAAGCTGCTTTTATGATCTAACATATAACATTTTTGTATGTATCTCAAAAACTAAATAATTCCAAGAATATGTCAAATGTTCATCTTGATCCGGGATGATCTGAAAGCTATTAATGCTAATTGTTTGCAAATGTGAATTAAGTCATCATAAAAAAATAAATGTAAAAGCAAGAATCCTGAATAAAACATCCTTGAACTAAAATAATCCAATTAAGTTTCAAAAATTGGTAAGAAGCAAAAACAAAAGAATTACAAAAGTTTTTTGACAATTTGAATTAAAAATAAATAAATAAAGAAACTAATGTATTATGAAGATACAGAAGAAAGCTGAATAAAAATCATTAAATGTCATTTTAATAATAAAAATAAACTATTCTTGTCATTTTATTTATTAAGTTTTTTTTCCAGATGCTTTGTGATGTCAGATTCAATGTAAAATCATGAAATTGATTAATTTGGTTTTTACAGTGGACTTTCTTTATAAGAATTTTCTTTATAAGTAAAAAGCTCTTTAAATTCCACACATTAATATTATGAAGTAATGTTCAAAAAAGTTCTTTATAGGAAGAAGCTCTTTATAGGTTCCCTTCAAAATTCTTATAAAGAAAGTTCACTGTATTTCAAATAAATAATTATGGAAATTTCCCGTTGTAAAAAATTACCTAACTCAAAAATTCTCTTTCTCGATCATTTTTTTTACTTTTTTCAAAATTTTTTTGTTTTACTTGACATAATGGGAAATTTTGATATTGGGAGGGAATGGATAAATTAAGAAAAACTATTTTATTTATGTTGGAAAAGGATGAGGAATATTAATTGATTAATCAGAAACAATGGTATTCGGTTTCAAAGATGTTGTTGGACGTTGGAGGTTTAAGGTGATCCTATTTGATTGCTCATAGACTGATGCACTCAGAGTGATCCATTTGTTGAACTAATTGATCGGTTGTTCCAGGCGTTGAGATTGATTTCTTTATTCCTTTATGGTCTGCAGTAGCTGTTTGTTGAACAATTCGAGGTTTAGTAGCTGGTCGATATAAAGATTGTTGTGTCTTCTTAGACTCATCATTTGCCTGCTCCAAGAACTGAAACGTTTTAGCTGCTGATTTCCTAAACATATTTCCTATGCTTTCATTGAATTTATTTAAATCAATACGACGTCCTTCTTTATTTTAGCAATTAATTCAAACTTCTGTTCGATGATTTATGTTCGAATTCACACTACTTATTGTATGATGATCTTAAATTTCATTTGTCATAATTATGTAAAAATTTCACGTGGATTAAATCTAAATAAATAGATAAATGCATTTACAAATACAATGAAAACCATAAGGAAGCTGCCTTAAAGGAAAACTTTCAACAAAGTCATAAAGTAATTAACTCTCACTGTACATAAATTGAATGTACATAAAAAACTGTGCATAAAATAAGCTGCTAATGAAGGAACAATTAGAAGATGAAATGCGGTGAATATTGGAAATTCCCAAAATTTCTTTCATATCCGATTGACCATCGTGCCCAAAGTCTGTTTCCGGGCGCACAATTCATACGTCCCGGGTTCGAACCCCGACTTGGTCATGAGGTAGAGTGAAGTTTAGATACTTCGGCCCTTTAGTATAAATATATACAGATAGTTACTATTAGTAACAAGTGGGGAAATGGCTACAAGCTCAAACCACTATAAATAAGTTGAATCAAAGAAAAAAAAGACATTGTACGTGTAAGTTGTCCGATTGTGAGGTTTTGCGTAGCAAGTCATGTTAGGATAATAAAAATCTTTCACTCCTTTGCACTTTACGCTTTTCATTTCAATTCTTTGAAATGGTTTTCCATTTATTTCAGAAGAAAAACCATGAGAAAATGTTTGAAGGGTCGTGAAAATCCCAAAATATATTTTGAAGCTCATTTTCAAGTGACAAAACTACGTGAAGAATGTTGATGAACAATTGCTTTAAAATGATGAAATTCTATAGTTTAGAAATAATAATCTAAAATGAGCATTTACGTATGATTTCAATCTTAAATTGCAACAATTAAACTTCAAAT